TTAGACCCAAAAGGCAAAGAGAGAGAGGATTCTGGATTTTTTCATTGTAAATTAATTCTATTTTATTGATAAAAATAAAAAAAAAAGCAAGTAAAAATAAAGAATAAAAAACCATTGTATGTCGATTGCAACTGGTAACATTAGCATTATTTCTTGTTAGAAATGTTTGAATGTAAGGAAAGGTCACGTGGTCATGTAATAACAAGAAGAAAGGATGTTGTTTTGGCAGGCTCGTGTTGCTCTCTAGGGCCCTTTCCAGCTTTTGTATGATTTGTGGTCTAATTCTAAATGATTTACGGGAGTAGTAAGATGCACCTACCTGTTCAAATTCCAATAAATACCCATCAATTGCAATGTCCCCATTTTGTTTCTCTAATTGCATTGGTCAGGCCACGCTAACTTCATCATAATTCCCCTTTTTAACTTTATTACTATTATTATATTTGTTTGTCATGTTTATCTTTTCTTCCTTTTTTTTTTTTTTTTTTTTTTTGGCGGGGGGGGGGGGGGGGGGGGGGGGGGTGGTGGGGAAGGAACAATTATGTTGTGCATCATTGGATGTCCATAAATTATAATTGTGTCATGCTTAAGAAGATTAATTATCTTGTTAGAGAGCAATCAAACTTTAACTAGAGAGATATGGCTGCTCTTTTCTTTTGGTCACTGATGGAATACCCACATTCAAGATAATTAGATAAAGGTTATGTATAATGCATTGGCTGTGTCTTAATGGCTGCCGTTTGTTTTCTTCTTTCTTTTTTATTTTTTTTTTCTCTGGCCCCACGTGACACTATCCCTACTCATATTATCTTAAAAAAAAAAAAAAAAAAAAAAAAAAAAAAAAAAAAAAAAAAAAAAAAAAGGACCCGTATGTTCAAAATTATTTTATTTAGATATAGATTTCAGATAATGTAACAAGCGGCCCAAAATAAATCAAATTTTATTTGTTTACTTGAAGGAAATCATTGGCTACACATATAATAATAGCCAATTTGAGTTATAAGTTCACTTTAGAGTATATTAACAACAAAGATTAGTAGCATAATTCCAAAATGGTTGACTCCTATTGGACCATGCTTATTTAGATACTATACATAAACATATATTCACAAAGAATTAGACCAAAGCTACTGCACTTTACAAGTGCCAGGTGATAAAATACAAAAAAAAAAAAAAAAAAAAAAAAAAAAAATCGGCAAGCTCTTAGCACGTGGCAAGAAACAAAAAAAAAAAAAAAAAAAAAAAAAAAAATCCAAGCTCTAAACGTGGCAAGAACATAAAACAAAAAATTTATAGAAAAAGCCAATATCACAAACAAGTAGTTTATAAAATAAAGCATCCGTACATCACTCAAGTTGCAACTCATCGTATAAGTTTGCAACTGCGCATATAAAACTAGTTCGAATCCAGCAGCTTATATTATATTATTACAACAATAGACCATTTATTTATTAGCAATACCATAAACTAGGGAGCACACACTTGTGCTTTTCTCAAGCTTGGTTAGGCTTCTCGGGGTCCTCCAGACTGGTGGGGCGGAACCAAGCCGTTTCTTCCAACACCGAGCTCTCACCAGTGTTGGAGATGCGATCTTTGCCTGCCGCCGAGTTTTGCTCGGTGGCAGGCCCAAAAACACCAGTTTGTGGGTGAGGTGCCCAGTACTTATCAGATAGGGGCTGGATCACATCGTCCGGGACCACACTCGCAGCAACCTGATCATCAAAGTTCCTGTCGTATGTTGACGTGTGTGCTGTCCTCCTGCAATCAAATTTAGCATGATATATGGAACTTTTATCTCTATACGCATGTTTAGGTGTGACTTGATTAGTTTCGAATATCCTTTATGAATATGCAAAATGAAAGGTAAGTATGAATTACTTTTATTTATAAAAATTTTCATCAATTTAACAATAATTATTAAGGAAAAAAAAAAAAAAAAACTCCAGCTAATCAAGAACCCTTAACCATACCACCTCTTCCTAATATAACAAAATGTGAATAGAAACTTCCTACAATTGAAAGGATACACTTTTTAGCCTTTTCCTTCTTAATTTTGTTGGAATAGGCAACAAGGATCATCATGATGGTGATACAAGCGACAAAACGGGAATTTTATAATTGAACACAGATAGCACCCACCAGTTTGGTTATGTAGTTGTGACCTCTCAATTTATCCACAGATCCAAATAGACTCCCAAGAGTTAATCGGACAGATGGAGATCATGTGACCCACATATGACTCGACCCAGATAACAATCAGCAACCGACCCCGTGTTTTATTTCTCCCACCTTCCAGACTGGTATTTTATTCTAGGCAAGGTCCTTTCTTTTGAGTAGGACCATTGAACGAGACATTCACTAATGATGTAATTTTTACTTCAACTCTATCCATCAAACAGACATAAACACAACAGATGGTCATAATGATGTAATTTATATATTTTTCAACTTGAACTTATAAATAAATACTCCCTTTTATTTAACTATTTGGCCACCGACTCTGTGTGTTCAAAACTTTTTTTGTCATATCATATTCAACAGTCAAGCCTCCCAAAATAATAATAACAATCATAAAAACAAAATATTGAGCAAAAGCCATGCTCTTGCCGGGAAGTTTCCTATGTAATGTTAAAAGAATTAATATAGTACTCAAGATGAAAAATAAGTTGAGAATTGCAATATAAAAAGAATCAAATGTCAAAAGTCCACAACTCAAGATCAAGACTACATCACTGTATGAAAAATAAAGGAATCAAAGTGGAAATGACAAAACCAAGAATTGACATAAAATCACAAAGTTGCCAAAAGGAATACCCAAATCAAAGAAAAATGTTGTATTCCCGCATAGGCATATGATACGTCTTTTGAATTTGCACCAAACCAACAACAGTTCAAACTCAATGCACCAGAGGAAATTTTTGAAGGCCTTATGACCCTCTGTCTTTTTGAATTTTGACCCAAAAAAATAAAAAAAAAGCCCAACCCATTGTCTAGTGTACATGTGTTAAACTATCAGTCAATTACTTACCGGTTACCACACAAAGAGTTCCACTTTTGAATTGACACAAGTAGAACTATGAACTATCTCCTGTAATCATACATCGCCTGACTATTCCTATATTTCAGACCTTCAGTTGCTATAAATAGAAATAAAAGTTATTAACTCATATAGTTAATGAATAAAATGGTAATAACGGAATACAATCATTATTTTATACAATAAATTCTTTCTTTTATATAAAACATAACTTCAAAAATTTATCTCCCATGTATCAAAAAAAAAAAAAAAAAAAAATGAATAAGAAATGGTAATTAACGGGCGAATACAACTCATTATTGTTCTAAGCAGATAAATTCTTTCTTTTCATATAAAACATACACTTCAAAAATTTAATCTCCCATGTATCGAAAAAAAAAAAAAAAAAAAAAACAAAATTCAAAAAATTTAATAATTGAATTATTATTCTATAGCTGTAAATTTACGAGCTAAATCTTAAAATTACTAAAATTGTATTTCATGGGGAAATGATTACCTACTAAGCAAAAAAAAAAAAAAAAAAAAACAAATTCAAAAATTTATAATGAATTATTATTATATGTAAATTTAACTAAATCTTAAATTATAAATTTATTTCATGAAATGATTTACCTCTAACCTTGAATCAAAATAAAAAAATAGTTAGCGAGATAAAATCACTATAAGGAAATTTTTTTTTTTCAAAAAGAAAGAAAAACACTATCAATCTATTATTTTTTATATCCAATTATAAGTATCTCAAGACATGAATAATATAATCAATGACGCCAAATTACAAAAATGCCCCTCGGTGGAGAATTCTCCGGTGCGGAAATTTTCAGATTGTCCTCATCCACACACGCGAACGACACGGCACCACCGAGTACGGCAATGTGCCTTTTGTACGAAAAATGGTAAAATATTCTTCAAAATGAATGATAATAACAACGCCGCTTTAATAAAATGAAAAAAAAAAAGAATATTCAATGAAAATGATAAAATAAATTCAAATTTAGGAAAAATTAAAACAAAAAAAAAATCCTATATACTGCAAAAAAAATAAAAAGATCTTTTCATCATACAAGAAAAGCCTATTATTAAATGATTTACCTCAATTTAAAAAAAAAAAAATTCTGAACATTATAGCGTCAGACAGCAAATCATCTTGCAGTCTGCACTCATTTTTGGATTAAGCAAAATTACAAACCAGCACCAACAACTAATTAAGAAAGTAATTGATTAACAATGCCAATAATAGAAATCTCAACTCATCAGATCATGATTAAGCAAAAATTAAACACCAAATTAAGAACAGAAAGCTTTTTTTTTTTTAACTCATAAAACCTGGCAGTGGAAACAGAAGCAGCGCGAGCCGAGTTGGCGGTCCAGATCTGAGAGATAACTCGCTTTCCCAAGCTGGCGATCCCTTGAGTACTCTTCGAATTGGCGGCCATACAATAAAACCTTTCTTCAAAGAAGAACCTAATTAAGTGAAAAAGCAAAAGCAAGGACAGAGAAAGAGACGGAAAAATCCACTACACGGGTAGTAGGTGACTTTTTTCTCTTTATGAAATCAAGTCTGTATATATAGACTGCGACAGATATGAAGAGATTAGAGAGAAAAAAGAAATGTTGTAAAATGTCTTTTTTGTCCTTTACCCGCTCAACTGCGCTTCTTGGCTTGGTCCCCAGCCCCCCACCTACCCCTTCCTCTTTCCCTTCCCGTACCCTGTCTCTGTACCAAACGGTAAGTTACATTTGACTTCGCTTTTAACTGACGGAATTTTTTATTGTGCTAAGTTGGTTAGCTGGTTGATTTCGTATGTATCGAAACGGAATATTTCGTTTCCGTTGGAATTGGATGATGTGGTGACCGACAGTGTTAGTTGCCGTGAGTAATCGGTCATACAAAAGGCATGACTAATGCAAAATGACGTTCAAGACCCTCTAGAATTTCTTTTTATTGGTTAATTAAAGAAAATTCTAGTAATTACCTCATTAATTAGAGTTTTTGTGTTGAATTAAAAAATTTGAGGTTGTGTGTACTTGTTTAAAGGCGAGTAACTGATAAAATGAATAATTGAATTCTAGTTTGAGTTTGAAAAAGGGGAGACATGTGAATTTTACCTGTGAGGTTAAAATTTTTGAATTTAAAAAAATTATTTTTTTAAAAAAATTATTTTCCAAACATAAAATCACGCGTGTAAATTTAAAAGAAAATAATTTAATTTTAGATTTTTGTTAGAAATTTTACATGTTTATTGAGTGTGGACGCTAAAAATGCATAAATTAATATATTTCATTAAAATATTCCCATAAAAACTTAATATCATAATTCATAAATTTTAGAGTAAAGTCAATTTATTAATTTATTATTTATCTTATGTATACTATATCAAATTTTTCTTAGCATTTTCGAGTTAAGATAAGTGTATTGAGGCCGCCTGATGGCCTAGAATTAGATATTTGGTTATATTAAATTTTTTACGGATTATAATAATAAAAAAATTTTCTGCTGATAAAAAAAATATTATTAGTCTTAATGCAAGAAAAATGAAATTATAAAAATAATAATTTTGAGTTGATCATTAATTAAGGTCAGAAATTAGCAACGGTCTAGAAATAACTTCACTTAATAGTGGGGTATATTCTGGCACCTAATTCGGTATGAATTTATTCATTGTTTTACTTTATTTATTATTATTTTACTATATTGCTGTTGTTAATTATTTTGAAAGGAAAACAATTTTAAATTTTTAATAGACGGCCCAACAAAAACAAGTAGTACTATTTGCTTTGATTCGTAAATTTGAGTGGAACCCCTTTCCAATCCAATTTGCATACACGTGGATGATAGTTAGTGTAAATAGGACACTTGTTCGAATTTGCACAAAATAGGATAGCGATGGGTCCACTAAAAAGAAACGTTTCATCTTTTTTTTTTTAATATTTTGCCGTTAGAAATATTTAGCAAAATTAATTATAAAAAAACATTTTTTGATTGCAATCAAACAGTCATGACCAATAAGTAATATTTTTTTAAAAAAAATTGAACCAGACGTTCAAACGATTTGATGAGTTCAACAGAAGCAACTCTGTTTTTAGCGGAATTTCTTATTATAATAATAAACATATAAATTATTTTCCAGACTGTTTATCATCAAATATCAATCTATAATTATTAATTTTTATATTAATTATTATATAAATCAATTATTATGTATTTAAATTATTCATCCTTCGTACAAAATATAAAAGAATTCGTGGACTACAAAGAAAAAATAATGAAATTTCATAAATAATTTATTTTATAGAATAAAATAAAATTTTAAGTTATATATATAATTATGGTGGACGCACATGAAAAGTATAAAATATTGAATGCACTCGTCACCTAATTTTCTACTTACAAAAAATAATAATAATAAAATATATATTATTTACATTATAGAATGGGCCTCTTGGGTAGAGAGGCATTAAACTTCACATACAAGTGGATACATATCGATACTTCGATTGTGGCAATTGGGAGATTACGATCACCGGCCGTCGATGAGATGACTCCGTGCAATGAACTTAACTGTAATAATAAAGGTAGAGAGAAAGGAAAAAAGATTTTTTTTTTTTTTTTTTTTTTTCTTAAACTGTAATAATTAAAGGTAGAAGAAAGGAAAAAGATTTTTTTTTATTTTTTTTTTTTTTTTTTTTTTGGCACGGTGAGTCGTAACCAAAAATATAATTTTTTTTGTTTAAATTTTAATTGATATTTTATAAGATTGAATATTCAAAACTACAAATTTAATAGTTGAATGTTAAATGTTAAATAAAATCAGTGTTGAAATTTTTAAAACACAAAATTATTTAAAATTTCATTATTTTACTGTATTAGCATAAAATTTCAGTTAATATTTGATTTATCAAACTAGGTTAATTTTAACTAAATTTAGATATTTAAATAATATGTGTTTATATATTATTAAATATTTAAAATTTTTAAGTGTTAAATAGTATTGTTAAAATCTAATTTAGTAATTAGGTGTGATTTACTAATCTTTTCACTAATGGTAGGAGTGAAAAATTTCGAATTTTAATTTTAGACGATAAGACTTTTCAATAAAAAAATTTAATTTTATATTTTACAAATTTATATAAGAAGATACATACACGAGTATTTTTATTAATAATTTTATGATATCAATAAATTAATGTGTCAGACGCTTTTTTTTATAGAAAATAATGTAGTAATATTTAATGTAACAATTTAGCATGCCTAACATTATTTAACAAGTTTCTCCAAAAAATAAAAATATTTAACAAGCAATACAGTATACATCATGGGTTGACTAACAAATTAAAAAAAAAAACAAGTATTTTAGTTTTTCCTTTTTAATTATTTAAACTGTAAAATGACATTAGCAAGTGAGTATATTAAATTGATAAATAATATTACATAATTTATTCTGATTAAGTTCACGACGCAAGTTAGATATATGGAAAGAATTTTTGAGTACGATTTTCACTAAATATTTATAGGAAAAAGGCGAAAAATCTTAACTGTGACTAAATTTCGAATCAAATTAGACGGTTTCTAATCTAATACTATGAACCGTATACCAGTGGTCGATTTTCACTAAATATTTATAGAAAAAAGGCGAAAAATCTTAATCGTGACTAAATTTCGAACCAAATTAGACGATTTCTAATACTATGAACCGTATACCAGTGGTCGATTTTCACTAAATATTTATAGAAAAAAGGCGAAAAATCTTAATCGTGACTAAATTTCGAACCAAATTAGACGATTTCTAATACTATGAACCGTATACCAGTGGTCTAAAAAAAATGATAAGAACAATATCATATTTATAAATAGTATTATTGAAAAACAATTTATCTAAAAAAAAAAAGAATTATTCACAGTACACACACGAGGATAAGATCGAAGAGTCGGACTGAGGATTTTGATTAGACGCACCGCCTCACGTCTTCAGATACTGACTTATAAGCTAAAAAAATAATTTTGGTGATACTTACCATAATAATGGGTTGGGCTGCCAATTTTTTGGTATGATAATTGGCATAAAGATTGTTGGTAGTCATGAACTAAATTGGGCCTTCATATGGGCTAACATATTTTGATCCATATAAATTACTTATTTAATAAAATAAGAACATCGCTTATTTTATTTATTTATGGTCTGTAAAGTTAAAATAAGGCGTGTGGCTCTCCCTACCAATGCCACGAGAAGATTATCTAGCCATGCAATTCTATCCACAAACTTCAACAGGAGCAAATTCCAATACTGAAAGCCATTCTTAACAACACTCTTCTCTTCTTTGTTTGTATAACCAACAATGTCGTCAGCTGTGGTTGCAGGAAGCTCTGCCACTTTCACCAGAAACCACTCCATCAAAACCTCTCTAAACCCAGCAAAACCAGCAATATACTCTCAGTGCCAACAGGTTCTTCTTCTTCTTCCTTTGTTTTCTTTAATTGAAGCTCTATATACTGTTATTATTATTTGTTATTGTTAGATTAAAGAATTGTGTTTTATTCTTTATTTGTCTACAGAAAACTGCCTTTCAAGGCTTATCACTTCAAGATGCCAAAAGGGTTTCTTCAGAAATATTTATAGCTGAAAAGAAAACTACTTTCACTGATTCAAGAAAAGGGCTTCAAGTTACTGCAAGAACAGCTGGTGCTTCAAAGACTATCGAAGTTGAGGTTGACAAGCCACTAGGCCTTACTTTGGGTCAAAAGTCTGGTGGTGGTGTGGTCATAACTGTGAGTCCTAAATTTTTCGGTATGTTCTTTAAATTTTTTACAATGAAATTGAGGCTGTTTATTGAAATTTTTTGTGGTGGCTTTGAGATGTTTAGGCAGTAGAAGGAGGTGGAAATGCGGCTAAGGCAGGGCTAAAATCAGGGGATCAAGTGCTATACACTAGTAGCTTCTTTGGTGATGAACTTTGGCCTGCTGATAAGTTGGGTTTTACTAAAACTGCAATTCAAGCAAAACCAGACTCTGTCTACTTTGTTGTTAGCAGGTTCTCTTTCTCAATTTCTACTATTTTCTCATGTCAATTTTATGTTGGTTCATACATATACATATACATATATATGTCTTTCTTTTTGGACTCATTCTACTCAAAAAAATTGCCTTAGTTTTAAGTTAATGAAAGTACACACACACAGAGAGACATGATCTTGGGAACATCCAAAGCAGTATACTACGTCTTAGCATTTTATTAAGAGATAGAAGTGAAACCAACAGGCAACAAAATTCTTTCTACCTGTTCTAAAATATACAGAAATAATAATCTTCTGCCAATTTCTTTACAATGCAGAGGAGCAGAAGTAGATGTTAAAAGACTACCAAAGCGTCCTGCTCCGCCCCGCTTTGGAAGGAAATTAACAGAGGCTCAAAAGGCAATCTTTTATTAGTATCTTTTGGATTTGGATGAGATAACTAATATTTACTCATGCTTGCAATGTGAATTATGCATATTATGCAGGCTAGAGCTACTCACATATGTCTTGACTGTGGATTCATATACACTGCACAAAAACCCTTTGATGAGCTGGTAAGATTAATCAAATTCTCTCATTTATTTATCATTTTTAGTGCGTTTTTCTTTTGTCTTGGTGAATGATCAATTATTAATTTTTATAAATTTTACTGCGCAGCCGGATACATATGCGTGCCCACAATGTATAGCACCAAAAAAGAGATTTGCAAAATATGATGTGAATACTGGAAAAGCAATAGGCGGTGGTTTGCCTCCAATTGGGGTTATTGTTGGCCTGGTGGCTGGTATTGGTGCTGTTGGTGCTCTGCTTGTTTATGGTCTTCAATGAGAGCCTTTATATCCTTTTTCCTCTCCAATTTTTAGAGTCCAATTTATTTGGTTTTACACATTTTATGTTTCAGAGTTCATATTTGCTCTGGCGTATATATATCTACATATTGCATAATGTCAATGGAAGTGTAAATCTGGATATTTGTTGTTAATGCAGCTCAAAAACTATGTTTAAATGATTAGGTTCCCTCTAATATTGGTAAACGACAGGAAAACTTCTCCTTCTCGTTCGAAATCGGGGGAAACATTTTCAATGTCGTTTCCATCAGACACCCATTGCAACCCGAAAAAAAAGTAAATAACTACTAGGTCACTTAAGTTTAATCATAATTATATTTTTATCCCTCTTATTTGGTAAATGTATTGATATTAAATTATTTAGGCCGTGTTGGCCAACATAGCATTTAAACTAATTTTTACGATATTTGTTTCATAATACTTGACATTTGTCATATTTAAATTTCACGTCTATTACGAAAATCGTTAAATTTGTCTAAATTATAATAATTATTGAGTAAATTGATTGTATCATTTTTAATTTAATATTAATTTTTTAAGAAAATCACTAAATTAAAGTAATAATTACTGGTCAAAGATGAACATGGAAAAAAAAAGATTATCACTTTTTCAAACTACAAATGTGACAAGTATTTTGAAACAAACTAATTTCTCAAATGTGACAAATATTATGGAAGAGAGGTAATAAATATTAAAGTATTGTTTTATAAAAAGTTAATTCATGGAACGTTTAAATTTTAATGGTTTATGAAAAGTCAGCCAAATATACTAAAAAATAACTACCAAAATGATTAATTTTACCGAACATACTCGTTTTCATTTAAAAGTTATAATTATAATTAAATTAAAGGGACTAAATATTTATTTACCCAAAAACAAAAAGAAGAAAAAAGCCTATGATTTTTAAGAGACTTATTGCAAAGCTGTCCTTGATAATGGAAAATTAAAAAACACAGCCAAAGGCCGTGAAATTATTTCGCATCATAGGATTCGAGTTCAGTCTCTTGTTTACCTATTGCCTAAATCATAATTACTAGAGCGGTTCACGTTGTCAAAGAATGACAATACGAAAATTTTATTTTTTTTATACTACTTAATTTTTTTAAACGATCGCTCCAATTCGCTATTCTCCTTATTTCGAGTGCTAGCTTATATATATATATAACTGATCCCGATCTTTTTTTTCCATTTCTGTCATTCAGAATAAATGAAATTCTAACTACTAATGCCTTTTAGTGCTAAAATTAAAAAAAAATATTAGAATTTTATATAAGATGTCACTCGATGAATAAAAATCATCATAGATGATTATTTAAAATAACATAACACATCATGAGCATCTCAAATAAAGCACACAGTGTACTTTTAATAATCCAAACATCTTTAACTCCTCGGACGTCAATGCCTAACATCAATAATTATCGGATGATAGTAATCATTCATCAAATCACTTGCAACAATAGTGTGTAGATATCGCATCATTCCCATTGATAAAGATTTAATCATAATCATTCAAGGCATCACATATATGATGCTAAGAGATATACTTCAGAAATATGATATAAATGATTGTCAAATTATTTATGTTATGAGTTGTAAAACTAAACATTAGTTTTTGTTTATTTAATTATTGATATTCATTAAATGTATGTATTAGTCAATAATAAATAAAAGCACAAAAGGAAAATTACTATTTAATTCTCCAGTTATTACGTATACCGCTTACTTTTTTAATTTGAGAATGTGATTTAATAATCACTCGACTTTATTTTTTTTTACATTACTTAATTTTATTACTTAATTGTGAATCTAACATTTCAAACATTAATAATTTTGAAGTGATAAATTAAAAAGTTACAATCGAAATAGAAACCTAGAAAAGCACTATTTTTTTTTTTTGAATATTATAATTTATTAAAAAAGAATTTATTATATGATTTTAATAAATTAAATCACCCAATGGATAAAAACAAGATGAAAATAGAAGAACACAAAAAGAGGTATAGGCAGTTTTGTGAAAAGAAAAGACCCACTCGTGTCATTCATCAGTATTCACAATTGCTTTTTAATGTTGTATTCCAATTTTGCCCTCATCATTTTTGGACACCATGATTTTACACTGACAGAAGCCACAGTACATCATCAACTTTACGTTTCTTCCTCAAACAAAGAAGCACATCTTTAGAAAGAGGAAGAGAGCCCAATTCCAGAGGGAAAGAGAAAAGATTGTGGGGAAGACTGTTTCTAGTGGTGAGGGAGAGATGGAAAGAAGGGCCTTATTCTTGTGCAGTGCTGTGGGTTTCTTGGGGTTACTATCAGCTGCTACAGGTTTTGCTGCAGAGGGTACCAGGATTAAGGTACTTTTTCTTTTGATATAAATATATATTTTAAGTTTTTGCTATTGAATCTTCGTTTTCTCTCCAACCCTCAAATGGGTTTCTTTGATATTGCTTTTTGGTGCTTGGTTTATCTTTGTCTTGCTACTACATGCACTTAACCGGTTAACCCTCTGGTTTTGGTTGTTAAAGACTAACTGCGCTAAAGAGAACTCACAGAGAAAAAAAATAATTTGATTTTACTTATTTGTTTATCGTGTTCTATACTCGTTAGAGAATCAATTAAAACACTGTATAAAGCTTGATGATAAAAATTAGAAATCGCACCTCTTGGATATGTTTCTGCACTTTCTCAGTGACTGGACACAGGAAAAATGTGTTTTCTTTAGTTTTGGGTTGTTTTGCAACCCTAAGCTAAATAACTTTTAATATTTCTATAATATTTTGGTTTCTGTTCTATGCATATTTCTTAAGAGCAACCGATAGTAGAATAAGTGTATTAGGGGCTTAGGGCATTATGCAAATAAAATGGAAATCTGGACTAAAGTTTTTATTGGATGATATTTCGTGAATTTGCTAATTTTTGTCCTTAGAGATGGATGAATCAGTATGGTTTTGGCTGTTCTGTAAAAGGTTTGGCAATTGTTTTAAGGTTAGGTTTATACAATTCATCTTTGCTTTGATGCCCCTTCTCTTGAATTATATTTTTTGGCAAATCATAACTTGCATTCTTATATGTGTAGACTTTTGGGTCATTTTGTTGGGGGCTGGCACAATTTTTTATGGTAAAGAGCTTACCGGTTATTAGGGAATTCAGTTTTTTGCCTCGTTCTGTTCCTGCTGCAAATAACTCTACAAAACTAAGACTTCTATGGTTCTGCTTTAGGTTGATTAGATGCTATATATTCCCAAAATATTTCGAGTGAACAAAATTTAAATAATAGCAAGCTAGTTTTTCCTGTTTTTAAAGATTATGAGATTTGCTTAGTGTAGAGAACAAGTGTTTGCAACTGTCTTCTAAAGCAGCTAATGAAATGAATACGGAACACTCCTGTGTTTCTTTGAGGATAGACTTAGTTATTGGTCTGCTCCTTTGTGGCCTTTTTGATAAGTTACTCTAAGTGCCTATTTTCATGATAAGGAATCAAATACAAGCAAAGAAAGTAAGAAGGGTGAAAAAAGGAAAGCGACATATCGCTCTTAATAATGAGAATCAAGCAGAGCTGGTGCAAAAGTAGTTCTGTAATTTTTTAAACTATTTGCTCATGAGATGATTCTAAGTGTCTAATTCGCTACACATGATTCGAAGATACTTTTATATCCTCTAATACTTGTCTAATTGATGACCAATGGCTTTGTTTGTTCGGTTACTGCACCACTTGTTCCTGTATGTGTGATCTTTATTTTGGAAAGAGGCCTCTCTAATGCAGTAGACCCTAATGCAAAAAAATTTTGATCTTGCATTCTTACTGTGTTAGATTAGGGGTGAAATAAAAAAAGTTACATTTCATTCTTTTTGGAATCTGTAGGTAGCATGCTCAAATCATAGTTATCAAGCAGCTTCACATCAGAAAGCATCAGCACAATCAGTGTCCTTATTGTTAAGCTATTTTTAGTATTATCAAGAATTCCTTGTTTTTGATACTGTATTTATAGGTTTTACACCAGTATGTGGATAGAATCATGCAAATTGAATTGGCAATCATCAATCCTGATGATTGCTATTGTACACCAGATTAGTGCAAATAAAGAAGAAGCATGTATGAGTGTGCATGTGTGCAATTCATTTCTTCAAGTTATCTAGATATATATTTTGTCTCATATGATGAACATAGTGTGGTATTTATAAGTTGAGGCCTTCCTGCAGTCAACAGATTTTGTAGCGAGTGATAATCTCTATGTTTACATAAAAAAGTGAAGGGTTCAGTTTGCTATCACTTGATCTTTTTATATGGCTACTGATCTCTAGTCTATATATCTGATCCACAGTAACATTTTCTGTCAAATGATGCAGAAACTTAGAGGTTGTAAAACAGCATACTTCATGTCTAATAGCATTTGTTATCTTCTTATCTTTTATACTCCTGTAGGGTTCTGAGGTTCAGTTCACATCTGCTACTCAATGTACATATCCTCGGAGTCCTGCCATGGCTCTTGGTTTAACATCGGCTGTAGCACTGATGATAGCTCAAGTGATTATTAATGTTGCAACTGGGTGTATTTGTTGCAAAAGAAGCCCTCAACCTTCAAACTCAAATTGGACAATAGCATTAGTTTGCTTTGTTGTTTCCTGGTACGTCTCATTGATCATTTGCTGATGAAGTTCATTTCAGGTTTATACGTTGCAGGTTTTTGGTTTAACAATCGCTCCTTGCCCTATCAATGCCTTAAAGAGTTCCTGACAGCTCATGTTATCTGTACTAAATTCAATTAACTCTTCTACTATAACAGACTTTCTGGCTAGCTGGACAGTCTTGTGCATCATCTAATTGCTATTAACACATATCTCACTGCCACATTGCCCCCCCCCCCCCCACAATAAGCAATTAGTTGCTTTTTGTTTCCTGGTTACGTCTCATTTGATCATTTGCTTGATGAAGTTCATTTTCAGGTTTATACGTTTGCAGGTTTTTTTGGTTTTAAACAATCGCTCCTTGCCCTATTCAATGCCTTAAAGAGTTCCTGACAGCTCATGTAATCTGTACTAAATTTCAATTAACTCTTCTACTATAACAGACTTCTGGCTAGCTGGACAGTTTCTTGTGCATCATTTCTAAATTGCTATTAACACATATCTCACTGCAATTGCCCCCCCCCCCCCCAACACACACAACTACCTGAGAGGCCTTTCTTTATTGTATATTTGTTCATCTTATTCTACTTATTCTTAAATTGCTTCGAAAGTCTATGTGCCAGGACCTAATCATACTGTTTAATTAATTTAGAAAGATAAAATTACCATTAAATTAGATAAAACAATTTATTAGAATTTAAATTTCTCTAACTGCACTTTTTTATGTTAAAGAAGTATCCCCCCCCCCCCCAACACACACACTACTGGAGGCCTTTTTATGTATATGTTCATCTTATTCTTACTTTCTTAAATTGTTCGAAGTCTATGTGCCAGACCTAATCATACTGTTTAAGTTAATTTAGAAAGATAAAATTACCATAAATAGATAAACAATTTTTTAGATAAATTCTCTAACTGCACTTTATTTATGTTAAGAAGTATTATGAGCTGGCTTCAAGAGTCTGCTGGAATAACTTGTGATGTAATTTCTTTGACAATTATTGCAGTTGGCGATTTGGCGTACCACTTACCTGGGGACTATGTTCTTTGAGAATTCTACCTTGCATTTTTTTTTTTCCTTTTTCCTTTCACAGAAAAATATATAGGTTGTAGGATTATTGTTTTTGTTTATCACAGTCCTTTCATTCTACATCTTCACATATTGTAACATTAATTCTCATCCTCATTTTTGTTTGCAAAGAATCTTATTTAGGTAAAACTTGGTTTATTTAGATGGAGGAAAATCACATGCTTTTCTTTGAAACGATATATTAATGTTTGAACCTGTAATACATCCTATTTCTGATAGTAATATTTAGCAATTGAATCTAATAATGAATTTTCATGTTTGTATGCATTTGCATGCGTAAATGTATTGCTACTTGTAGTGATAATGATATATAGTACATTACATGCAGGTTCACATTTGTGATAGCTTTTCTTCTGTTATTAACCGGTGCTGCACTGAATGATCAACACGGTGAAGAGAGCATGTACTTTGGCAACTACTACTGCTATGTTGTAAAACCAGGAGTCTTCGCAGGTGGTGCTGTCTTGTCTTTTGCAAGTATCACTCTGGGAATTCTCTACTACCTAACCTTAAACTCATCAAAGAGCATTAACAGTACATGGGGCAACCCTCCTGTTTCTAGTTCAACTGGCATAGCCATGGGACAACCTCAAAACACATCACAAGGTGGCACTCAAGATCCTATTTTTGTACACGAAGATACTTATATGAGACGACAGTTCACTTGATCGGTAAATTTCACGAACCAATTGAGTTGCTATGTTAAATTTGATGGAGAAATATGCATATTTTGGTTCCAAAGCTTGTTAATGGAAGCAGAAGTCTACTGTGAAGGGGGTTTTACAGGGTAGCCCGTAGTGTTTCTAGTTTCTTTGCTGGCTTTAGTGTATTCCTCCATTTAATCCTTCGCATGAGCAGACATATTTACAAATTGTATTTGTATATACATCCTTGGAGGATTATTCTGCAATCACTTCAAAATATAAATATACATATATCATATATGTGTGCTAGGCCCATTATAATTGGGATTTTGTGCGTTGCAAATGCCGAGTTGTTGGTTATGTTGATCATAATGGCAGAAAACGACACTCTTAATTCAACTGCAAGTTTGCCGTTTGGTAGTTTGGACAGCCTATGAGTTCATTGGTTTAGTTACTTTTAATTTTAATGAGACTATATACAACTTTAGTGTAATGCATGAAAGTTATCTTAATGAATTTGATTCAACGTACGCACATTACCATATCGAGTTAATTTGAGTTTTCCATTAATATTGTTTTCGAATATACCAACACTAACCTACGTACTGTACATATTTAATTTCTATATATCTAAAATCCAACAGCAAAATGTTTTGTCAGCTTTGGTTTTGAAGCTATGGGTTAGTGCATGTGTATGACTTCAAAACAATAAACGGAATTAATGATTCAAATTTTTATCTTTTTTTGAAGCAAATTAAGCACCAATTTTTTAAAATCACAGTTTTAGTCGGACTTTAACAGTTTAAACGATTTACAGCCGTTGATGCGGATTAATAGGACAAGAGATGCACACTAAAGCATAGCCTGACAATTGACACTAAAGCATAGCCTGACAATTGACTCAGGTTTGAATCATTTCCGATGCTTAGACAATTGACTTGACCTATCATTTTCCTTGATATATAAAAAGAAAAAGAAAAAGAAAAAGCACGAGATTTGCGTAAACTAGGCCCATTATCCGATGGAATTCAAATTGTGATAACAGAAATTGGCCCATGGAAACAAAGAGGAAAAGAAGTAGCCGAGGGAAGGGAAATGAGGGACTTTTTAGTCAATGTAAAATACAACGGCTATTTTTCAAACATAGATAACCGTTGCTGCTTCAAAACTCCAGTATTCCTTATTTCCTTTTACTTTATTATTATTTACATATTTAAAAATCTTGACGGCGAAACAGCTTTGAAGAAAACAAGCAAACCAAAGCCCTAATTTCCAATTCCAATCACTATATAAACCCACCAATTCAATTGATAACTCAAAGTCACATTCTCTCGGAACAATCTACAACAAAACTAGCTCGCTAATCCCTCCGCGCTCTCTCTCTCTCTCTCCCTCTTATTTTCATTTTATACTCATTTTCTGTTTTTGTTACTAATCCTCCTGTTTTGCAGGAACTTTTTCTCTTCTTTTATCCATATATTCTATTATTGTTTGCATTTGTATTTTTTTTGTTTGGTATTAACATATGGATGCAGGATCAGTAAACTCTTCTTCAAACATGAAAGGACAATCAAGATTCCCACTTCAAGAACAGCTTCTTCAAAGAAGGACTTCTAAAGAAAATGTAAGATGATTTTAGTCTTTTATTCATTTATAGATAGTAATTTGGGGTTCTTGAATTAGTCAAAGTGCTAAAGTGGGTATCTATTTATCAATTTTGATGTTTCATAATTGAACTTCTTGTACTAAAAATTTCGTAGTCCAAAATTATTGCTTAACGGGCATTGGTTATTAATCAACATATGTGTTTGCTATTTATGAATTTAACAGTTGGATAGATTTATTCCAAACCGCTCAGCAATGGATCTGGATTATGCCCATTACATGCTAACAGAAGGTAAGAAAGGTAAAGAGAACCCTGCAGCAAACTCACCCTCAAGAGAGGCCTACAGGAAGCAATTGGCTGAAACATTGAACATGAACCGGACTCGGATTCTCGCTTTTAAGAACAAGCCTCCTGCACCTGTTGAATTGATCCCACAAGAGCACACTTCCTTATCTCACCTCCAGGCCAAACCCACTAAGCCGCGCAGACACATTCCTCAGGTACATTATCCAGTATTCATTTGCTTGCTTGTTGCTTTCATAAGAACAGTAATTGAATTGGTAATAATTGTTTGATTTGTTCATTGTGTATAGACCTCTGAGAGGACATTGGATGCTCCTGACCTTGTTGATGATTTTTACCTCAACTTATTGGATTGGGGAAGCAGCAATGTTCTAGCTATAGCTCTTGGGAGTACAGTATATTTGTGGGATGCAACTGATGGCTCTACATCAGAACTTGTTACAATCGATGATGAAATTGGCCCTGTTACTAGTGTCAGTTGGGCTCCTGATGGACGCCACATCGCCATTGGCTTGAACAATTCTGAGGTTCAGCTATGGGACTCTGCTTCTAATAGACAGGTTATTATCTACCATTGATAGCACAACGTTATTTTTGCTGGAAAAAAGGAGCACATATAACTTTTTTGTAGTTTTCAGATGATGTTACAACCTGTTTTTTTCATTTAAGATTTAACAATAACAAAAATAAGGTCTAACTTTGGATTTTGTTTTCTTTGATAACATTACAGCTAAGAACATTGAGAGGTGGCCACCGATCCCGAGTAGGATCACTGGCGTGGAACAACCATATCCTTACTACTGGAGGAATGGATGGCCAAATATTCAACAATGATGTGAGAATTAGATCACACATTGTGGAGACATACAGAGGGCACCAACAAGAGGTTTGTGGGCTTAAATGGTCTGCTTCAGGCCAGCAATTAGCAAGTGGAGGCAATGATAATCTTGTTCACATATGGGATAGATCAGTAGCATCATCAAATTCAGCAACACAATGGCTTCACAGGCTTGAGGATCATACTTCTGCAGTAAAAGCCCTTGCTTGGTGTCCATTCCAGGGAAATTTGCTAGCCACCGGAGGAGGTGGTGGCGATCGGTGCATAAAGTTTTGGAATACACACACAGGTGCTTGCTTGAACTCAGTAGACACTGGCTCTCAAGTTTGTTCTCTGCTGTGGAACAAAAATGAGAGGGAACTGCTTAGCTCTCATGGGTTTACTCAGAATCAGCTCACTCTTTGGAAATACCCATCAATGGTTAAAATGGGAGAACTCACTGGCCATACATCTAGAGTGCTTTTCATGACTCAGGTAACTATGTGAATTGAATGAACCCAACAAAAAAAATTCCATTTCTTGATTGTTCAAATACTTACTGGTTTTTTATGATTTTTCTTCAGAGTCCAGATGGTTGCACAGTTGCAACAGCAGCAGGTGATGAAACACTTAGATTCTGGAATGTTTTTGGTGTTCCAGAAGTGGCTAAAGCTGCCCCAAAATCAAATCCTGAACCATTTTCCCACTTGACTCGCATCCGCTGAAAGGCCCTTGAAAATAGAAGCCGGATTCGTTGACAGAACTTGAACAAGAACTAAGTGCAGCATGTTCAATTGCTTTCAGACCAAAATATATTGCCAATGTAAGAAAAAAACAATTCTGAGATATGTCAATCTTTTCATACATTGTGTAAAATTGCTGCCTCAAATATCTTAAAAAAGGTTGTTGCATTTTTCTTGCAGGTGACAGGCTAAAATTAATAGCAGTTTGGTGTCAATTGACTGTGCACATCTGGACAGGGGAAAAATGTGTAAATATGTGCATTTTCCAATTTGATTGTGCGAATGTGTAAAGTAGCAAAGAACAACCCATGAAAACCCAATTTGGTTTTTGAGAAGAACGGATGTACTATCAAAGTATATACTAGTAAAAGCTTTCAGATCCTTTCTCCGTGGATGTAGTCACATGATCTCATGTGATGAACCACGTAAATTTCTTGTCTTTTCTTTCTCTTCTTTCTTCTTGTTTAATAGTTTTCCTCTTGTTTAAAAAATAAAAAGATCAGTTCAGTAAGTAAATGAAGAACAAAGCACCTTGAATTTTAGACAATTAAAAAAAATAACAAAAAAGAGAAAATATGAAGCTAAAAGAAAAATAACTGTTTCAAGATGAACGCCAAATTAATAATTTACAAGGTGTTTTTCCATAAATTCTCTCTATATAGGTCAAATTCAAATGTTGCTTATAGAGAGCACAGACAAGTCTTTCTTTTCATTGCTATGAATTTTTAGTTAATTTTACAATTTTAATGAGCAGAAGGGATGTATGTTAGATACCTAAGGTGTTGTAAAAGAAACCAGCTTGTCATTCAGTAAAATTAGATGACGATAATAACAATATTTGTATTTTTCATTGCATTAAAAATGATCCACTGTGACCCAGTGGGTTCCAATAATTCTTTGATTACACAAACTTAGCTGAATCATCTTTTTCTGTGTAAAAATGGATATTCCGTAATTCATCTTGAGAAGATTAAAAAGGATGCTTTGTAAGATAATATGGTCTAAGAGACCTTGTTCATAAAATCAAAGCTTTTAATGGCATTTACAATTGCTTGAGGACTTAGAGCAGCATCCACTTTAAATATTCCTTCACAATCATCTGTCTGCAGTAAGTCTAGCTGTGATTGCAAAAGGGTAGCTGGCATGAAATGTTTCCCTTCTGCAGCTCTTCTATTTAATCGATCCACAAGCACCTCAACCTTGGCATCCAGCAACACAAACTTAACTGCACTGACATAGCTTCCAAGTTTATAATTGGGGTCAGCAGATCTAAGAATTTCCCGATATCGCTTCTGCAGAGAAGAACAACCAAGTACAACATTTTTTCCACTAGTCATCCTCTCCCTTAAAGCATCACGGAGACTTCCAAGCCATGGAATCCGATCCTCCTCCAATAAAGGAATGCCTTGACGCATCTTTTCTGCATTTGACAATATGATAATTCCAAAAGCATAAAGCTTTTCATGCAAGAAAAGATTTCGCTGGGATCAAAAGAAATAAATATATCAATAGAGAAAGAACTAAAGTTACAGTTAATAGATATATCAATACCTTTGTTTGACTGTGAATGGAAATCATCAGCATCAAGAAAACTACAGTTCAAAATCTTGGACAGCAGTTCGCCTATTGTACTGTTGAAGAACACGGTCAATGTATAAAATCATTCATTACCGAGAAGGTTAAAACATATATGCAGTGAATGTAAAAGCAACAAAAAATCACAGTTAATCGCTTGTCCTATGTCACTTAATTTTTAAGAATTATTTGAAGCAGCAGAAAGAAAGACTATTTCAGTAATTAGAATCATTGCTCGATTCAAACAAGCACGCATAATTAATTTGAAAAGAAAAGTACCATCACAATATAACAATCTCTATGCAAAAAGGGGAAAAGGGTAAATGAATACTGAGTTTTTGCAATTTCTTCTCCTTAGTTAAAACAGATCAGGTTCAAAAGCTATTTGATATCTAACAAGGGGACTAAACTTACGATTTCCCAGCACCACTGACTCCCATAATCACAATAGCTTTACCTGTAAATAGCAAATACAAATAAAAATGACAACCAAGAAATGGAAAGCAATGAAAATCAAGAACTAGAAAGTTAAGGGTGGCTACAGCAATCAAGAGTATTGCATAAGGAAAGGAAACTAGTTGAAATGAAATTTGTTTCAAACCCAAAAATAAAAATTAGATAAATAAATAACTTACCTTTGAGATCAAAAGCCATAATTGATCCACAGCTTAGACAAATCCACGAAGCAGAGTCAGAAAAATATGCAGCTTCAAAAGATAATCCTTTCTCTACAGAGATTGGATGAATGCTGCTGCAACAAATTGCTGCAAGACAAACCATGCACTTTTCAATTGAAGAAGATTATTCATCAAAATCTCCTTATCAACTAATCGCTAGTGAAAGCTGTTTAAGAGTTCATGCATAAAACAAAAATTGAGAAGAATTCCGATCGATAAGTCATTAAACAAATCCGACCACGTCAAAGTTGTTTTACCAACTAAGTTTTGAATTCTCTTGTACATTGAGTGTCCAGATTTGACTCAAAATGCCATTTACTTCTTTACATGTCAATTTACACAAATTTATAAAAAAACATAAATTCGCACAACAACTCCATCCCAATTAATCACACAGAAAACACATTGGATCACCAATATTCAAGAACAGGGAACCACCAACTGGAAATAAGAAACTGAAACTGAAAACAAAATAGATGAACAAAACAGCAAAATTTGCAAATTGTAGAAATAGAAGGGAAGAAATTAAAATTCTGCACTAGGGAACTGACATGCATCATTCAGAGATTGAACATTGAACAGAAATAGAAGAGAAATGGAAAAATAACTTGAATTTGAAATACTGAGGGGATTAGCATCGCTTACTAGGATTAATTTCTGCTTCTGAATCCAGCAAATGAGGAGAAGCGAAGGGATTGTACAACTGTCAACTGCACTACGCTGCCTAACATTTTGACCCCATATGATTGAAGTCTAACGCCAAGCTACAAAGCAAAATGATTCTAGAGTTTAGGGCCTCATCATGGGCCGGGCCAGGCCTATCCAAATCAACGTGGGTCCGTTTGGATTAAGTTCAACTAAAACAATGAGCTTTGAATGTAAAGTCACGTAAAATTATAATCTTATCTCTATAATTTATCAAAATAATTATTTTGAAAATAAATTTTTATTTTATTTTGTCCCTGTTATACACTATTGTCCTTCTGCTAAAAAAAAAAAAAAAAATCCATATTTCACTATAAAAAGAAAGAAAAATCCTTAATTTCTTTCTACCCTTAAACCTTTTTCTCCTTGAAAATGGTTTCCATGAAAATCTAATAAGTTGCCATTAACGGAAATGAATGTTGCGATGATGAATTTGGAATATCAATGGTGGACTTCTTGATGAAGATGTTATTTAGGTGTGGTGTGTGGGTTTAAGACTATTTATGTGTTTCTAAAAGGCATTCAACTGTATAAATTGGATTTTTTTATAAAATAAGAGTGGTGTATAATGGTAGAAAATAATTTATTATTTAAAATAGGGAGATAAAATAGTTATTTTAGCAAAATACATGGGCAAGATTTTAATTTTTCCCTAAATACGTTTACTGGTTTAGTCCACACTGGATTCCTACCCATCAAAGATTCGCCGAGAAGTCGACATAGGAGGAGGAAGAAGCTAGAAATAGACGTTTCAATTTGAAAAACCGTAGACGGAGAAGCGCAGAGCTCAAAGAAGGCAGCAGTAAGCACACTTTCCTTCTTTGACTGCAAAAAAAAAAAAGAAAGTTTGCACTTATAAAAGCACTTTTTGGTTCTGATTATATTTTGATTCTGTATAGAAATTGTAATTGTGATCGGTTTTAGGAATTTTTTTCAGACTTTCTGTTTGATTGCTGGGAAATCTGAGGAAAAATGAAAGGAAATGTAGTATTACTGCTTACATTGAGTGGGAATAGAAACCCGATGAAACATCGATGAGAAAATTGAACGCTATTCAGTCTAATTTGTGTAGACAATTCCACAGTTATAGGAAGATTTTTTCAATAGTTTCTGTTTGGTTGTTGGAAAGTCGGAGTAAAAAGTGAAAAGGAAATGTATTATCGGGCTTGTATCGTATAGGAAATAGAAATCCAATGGTAGATTGAAGAGAAAATTTAAGATACAATTCAATCTGTGCAGGCAGTAACACATTTGTTTTGAGATGAACTGGACAAAGCGTTGTCGTTTGCTTGCCCAGACAAAGAAATTTGCAGTGCCATTGTTTAATAATCATCAACATGGTATACCTAGAGTTGAAAGGTCTCGGAATCTTCATTGCTTGCAGCAGCCTCAGAAAGGATGGGTGTGCGTTGGGGCTGGGGAGGAATGGTGGAGAATGATTTTCTCTCGTGGATATGCACATGACGTTGAGAATGATTCTCAATTGAGTAGAAATTTTCTTGCGCAGTTTTGGATTGCAGATAGGAAAATGGAAAAATCTAGAGAGAAAAGAAAGCACAAGATTGGTGAGTATATTGATTATAGTAATGTGAAATACATAATAAGCATTAATCCTTTCTATATCTAATTGTGGGACAGCTTTCTGGTTGAATCATGACAGGAGAAAGATCTAATGGCCATGGAAGAACAGTTCTGAACCAACCTCCTCCAAGTCAATCTGTATCTGGTTATTTAGAGCCAGCTTCTCCTGAGGAAGTGAGTTTTAGATATTTGTTTTTCATCATTATGCTTTTGTTGTGTGCTTGTCTTAGTGCAATTCCTTTTTTGGTCTTGGTCTTGGACACGAGTGCATTGAATGAGCAAGCCAACCTTCATCAAGTCTATGAGAGACTGACATCTAACCGACTTCCTCACCATTTCCTGAATCTTACAGGCCCAGGTTGCACTTCTTCTTGCTAGGTCCAATTTGTTGATTACTAGGGATATAGAATGGGCAAATCTGGTACTTGGTTTTGAGCAGGTGATTTTCTACTGTGGATTGTTTCCTCATATGTGCCCCAATTTGACAGCAAAAAGTTGTTATTTGTTTCAGTGAAGGATTCAGCTTAAATGTTAAGGCGCTAATTTATGCACTCATTTTTTTATTTTTTTTCTCTTTTCACTTTTTGTCTTGAACCATCCGAGATATGGATATTTGACTCCATTTGGAACAAAAATTAAGAAACTGTTATCTGTTAATTGCTGTTTGTTTTGTTACTGCACTTGAACTTTTGAGTTATTGCTGAGGAACAGCAAAGTGAAGCTTTATTTGGCTGATATTGCATGAAATATCTTGTTGTCACTCCTTCTCATGTTCCAATTGTACCGTTGCCAGTACCATGTGATTGAGTATTCACTGGAAAGTCCTGACTTGAGTTTGCACCATGTTGGGTTATCTTGCATCTATTTTCCTTTTGTGTTCTTTCTATATGTTGGAGGTTGTGGATTATCTTGGGTTATTTTAAGTTAGATTTAAGGTTTGTAAGATTTTTGGAATAGGAGTTGTTGTAGCCAATTGTATTAACTTATTGCATGGAATTAGTAACTAGAAGGCAAAAGATAGCTTTGAGAAGCAAAATTGTTACGTTTTTTCCAATCACTCCTAGAGTGAAGAAAGAGTACTTTTTTGGGGTTTAGATCTCATAACTGAGCTTGCTGCAAAAACCATTTTAGAAATTGGAAAGTTTACCAGTCAAACTCATTAAAATTTTAGATATTTAGAACCGCATCCCTACCAAAAATTATAAATAACCTTGCAACAGAATAAAAGGACACCCTTGCATAATAGGCATCTTTCCCCCTCTTTTCATTGTGTCCATAACCATTTAATGACTTTCTGTATATTTTTGTTTTGGTATTTCTGGGACTTTTATTTCGGTTCTAAAGCACTATTCACGAGTCATAATTGAAAATATTAGCAGTAATGTTAAGAGCCCAATGCTTGATCTTGTGGTTGTGGCTCGTTCACGTAGAAGTTGTACTTGCATGTGGTTTCTCTGCATGCTTATCTTCATTTCTTTGATTGTCACATTCAGACTAACATTACAAGCTTGGCGTATGCCTTAGAGAACTTATAAATCCTATGGCAAAAGGTTGAGAAACTTAATGTCATCTTGGAAAGCATGCAGTTGGGTCTAATTACCTATGGATTTGATGTGTGTTCTCATGGTGGTATTTGTTTCTCATAACACTCTTAGATTTGTTAACACATATTCTTGTTTTCTTAGGGTGTGTTTTCTTAAGTTTTCTTTATGTTCGTTATTAAATTTTATTGTTAAAATATTGCAGGAAAACCGTTATGTAATTGTAGATGTGTGCTACCCCCAGTCTGTGAGTAATTTTTTTAATTCTCATTCTACTATAAATGAAAATTGTGTTTTAACAAGATGATTGGTTCTTGGTGTACTTGAATTGTCCAATTTCTTTGCAGCCTGCAGGTTTTATTCGGGAACAGAGTAATGTCATTGCTAGGCAGGTCTGCATCTTTCCTAATTCTACCTCCTCCCCCACTTTTGATTGTTATTTCTTGAATAAAGCATGCATCTCTCTCTCTCTCTCTCTCGTTTTTCTCTTTTACTTGGTGTACTGAAATTGTGATCTCTTTATGCCTTGATTGTTGATTACTTCTGTTTGCTTAGAATTACCAATCTACAATAATAATTCCTTATATGCAGCTTGTTTTTCTTTTACCAACTCAAGTTTGATTATTTTGGAATGCAACATGACAACTTGCTGTCTGTGCTCAGTGGCACATTTAGCAACTATGTCAATCCAGTAGTAGTTCCCATAAATCTAGAACCAGGCATTATTATTTCCTTGCAAGAGTCAAATGAGAATCACTGCTTTATCAATGACCAATTATTAATAGATGAAAATTGCTTAACTTTCTTTACACTTTTTCTGATCAATTATTTATTGCATCATGTTTGTTGCCATTATCAAATGGGATTGTGGAATGTAGACAGGCAGCTGTTGCCGTCAATTTCCTGTTTTTGTAAACTGTTCTATTGTCTTTCCAAACCCTTTCATAATACATATTCTTTCTTCAGGCATGGTACCTGTATGCATCTGCCTGGTCTTCATTTAGATAAGAAGGCTTGATCGGTCGCTTGGACTTGGTTAACTTTTTCAACCATGTCAAATTTGATATGATGTATTTCTAGAATTTCTATCAAGTGAATTTTCTTTTCACCTATCATGGTATCTGAGACTTTTGGATCGCCTGACTAATATCCAAGCCTTTTTATTCCCTCTGTCATACATGTTTTCGTATTGGGGAATTACTATGATGAATTCCTATTTGGCCAAGTGAAGTGGTAGAATTCAAATTATGAAACCCAAAAGTATAAGAGCCACTTGCTCAATCCAATGGGTTAGGGAAGGAAAAATACGTACAATAGTTTACAAGTCTAGCCGAGTCTTATGGGATTGGGATTGGGATTGGGTGATATAGAGACGTCAGGGCGACATGGGTAGAATACTACGGTTCATGAATGACAGTACAAGAAAAAGACATCTAGAAAAGGTCAATTTTGCTTCAATTCAGAACTAGGTTAGGGAGAAACTGTTGCATGGTCTGGAAACAGTAAATTAGAAGGCATGGAGATAACAGAAGAAAGCCCAAAGAGAGAGATGATGGGGCTGCAATAAAATTATCAAGGCTTACTGGCCTAGTGAAGAATATTTCTGGATAAAGAATGAGCAGATATGAAGGCTTAATTAATTCTATTTTTCCGATACAAAGTTGAACTGGGATAGTTGATATTTCTCGAATCTTATGCGTTGATTTTTTATTCACATATCTGTTTACATAATGAAACTCGGACATTCGTTTGGTCATATATAACTATTCTGGTAGCAACTTGATATTGTATACTTAAAGGAAATAAGCGTGAGCGGCAAGCATATGTATGATTTTAGAAGTAGCTGTATTCTGATGCCTTTTGTATTTTCTGCAGTTACTTCGTCTAAGGCGCCCTTTTGTTGCTTACATAACTGATGCTATGGGTAATGAGCTGTTCAGGGTGAGGACTTTGTGCATATTTCTTGTTTAGCTGTGTAGCAAGTTATAAATTGATGATTCATCTCTAAGGCTCCGTTTCAATTTATCTAGGTTCGGAGGCCATTTTGGTGGATAACCAGCTCAATTTATGCAGAGATTAATGGTAAAGTATGTAACTTTTACATACTTAAGGCTTTAATAGCAGTAGAACTTTGAGCATGTAAACTTCAGTCCGGTTCCTGACGGAGTCAAGTAATTGTTCGTTTCTAGGAAATTGGTGTGGTTCACAGACGATGGCATCTTTGGAGGAGGATATATGATTTGTACATTGGGTAATTTCAGTAGGCCATTGTTTTGCTCGCTTTAGAGTTCAGTATCTTAGTTAACAGTGTTATTTGCAGAAATAAGCAATTCGCTGTGGTTGAAAACCCTGGACTTTGGAATTGGACATTTACATTGAAGGACATTAATGGGGAAGTTCTTGCTCAAATAGATCGCGACTGGAGGGGTTTTGGATTTGAGGTTGTTTCCTTTGTTTGTAATATAGTGTTATTGACTGTAATGTTGATTCTTGTGCTTTATTTGTTCATTCTTAACAGGTAAATGCCTTCAAATTTTTTCTGTCAATTTTACTTGCTTCTGAGAAATAAACTTTAGGATCGTCACTTTCTTGATGTTTCATTATAATTAATGGGTTACTGATCTTTATTCTTCACATCAGGGAGGAGGAGGAGGGAAACAAATATGATATTAATGACAGGCCTTTGAAAGGCTTCTGATTGCATGTGAACATTATAATTGCATTGATTGCAACATGGAAAGATGACATCAATATTTTGTTTGGTTTCCCAAATACCTTGCAGATATTTACTGATGCTGGTCAGTATGTAATACGATTTGGTAGTTCTGATCCCAGGTCCAAGACTGGTCCTGCTACAGCGGTAAAATATGGAATCAAAAAGTGAAATTCTCTTCAATTTCTACCTTATTCGTTTATATTCTGTTATCTTTTGTTGATAAACCCACTTTATTGTCTTCCTGTTACGTTGCAGATTCATGATTTGGAAGTTGTCCGTCCTTTGACGTTATCAGAGAGAGCTGTTACTCTTGCTCTTGCCATTTCTCTGGATAATGACTATTTTTCAAGGCGTGGTGGCTGGTGAGTAAATTTACTGACTTTTGCTTGAACTTATTTGTATCCTATGGTCTACATAGCAACCGAACGGATTATAACTTAGGCCTAAGTTACAAAAATACCCTCACCTTTGCGACCTATTGCAGTATCACTTTAAACCCACTTTCGTCCCCCGGGCACCCTGGCTCAGTAACTTAGATAGATTGTCACCCTAATTGAAAAATCAGCTAGGGTTTTGTAATTTTTTACTATTAAATTTTTACTATTAAAGTGGGTCTCACCTAACCAGCTTGGGTCAATTTAACCCAAGCCTCAAAACTCACCGTTATAATTAACCCAAATCCACTCAAAATCATGAAAACTCACCATTTTGATGATCAAGCCATTTAACCCCTCCAGCCCCCACTTTTTGTTATTTTAATCTTCGCTTTCTCGTATGTGAAATACTTATAACGATAGCTTAACTTTAGATTCTTCTGTTGGATTTTCACCGTTTTCCAATACATAAGCAATTTTAGTGTTTCGGGTTTCTTTTTTACTGTTTCGTTTTTTGGGTTCGGTTGGGTGATGGGGTTTTGTTGCTTTCCTGTATTCTTTTCTTCTTTTTGTATCTTTTCTATTTCTTTACTGGATTCCCTATCTCTGCTCTTTCTACTGTAAATATTTTCTTTTTTAAAAAATATTCTTTGTTTTTTAATTTCTTTTTATTTCACACCCCCCCCCCCCCCCCCCCCCCCCCAAAAGTGCATGTTCTTTGGTTTGTCTATCTAGATTGGATCACAAGGATCCTGTCTGTTAGAGAGAGGAATGTGTGTGGTGGTTTGTGCTGGTCTCTTGCTGATGCATTCATTGTTTTCCTTGAGAGCTGAAGAGAGATGTAGGAAGTAGGAGGAGAGAGAAGAAGGAAGTAAGGTTGGAGATTTCTGGGATTGGATCTTCTCAGCGTTTGTCCACCCAGATTCTTGCTTTTGCTTTTTTTGATAGCTGCATCTGTCTCTTGGTCTTATGTTTTCTTTTTGCTTTACGTTGGAGTAACTTGGAACTGGGTTTTTGAGTGATGATGGTTTTTTAAGGAAAAGTACTTCTCAATAGTGCTGGTTGTATATGCTTACTCTCGAATGTACTTGACATTTATGGACAGGGAAATCGAGGCGAGAGAAAGACATCGTTATAGCTGTGAGAAGGAAAGAGGACCTACATAGAAGAGGCCGGCTGGAGGGACAGAATAGGAAGTGAAAAGGAATGGGCGGGAGGAGCGTTGATGATAGTGGAGAAAGGAGTTTGGAAGAAGACTAAGTTTAGCCGCTGGGAAGACTGAATTTTTAGGGTGTATAGTTTAAAACCAAAAACGGTGGATTTTTGAAATGATTCTTCCAGGTGTACGGTAATGTTAGTGAATAATGGTTAATTGATGGGGACTTCGTAACCACAAGTGTAAGACTCAAGAGCCGCACATGACATTGTAAAGGTTCGATATGTGGGGATTAACTCACATATTCAATAGTAGATGTAAATTTTAGCTATGTATCTCACAAAACACCCTGACGCGTTGATTTGCTGATTTTTCTCAGGTTATTCGAGAGAAAATTATGAGGAATCTCGGAATAAGTGCATGAGTCGAAGACACCAGTCCAATTTGTTAAATTCAGGGATCCGCAGAAAAACATTATCTGAAGTCTAAGCGCTGCAATTGTAAGTTCCGGAAGGTGCCGACTCAAATACTGGGGCAATAATTAGACCTCCGCCAACACGATACAAGACGACCTTAGTTAGCCATGGCCTGATATTATATGCTATAGAGCGTTCGCATAGCGTAGCAATGTGCCAATAGTAGAAGTACAGAATACATGATTTGAGTCTAAAGGGCTGCATATAGTAGTGTCCAAATTTCGGCAGGGCCCTAAAATAATGATATAAGGCCACCTTAGAAGGATTTACGTAGCGTCACCTGGGAGTACTAAAGCGGGGTGATGGAAACTCTACAGTGTGTTATGTAAAGGCGGTCCGAATTGAACCACATGCGGTGAAAAGCGGTATGGAGTGGATCGCTAAGTATAACAATCGCATAAGTGAATCCAAAAAGTTACAAAGCAGTAATGTCTGGCTGAGAATCCTGGCGGAATGCCTTCGTCACTCGACGAGCAAACTATATAAGTGTATAATTTTACGCTGGTGAGAAGACTCGCAAGATCGGCGACCCCCCCGTATGGCAAAAATGCACTGGAATCAAATCGCCACAAGGGATCATGATGAACATTGGATGCAGGAAAAAGGATCTATGGAGGCCTATTCTCTGATATAACTCATCACTAATCAAATAGAGTGAGAAGAAAGATCGACGCGCAGAAGCGGTAGAAGTCCTTCAAAGTAGTTGATCCTAGGCTTTAAGCTCCGACCAGGCAACAATAGACAAGGCTCGGAACATTGTACCGGCAAACAAGTATACGCCCCCCCCCCCCCCCAAAATGCATGTTCTTGGGTTTGTCTGATCTAGATTGGATCACAAGGATCTGTCTGTAGAGAGAGGAAGTGGTTGTGGTGGGGTTTTGGTGCTTGGGTCTCTTGCTGCAGCATCTTGTTTTCCTTTGAGAAGTTGAAGAAGAGAGTAGGAAGGAGGAGGAGGAGAAGAAGAAGAAGGTGAGATTTCTGGATGTTGGATCCTTTACCAGCTTTGGCCACCCAAGATTCTTTGCTTGTGCTTTTTTGTGATAGCTGCATCTGTCTCTGTCTATTGTTTTCTTTTGCTTACGTGGGAGTAACTTGAACTGGGTTTGATGATTTTGGATGGGTTTGGGTTAAGAAAAACGAGATGGGTGAAAGTTACGAAATTGAAAATGCAACAGAGTGATGGAGAAGGGAGATAAGAGCGACGGCAAAGGGAGAAGAGAGCGATGGAGGATGGAGAAGAGAGAATGGGGGAAATTAGGGTTAAACCAAAACGGTGAGTTTTGATGATTTTGGGTGGGTTTAGGTTAATTAAAATGGTGAATTTTGAGGCTTGGGTTAAATTAACAAACCAAGCTTGTTTAGGTGGGACCCACTTTAATAGTAAAAAATTACAAAACCCTAGCTGATTTTTCAATTAGGGTAACAATATATCTAAGTTATTGAATCAGGGTGTCCAGGAAATGAAGGTGGGTTTAGAGTGATACTGCAATAGGCCCCAAAGATGGGGGTATTGTATTTTATTATTAGCTACTTTAGTTTCTGCTTCAATAGACAATTTTTATTTTTGGGCTTTAATCTGAGCTTAAATTGATTGCACATTTTACTTTGCCTTGTCAGGGGAATTCCTTTTGTTGCTGTTGAGGAGTAGATATTGGACGCCTTTAAGTTGCAAGAACCAAGAATTTGGTTTACAAAAGCAAAGGTGTTTTTAATCCTGCTATTGCTGCTTCTTTCTCCTCACACAAGATGTGTATTTTGACTCCGTGAACTGTGAACTGTGATACTCCCCCGACTTTATCTAAGTCGTTTTTAGCATTTGAAGAAGTAATAAATGATTTTTTTTTCAACATTATTCTTATTTATTTTAAATACAATCACTTTCTTCACAAATAACTCTTGGTTTGAGATATGAGATAATTTATTCAAATTGCTTTTGATTTTGTTATAATTTAAGAGAATTAATTACTTCATTGGTCTTTTTGCAAAAACTTTAAATGATTTATATTTTGGGACAGAGAGAGTATCATTTTGTCACAGGAACTAAAAAGACAAGAAAAAGAAAAAAAAGGGATTTAATTAAAAAAAAGTGTAAAATAATTAGGAATGTTCACAAAAACCAGAATAATTGATTTGGATATATAGTTGAACTCACAAAAGTTTGATAATTGCATAATTAATATTCAACTAATAATATTTAGTTTGAATAGAAGTTAAGGATAAGGAGTATCCTGTTAATCCACAAGGTATGAATGGTGGTTCAGATAAATAAATGTGGGTCAATCCTATCAAGGATTATACTTGTCTAAATTGGATTTGTGGCTCTACATATGGATTAAATTTAAGAAAAGTAAATGTTTTAAAAATTATTTCTATTTATTTTTTTTTCAGTGAATGATTAAAAATATTTTCATTTCAATAAAATTTTTTATTTTCATTGGTTTGATCTACAGTTGGGGTTATAAGTTCAGTTCACACAAATCAATCGGATTGAAGACTTCCACAAAGAAAGAAGTCTTGAGGAAAAGGAAACTGAAAAAAAGAAAGAAATTAAAAGGAAAACGAAAGAAAGAAATAAATTAAATGAATACTAGTAATCTGATATCTGTAAAATGAGGACTTTGTGGCATGGAAGAGAGATTTGTATAATGCAAGTGCTTTTCAACTACCAAATCAATTGAGACTACATTTGTAACCTTTCATTTTGAAATCGTATTTTCTTTCATTATAAAGCAGATATGATAATTGAATTATTAACCTAAAATAGATTATTTGATTATAATATTTTTTTTCAATATTACACATGCTTAAAAGTCAATGCACTAACCTTTTACATATCAGAATTTTTGTCAAAATGGTGACTAATAAAAGCATTGTACTAAATATTATATGATATGTAAGGATGAAAATAGTTCTTTTTAGATGAAATGATTAAATAATTTAATGAAATTAGATTATAGTGACAAACAAGTAATTTTACTGAAGAATAAAAATATAACAGTAATTTCTATTGAAATTTAAGGATTAAATAGTGAATTTCCCCTAATTTAAAACATAAAAAATCTTGTTTTTTTTTATAGTAAAATCTTGTCACAATCCTAATTTCCCCTAATTGCAGTATATAGAGAGGTTGGGCCAAAAAGGCATGTGGAGCACGCGTTAGGCATTGGACGGTACACACAGATAGGAGAAAGAATGACTCGTACGAGTTATGCGCGCGGAATCAGTGAGCCAGAGCCACCACATCTCTCTTCATTTTTTATTCATATTGTTAAAAATTATATAAATTCCCATGTAATAACATATTATTATTTCTCTAAGGTTATTGTTAATCAATTATATTTAATATAATTTAATGCAGTATTAAACATATAAAATTTAAGTTAGTATCAAATAAATACAAAGTCAATATACACCATGGCATAATTTAAAGATAAGCACTTATTTATTACTTGACAATAAATTATGATCAATTGAAATTAAATTAGAACGATACTTAGCTATTATAATATTTTAAAATATTTCAAATTTTATTATTTTTTCCAATTTCATCATATTGTAATATTTTTATTAATTTTACTCTAATTTTGACTTTTTTTTCTAGCAATATCACTCTCAATTGCAATTAAGAGTAGAATTGCAAATAAAAAAAATATTTTCATCTATTTTCAAATTATCATGTGACAGTACTAAAAATTTTAAAATAAAAATTTGGAAAAACTCCATTGGTCTATCAAATTAATATTGAGATTAAAATTTTAATTTTTAAATAAATATACTAATCAATAATTTAATAAATAAGTTTTTGTTACTTATGAAAAATTCTAAAGCATTGGTGTAATATATTAATAAAATATTTATTTTTACATTTATAAATTTTATTTTTTATATTAAAAAGTCTTAGTTTTTATATTTTTTCGGGTGAATAATAAAATTAAAATTTTTTATTTAATGAAAAATAAATAACTTTTAATTATTGTAATTTTACATTTTAATATCATATTCTTAAACCTATAAGAAAAAAAAAATTATAAATATATCTTAAAAAAAACTATAAATATACCACCCAGTAAGTGGAATATAATTTAATATTTAAACAGTGTTTAAAATTTAATTTTTTATTTATTCAACAATAAGGAATTATATTTTAAAAAATTAAAATTATTTTTTATTTATAATTAAAATATTTATCGTAATTGAGGATACTATTATCATAAAAGATCAAAATTAATGAAAAAAAATGATAAAAATATGGAAATTAATGAAAAAATAATAAAAAAATCGAAATAGAATGAAATTGCCAAAAATTATAAGTTTGCGGAATGTGTTTTTTTATTTTTTTATTTTTTTTCTCCTCCTTCTGTTCGGGTCTTCTCTTTCAAAACCAAAAAAACAAAACCGAGCAAAAGCCATAACCAACCCTCTTCTTCTCTATTTCCAAACAAAAAGAAAAGACCCTAACCATATAAACACCCCAACAGACCTCCACCACCACCACCACCACCACCACTACCACCGCGACGGTGTCGTTTATAGTCTTGAAGCTTCTTGAAGAGTGTGTGTTTGAGAGTGAAGGATCAATTGAATTCAAACTGAAACAAAAACCCTAGAATTTAATAAATGACAATGAAAAATCCTCAAATCTGAATGGAAGCCCTATTTTCTCTTCGTGGATCGTTTGTTCATTCTTGTTGTAGGTTTCTCCGTTTCGCTCTCTTTTCCTCTGGAGGTTGAATTTGATTCTACAGAGGAAGAAAGAGAGGCGCTCGCTTGCGGGCGTGTGCGTTTGTTAGTTGATAATTAAAGAGATACGTAAGTGGCGATGGGCAGTTCGGGATCCGGTGCGGCAGATTGTAGTATTGGACCGATTGTATGGGTGAGAAGGAGGAATGGGTCGTGGTGGCCGGGAAAGATACTGGGGCCTGACGAGTTGGCCGAGTGTAATCTCACTTCTCCGAGGACAGGGACTCCGGTCAAGCTCCTCGGCAGGGAAGACGCTAGTGTGTACGTCTTATAATTTATATTTTTCAAAGAAATATTTACTTTTCTGGACCATTTACTTTTTATGTATTAGTTTTTGGATAGGAAGTTATTTGATTTTCTGGTGTTTGTGGTTACATCTTTTTTCTTGCTGAGTTATTTTCTTGCTTGAAAGGGAAGTGGTATGAGCATTGATGATCATTTCACAATTGGTTTTGTCTCTAACAATGTGGCTGGGCGTTAGTTCCTTTGCTGTTGTTGCCTTTATCGTCTTTGCTGATTTTACTAACGTCAAATTATTTGTCTCACAATATTTGGGATTTTGAAAGCAGAAATTGGGTGTAATATAATTTAGACCTTGGAACCAACTTATACAACCTCATTGATGACAAAGATGGACAGAGTTATTTTAGTTGCTAAGATGCTCCATGGGTCATGTCCTTCACCATTTTGAATAGAGGAGTAATTTTAGAAGATAAGCTTAATGTCAATGCTGCCAATGCATGAAATTTGATATTTAAAATTTTGGGTGCAAAGTGTTCCTCTTTATTTCAAGTTTTATAATTTTTTAAAGTTTTTGCAGACATTATGTCTTTATTCTGATTTCATTTGGAGCACGCTTTTTATAACAAAAATTTATGGTACTTCTTCAGGGACTGGTACAATTTAGAAAAATCTAAGCGTGTGAAGGCATTTCGATGTGGTGAGTTTGATGATTGCATTGAAAGGGCAGAATCAGCCCAGGGCATGCCGATCAAAAAGCGAGAGAAATATGCACGTCGAGAAGATGCAATTCTTCATGCACTTGAGCTTGAAAAACAACTGTTGAAAAAGCAAGGGAAATTAGGCAGCACTACTGATCAACAAAAAAGTAAATCATCTAGTTCTGCAAAGAAGGAGCCTGACATTGCTTCAGAAATCTGGGTAAATAATAGTGGAAAACCCGGGAATGCCAAGTTGAATCAGATTTTGAACCATGTAGATACGAGTATCAAAGATGAGATTGCTGCCAATCCTAAGAAAGCAACAGATGTAAATCAGCCAATCTCGGAAGATGATCATTCTGATGCAACACCACGGATGAGAGGGTTGCAAGATTTTGGGCTTAGAACTGCCCCATTAAAGCGAAAGCTTCCATCTGGTGATACAGCTGGTCCTGTGACACCTATGGAAGATAATCAATTTCAAGCTCATCCCGTTGGTGCCTCTAGCATTGAAAGAACAAATAATGCAAATGGTAAACATTTTTTATTCAGAAGGGTAGGTCACATTAGGGTTGACTGGGAGATGTTTGATCAAGGGTCATGAGTAGCTACTCTCCTGTTGAATATTGTAGAGTAATGCAAAGTTAGAAGTCCCTCATTTGTCACAATCTGAGTCTGGAACTGTTTCTATTTCTGTTTCAGGAGCAGAGCAGATGGGAGCTATTTGTCAATTGAAGAGGAGTAAATGTGCTTACTTTCCAGCTGAGTCTAGCGACTCTTTGGAAGATAAAGAGCTTCCTTTGAATCGGATTAAGGCATTTCCTTCTCAGTTTGACGATGATGATAGCCATCCTCATCACAGTTCATTGAATGAACAGAACTCTTCTTCTGGATTTATGGAAAATGCCGAATCTGACTCGTCCGAAACTGACTCTTCTAATGACTCTGAGTCTGATTCTTCTGAGACTGAGCCGGATGTGGATGATGAAATGACTATTTTTCCAGGTAGTGTATTTACTATTCATATTTCATGTCAATCATCATTTCTCTCCATTGAGTGTCAAATAGTTTGCTTATGCATTTTCAGTGTTGGGTGTGTTTGAGAGATCAATTGCTTGCTCCATTGCTGATAACATCTGTTCTATTTCAAAAATTCAGTTCCTTTTGTTGGGGGTTCTTGATTACAGATTTTTTTTAAATTGCTAATGAATAATGGAAAATCTTACTAGGCTAACCGCCCTTCTGAATTGCATAATATATTGATGCAAATGGGAGTGCATGTATTTCATAATACAAAAAATTTTCTTTACTTCACAAATAATATGACAATTGTGGATATTTTAGACCAAACTTTCTATCTAATTAATATAGAAAAGAAAATTTGTTTTCCCTCTCAACAAAATGTGGGTTAAGATTTATCAGAGTGATGCTTTGAAATGATAAATTATAGATCGTCGAAATCAGCAAATTTAAATCTTGGTTGCCTAGTTACTAAGGGCACCTGAGGTGCAAGGCATAGCAGGTTCCAGCCTTGGTCCTCTGCTAGAGAGAGGCAGGTGATCTCTCCCGGGTGCTTGCCTTCTCACTTAGGAGCGCCTTTTCCCAGCTGCAAGGCACCTCTTACAGATCCTGCAAAGAGTAAGCTTTCCCAGCACCAATGGCTTCCACCACTGGTCTCAGGATTAGCTAATCTACAAGGATCAGCATCCATGCACCCAAAAATTGCCAGAAATGTCATCTCTGTCGCTGGAGAGTGGCCTGATCCTGACTGGACTGCCACTACTTGAGTCACCTGCTCACTGTAATTCCATTCCGGCATCCAAAGATCTTGGGTCTCTGTCCTTCTGCCTTGATTTTGGTTTCCTTTGTGCCTGTCTGTGTTCACTCTAATTCTTCTCTACTTCTTTTCTTTTCCCCACTGTCCTGTATTTACGTTTTTTCTTAAATAATAATACTCTTTGCTCCTGTTTTATCTTTTCACTGTTTCTTTCTCTATTGTCCCTGTTCTTATCCTAAACAACCTTTTGAAGTTGTTAAAATCTTGACTTTACATTGATTATTTGAGAGTTATTAACTTTTTTCACTATGTTATTAATTTCTTGAATTTGTTTATTAAATGTTAATTTGGTTAAACAAAGTTAATATTTTGGATTTGTTATAAATATCAAGTGTTAATTTGTTAAACCAATTCAAGTGCTTGAATTTGTTTATGAATTTCTATATTACATTTTCTGTGGAGAAATCAAGTATTACTTTTGAATTTTCTTTGAAATATATATTTTTGCGGCTTACATTTCTTAGGCGGGTGCTTGGACCTAGGCTTCAGGACCCTTTGGCACTTTAGTGCGCCTTGTGCCTTTAATAACTCTGCTTGGTTCTACTGACCTAGAATTTATATTTTGTTGTGCAAATTACATGGTGCAAGTATGGATGAGTGGATAGATGTCTTAGTTATTGACTAGGAATATTGCATGCTGTACACAGTTGTAGACCTGTGGTGGGATAAAAATAGGCTTACGAGTTTTATACATGTGGCCGGCCTCCATGGGTATTGCCACTGAACTTTGCAAGACAAGCAGTGTGAAAATGTCATTACAACTGCATTATTAAATCAAGGGGGGTGAGAAATGTTTGGGTTTTGCTTAGCTTTGACAAGTTTAATGTAGATGACTCAAACACAGTAGCCATAGCGTTGGTGGCAATTATTTTAGGATAATTGTTCTTGTGTTTCACAAAACTTGATGTCAGAATTCTTAAGCTATGCCTGGAGTCTTGCACATAATCTTCTGGATGAGAAAACACCTTGAACCATATTTTGTCTTTAGATATGAGTCCTGAAATTTTCTTCCTCGGGTAATAGTTTTATGGCTTGAGTGAGTTGCTATGCCCAACATCTGGTATTATGGCTGCATTTCTATAGAGGCATATGTAAAAATGATAGTAATCCAAATAAGTTGATTATCAACTTGGCATGGACTGAGATCAATTAAAAAATCCTTTGTTAGGGAAGTTAGACTAAAAGCGTTACATTGGATTAAAATATAGTCCTTGTCAATTTTGTGGACCTACGTGCAATTATTGCATTCCTGCATTTGTATTCAGGTTTATAGTCTTCAATGCTGTTTTCTGTAATTACATGGGTTTGCTGTGTATTGAGCTGTGTAAAGTTTTAACAGTATAATTTTCATTTTTTCAGTATATTCTCTTTTTTTTGGGGAGTCTTATTAGCCTCTGTGCTTGTCTATTCAGGTGCTGCTATACCTACAGAAGTTGAACAAAATGCTCTGAGACTGCCTGAAGCACCTAGAGGACCTGGAAGCACAAGCAGTGAGGATCAGGATGAATTAGCTTTTCCTGCTGAAATGACTCATCTTTATCCTGATGACCCTTTTCTTGCTAATGCGGCAGTGTCGAAATGGCAATTGAAAGGGAAAAGGAATATCCGACATCTTACCAAAAAGTCTGCAGATAGAGCTGACAGAAAAGTTTTGAATGGTCTTCTTCATGGAACCTATCATGGGATAAAGGGTAGCATTCTGGGCCAAAGGGCATATGCTGTTCATGATGCTGATTTCGACACAAAATATTTTGGGACCCAAGTGTTTGGGCCAGATAATGGGCGTTATTCATATACATCTAGATTGGCATCCAAAGGCAAAATTAGAAGTGGTCATAACAATATTGATTGGAGGGGCATGACTTGGGAGGATCGTCCTGCTTTTAGAGGACATTGGGAGGACGGGATGGAGCGTTTCAATCCAATAATTTTTGGCCGTTATCATTCTGGCGGAAGGGCAAGATCCATGTTGATAGATGTGGATTTGAAGGTCCAAGCTAGCTATCAAAAAGAACCTGTTCCTCTTGTTTCTCTTAGGAGCAAGTTAGATGGGAAGGCAATAATAGGGCATCCAATCCAAATTGAAGCCCTAGAAGATGGATCATCGGAAAACCTCATTCCTACAGATGATTATCATAGCACCGAAGCAGTTGACTATGATGGAAATACATCATCACTTCCACCAGCTTGGAGAACTGCTAGAAGGACCGATTTTAGGGTCCCACGCCCTCATTTGTCTTCAGTGTTGGGTGCTGAAGATTCTGCTGAGGATCCTCCTTTTATAGATCAGGATGGAAGATCTCCGTTTAAGAAGTCAAGTGTTGGTAGTTTCGGCCAGAAGGCAAGCCTGGTACGGAAGGGCCTTACACACATTTCCCGTCCTCCTCCAATGGATAGAAAATTTCCAAGAAAGCTGCCAAAGAAAGCAAGCTTAGCATCTAATCAAAAAACAAGAACCCTATCGTCAATTGGTATTCAACAAAATTTCGGAACTAAGCCCATACATTTTAGTAGCAGTGGCCAAATGGATGGACTTATCAAACCTGAAACATCTGGGCCAACTACTGTTGCCTGTATACCTGTCAAATTAGTTTTCAGTAGGTTACTTGAAAAGATCAATAGACCTCCTTCAAAAGCAGCATGTAAAGTGGTTATGTCGAATAGAGATGCAGAGGGACAGCCATCATAGATGACATGTACATTGCTATATGTGCTCACTAATACTGCAGATGCAATAATTGTTTGCTAATTTCCTCTTTTTGGCAAAAGTATTCTGCACCCGTTATACATTGTTGGCATTTTCTGCGTGAGGGTTCTGTTACCTGTTTCTTGACCATTAGATTTAGCATGGAAGAAACCATATACAGTGAACGTGTTCAACGCAAGGTTATAGCGATGTTATGACGGGGATGCAGAAAAGAGCTTTTGGTAGGCTGAAAAGAAGGTAATCACTAGTCATTACAGATAGAAGCGGGTAGTTTGAAATTCAGTTTAGATATATGTACATTTTATTTCCATATGAGCTGATGTTTTTCAGGTTTTCTTTTATATTTATTTATTTGAAAAATATAGAGAAACCTAGTACAGTTGGGATCGAGTTAGTCTTTCCTTTTGTATCTATAGTTTTGTTTGCATGAGCAATCACTGGACGGACTGGTTAGAGCTATGGCCTCGTGCTTTGGCCATTGTGCTCCTGTAAAATAATAAGTACACTCTGTAGGCTAGACAAATATGTTGTATGATGCACAAAGTGCAAAACTTCCAAAAAGATAGATACATGTTTCAAATGAACAATTTTCAACTGTGCGTTATTCTTTTCATCTGGAATGGGTGATGTCTGTGGTGCTTTTATTGGATTATCTATCATTTTCTGGCAGGCGATATACATCTTTTGGTTCATATTTATGCATTTGGTTCTGTTCACCATCTATGTTTTCCCCTTTTGGCAGATGCTGTGGAGTAATATCTATCTTTTATCCTCTTCTTGAATCTGACTAATAAAAGTTTGAGCGTCTTTGTTATGCTTTTTTTGTAAAGAGACTAATGGCAAAGCAAGTTATCTTTCGAGCAGATGAGTTTGTTATCATAACTGTCGTTGTTGCGGTGGATCTACGTAAATTTTTTAATGTATGATGAGCAGTTCTTAGTGTAAAATTGGGTGGAAAATACAGTTTCTAAGAACTTTTGCCTCTCTATCCCTTAGAAGGGGAAGAAAAGAGATGTCAACTAGGTGTTTGTGTCTTTTTGTTTTTTGGTTTGAAGAGGCAATTTTATTAACTTGGAAGTGCGTTTTGAGATTAGCAATTTTTGTTCTGATAAGAAGCAGATACAAATACCGAAGGGCTAATTTTGTATGGCATGGATACTTATTTCTATGTGAAACATGAGATACTTGTATTTCTATATGAAGCATGAATATGAAATAGAGTTGGTAAAGTAAGTAAATCTATAAGCAGCTATATTAAAAAAAGAAAAAAAAAATTTAATACACATGTTTCTCGGGACAAATATGCCATCATCATTTACCTTTAATTCACTCATTGTTCAATTTATTTTATCTAATTTAATCTTAAAAAGAAAGAAATTGATTACTTTGAAAAATTGAATTATACATAAGTAATCTAGTTTTATCTGATTTTTTCGGTGTAAACCATCAATATTCAGACCCTTGTTATCACGGACTAATTAAATTCGGCTCGGGTTTAATCGCGGTTAAGGCTCTTCGCTTCTCTTTGTAGATGTGTTTAGTGGACCAAATTCAATTTGGGGTCTAGTCACGTTTAAGGCTCTTCACCCTTCTCTGCAGGTATGTTTAGTGTGAATCAAACCCTTGAGTTGATTTCTTGAAATTTTAGTTTCTTCATTTTTTAATTGATTATTAAAAATATTTAGTTCAACTAAATTTCAAACATTCCGATTACTTAGTCCATACATTATTGTTAAATATGAGAAAAATTGTAAAAAATGGTAAATTATAAAAGTTGTCGGTAGGTGGTGGTGATAGCGGGTAGTAAACGGTAATTGGTGGCAGTGGCTACCAATGGTTAATAAATTAAAAAACAATATGAATTTATAAGATTATAATATATTAATTTATTAATACCAGAAAATATTTTTCTTTTGAAAATGGGAAGTCATTTTTCTTAAAAATGGCTCTATTTTTCTTCAACTTATTTTCTTGAACGCTCTGGATAACGAAAAATTATGAAAAATATTTTCTTGCAAGTTATTTTATAAAAATAAATAGAGGCAGAATGTCAGAATTTTTTTTTTTTAGAACATAGAGATAAAATTTCAAAATAACTATGATAATAGGGACCTTATAATTTCTTCATAAAAATTGAGAAAAAATGAAGCAATGACCTTGATTTGGACTTTTTTTTTTTATTTAAAATTGAAAAATAAGGAAATTTAGAAATAAAAGCATGGATTCATAGGGTTTGGCCCAATATTTTCTGATATCATGCAAAATCTTTCTAGGGCCATGGTCAATTTACAATGACATGACATAGATGAGAAATAGAACATTAGGGAAAAAGGACATTTATTTTTGCTTTCTATTATTTTTCTCATTACAATTCCATTTTCCATATTGATTATAAATTCCTTTTACATTTTTTAAAAATCAAATCACTGTGACATGTAATTAAAAAAAAGTGTTAAGACCCCTTTGTACAAATTTTACATCAGTAATACAATGCTATAAACAAAACTTTCCCTTTCTAAAAAACTAATTTTAAAAAAAATTAACTAAATTATTAAACTTTTTATTTCAAAAAATAATTATTTTTTGTTACACATTTTAAAAAATTATAATTAACTCAATTAATGTTACTTAATAAAAAAAAATTCATCTCAAAAAAGAAAAACCCTACTGAAAAAGATAATTATTTCATTTTAAGCATGATATTAAATACAAAAGTACTTAAATAAACACATTTCCCTAATAGCATAAAATTTAACAAATTTTCTGAAAATTTGCGGGATACATTAACTAATAAAATACTCATTAATTTCAAATTTCAAATTCACGCTCCAACGGTCATATCTTCTAGGGTTCTCTCCCCCTCATATCGTTCACCAGATACATATATATATCACCACTTCTCCCTCTCAATCAGCAACAACAAGAAAGCAATAGTCTTTCGATACCACAAACGCTTTGTTTCTGTATTTTTTTTTTTTAATTTTTCCTTTTCTTGTTTCCGATCGGAAATGGATTTTCACAGCCTCGCAAGGAAAGAGCTCCAAGCTCTCTGCAAGAAGAACAAGATCCCTGCTAATATGACCAATGTCGCCATGGCTGATGCTCTCAAAGCTCTTGAGAAGGTAGTTTCGATTTTAATCTTCATTTATCAATTTCATCTTTCTGAGCATATTTTGTTTGATTATTGAGAAATCAGAAGAAAATAGAAGACACATGTAGGAAATTTTGTTCTTTTTGTTGTTTCTTTATTGGGTTTTATGATTTTGATTTTAGGGTTTTTCAGATCTTAATTACTATTGAATCAATGAGTAGCATTTCTTGAATACCTTTATACAAGATTGGATATTATCACTACTGATTTGTTAATTGAAGAAATAACCAAAACCAGAAGTTTGGATTCTAGCATTGTTAACCAACAACCAAAATCTGAGTTTGTAGCATTCTTTGATTATGTTTCTACCTTATTAGTTGAACCAGTAAAAAGATTGTTAAGTTTCTTTCGGATATTGGTTTTTTATGCACTAATATTTTTCTAATATCAACTCATTCCCTATAAAGTTCCTCTAATTCTTAAATTTGTTGATTTGTTTGATTGCTTCATGAATCTTTCAGTGCTCAAGAGTTTCAATTTTCTAAACAAACACATTTTCTGAGCTGTTCATCGAATGGTTTGTTACAGGTTGAAGGACTCGATGAACTAATCAATGATGCAACCAGATCTGATCCTCACGAATCCCCAGAGAAAACTACTAATGCAGAGCCTAGAACTGCAGGCAGAACCTCAACTAGGAGAAAGCCTATTAAAGTTGAGCCTGAAAGTTCACAACCCCTGACTCGTACTCGGCGCGCAACAAGAATAACAGTTGCTGAAGGGGCTGAACAAGAAAACAAGAATGTGAATTTACCAGAGACTCCAGCAATGCCGGCTAGCCGGAGAAGGGCACCAGCTGCTTCAGCTCGCCAAAAAATTGATTCCCAATTAATGGAAAGTGTGGAAGATGAGAAAAGTGAGGTAATTGAGACTCCAGCATTGAAGAGCTCCAGAAGAAAGGCCCCAGCAGTTTCAACTAAGAAGAAAATTGAGCCCCTGAAGAGCGAACTGTCGGTTCAGAGAGTGTATGGTACCAGGCAGTCAGTGAGATTGTTGGAGAAAACCATGGCAGGGTTGAGCTTGAAGGAGACAAGGAGAGTTGAGGCTGTGAAGATTGAGGGGTTGGGTGAGGAAACTGAGGAAATTGAACAGGAGAAGAATGTGCCTGGTATGTGTTTGTGTTATGTTATTGTCCAAGAGTGGAAACTTTCTGTATCAATTTTCTGGTATATAATGTTTGATTGCGGTAAAAATGGTGGGAATGAAATAACTAAAGTTAAACACCTTCACTAATTAACTAACATTGGCTTTATCTTTTTCAACTTCATTAGAACTACATGAAATATACAGGAAAAGTATTATAATTATTCTATTCAGTTATGTTCCTTTGGATTCTGACAATGGTTGTAATGCAATACAGGAGGTGATTCTGAAGTCATTTCATGCCAAGACATAAATGAGACACTTGGTGAGAGTGAATTGAAGCATGAAGTTCAAGAGGACAAGAGTAATGGCCATGAAGTGAATGAGTCAGAGTCAGAAGTTCTTACATGCCAAGACATAAATGAGACACTTGATCAGAGTGAACTGAAGCATGAAGTTCAAGAGGACAACATGAGTAATGGCCATGAAGTGAATGAGTCAGAGTCAGAAGTTCTTACATGCCAAGACATAAATGAGACACTTGATCAGAGTGAACTGAAGCATGAAGTTCAAGAGGACAACATGAGTAATGGCCATGAAGTGAATGAGTCAGAGTCAGAAGTTCTTACATGCCAAGACATAAATGAGACACTTGATCAGAGTGAACTGAAGCATGAAGTTCAAGAGGACAACATGAGTAATGGCCATGAAGTGAATGAGTCAGAGTCAGAAGTTCTTACATGCCAAGACATAAATGAGAAACTGAAGCATGAAGTTCAAGAGGACAACATGAGTAATGGCCATGAAGTGAATGAGTCAGAGTCAGAAGTTCTTACATGCCAAGACATAAATGAGACACTTGATCAGAGTGAACTGAAGCATGAAGTTCAAGAGGACAACATGAGTAATGGCCATGAAGTGAATGAGTCAGAGTCAGAAGTTCTTACATGCCAAGACATAAATGAGATACTTGGTGAGAGTGAACTGAAGCATCAAGTTCAAGAGGACAACAAGAGTAATGGCCGTGAAGTGAATGAGCTAGAGTCAGATGTTCTTTCATGCCAATATTTGGATGAATCACAAGAGAACGAAAACAAAAAAAAGGATGAAGTTCAAGAGGACAACAAGACTAATGATCATGAAATGGAAGATGACTCAGGAGTTCTTGTACAAAATTTTGATCAGCCATTTGGGACTGAAAGTGAAATGAAGGATGAACTTCATGAGGACAGAAAGAGTGTTGATTGTGAAGGGGATTCAGATGTTCTTTTCCAAGACAAAGATCCTTTGCTAAAGAATGGAAGTGAAACAAAAATTGAATTTCAAGAAGATGAGAATAGAAACGACCATGAATTGGTTGTTTGCAGTGCAAAACTGGAAATGGCTTCTGAGCCATGCACTGATTTAGATAATTATTTAAATGCAAACGATGAAGATGATAATGACAGTTCAGATGAATTGTTTTCTTCGAAAGATGAAAGCTCAGAGAAGATAATAGATGTGAATCATGAGTCCATTAATGAGAACGGTATGTATTTTTATAGACATCTTGTCCCCATTTTTGTAACACTTTTTATCTAAAGGTTTTCCTCACATGTGTGAAGTGCCTGACGTATGATTGACCTTTCAGGACTAGTTGCCGTTATAGGACACTATGAAATGCTGAATGCTTCTGTGAAGCCAGAAACTGAAGGGGAATTGAATGAAAATCAAGATTCTTTGATTGTAGAAGCATCTGATAACAATTCTGCATGTCTCATGGAAACAGAAGATACTTCAGTTGAGGTCATGAATTCATTGACCCCTAAGATACCTGAAGTTGTGGACAAAGGATCTGAAATGGATTCTATGGAAGATGACCGTGATGACGATCTGCTTTCAAACGCAGACACTGAGGAAGATTCTGATGTGAATGACATTGAGGAAGAGTCATCTGACGGCAGTGAACCAGATGAAGCTTCGTCATCTGATGGCAGCGAATTGGATGAATCTTCTGATGAATTGGATGAAACGTCTGACGACAGTGAATCAGACGAAGTCTCTGATGACAGTTTCACAAGTGAAGTTCAACAAAATAAGAGTACAGAAGAAGTCCAGAAGGCTCCACTTACTCTCGAAGCTGATTGTGAGATGTCACAGAGTGGGAATGAAAAATGCAAGAAAGCTGATGTTGTCAATGGCAATGTAGTTGAAGCTGAAGAATCAGACCCAGTCGAGACTCCAAAATCCGCAAAGAGTAGCCCTTTCTGTCCTCTTGTTTCTGACACTGAAAAGCAAATTTGTGACAAAGTCACAGTTGGCATGGTCTCTTCGCCATTTGCAGCCAACACAATTCAGGGCCAGTTTCCTCGTCCAACGGAGTCAACACCAAGGAAATCATCAACTAAGAAACTGACAACAAATCAGAAAATAATCCATCCAGACATTATTAACAAGGAGAACATTGACAGCAGTGGCAGAAAAGTAGAGCCTAAAAAGGATAAAATGAAGAAGAAAAAGGAGGCTGCTGATGAATTACGTGAAAAGAGCCTAAGAGAGCTAAGCAAGATGTTGAAAGAAACACTAGAGATTACCAGTAAGAAGAACAATGAGAGTAAAAATGTCTCAAAGGTGACGACGCCAATCCTTCCTTTTTTTTTTTTTTTTTTTTCTTCCTTTTTTTTTTTTTTTTTTTTTTCAAAAATTTTGCCAAATAAGCATTCCCCTTCCTTTTTTTTTTTTTTTTTTCAAGAATTTGCCAAAATAAAGCATTTCCCATTTCTTTTTATTAATCTTTTGTGAATGGCAGGTGGGAAATAGACCGGCATTGCAAAAACTACCAGAGAACTGTACAGCTAGAGCTGAAGCTGAGAACGAAAACTGAAAATGCATAGTGAATATTTGCCAGAATATATGAAAAAGAATGAATTGCCCACCTTAAAAATTGTGGTTATTTCTTAGATAGCCTATATATGTAAAAGGGGTTTGCATCCAAATTCTTTGGTTTTCTTCTGTTACTTGCCTGTTTCTGAATTTTTGCTACTGGTGATTTTGAATATAAGACATCAATTCTACACTATGCTTGTTGCAATTGTCAATTTTGTGGTTCTTTCAATACCTACCCTATTGTGCTTATTGCTTAGTTTCAAAGGTGTTCTGTGTGAAATCCCAGGACAAGAACTCAATCTAATTGGGTAAAATCTATTTCATTCAGACACGATTCACTGCTTGAATAAGTAACGTTATAGGTGTTGCGGTACCTTTCATATTTGGAATTGTCAATAGACATTTCTACTCCTCTTGTCAAAAGTTCTTTTCTCTATAGTTACTTGGAATAGATTATATTTAGCTAAAGCCATGATCCTAACCTCTATTTATCTATAATTTATAATCTATAAAATATATAAAAGTGGCAATTTAAAAGAGAAATATTGAAATAGACAATACCTATTAAATTTATTGATTGAGAAAAATATTTTTAAAGCTTTTAATTTCATTGATTAATAAAATAAAAATGGTTTGATTTGATTGGTTACATTGTTTTTCCATTCAAATGGCTAATAAAAAAAATTATTATTACAAAATATTATAAATTTAAGAAGGTTGTGTAGTAAGAAAATTACTTTAATTCAAAATTTGTTATATATGCTTATACTAATAGTAACCTAAACATTTTGACAAACAAAAGATATAATAAATCAAATATAATTTAAATGGTGAACATTAATATTACACATATCATGATTATTATTAAACGCGATATAAAATTAAATTATGCTTCATCGATATTAAATTAAGTCTATATTATCAATAATCAAATACAATTCAAATGATAGACATTGACATTACACATATTATGATTATTATTAAACGTGATACAAAATTAAAGTATGTTTAGATTAAGTATATATTACACATATATGTTTATTTTCTCCTGATGAAAAATCACCACAAATTTTATTTATTTTGCCACTTTATTTTCTTTAGTTATCAAAAATTAATATTAATAATCAATTATTTATCTTGCTATTTAAATGATAAAAACTTTGAATATTTTAATTAAATAATAAACAAAATCTTAGATTTACTATTTGATGAGTAATTTGTCACATATAGATTATATATGATGCTTATGGTAAATCAATTAAGAATTAATTAATTACTTATTTTTTAATTCACAGTTGTCTGAGTACACTTTGATTTTTTCATATTTGATTACAACGTTTATCTATTACTTTTGTAAAAAATTTAATACTTTTGAAGCAGAAAATTGATTTTCTATATTTGGTTAATGTTTTCTATTATTTTGTAAGAAATTAAGTATTTTTTTAATGATATTAAAAATTAAAGGAGATTGAGGGTGAGGTTTAAATTCAGAGATAAAGGATCATCGCCATGGCTATTAAGTCAAGGCTTCATTGACTTATCATATTATGTTATAATTGTACTTGAGTAAAAAAAAAAAAAAAAAAGATTTGAGGGTGTGAGGTTTTATTCAGAGATAAAGGATTTCATTCGCCATGGCTATTATAGTCAAGGCTTCATTGGACTCTACTTTCCACCTCATTCTGCTTCCATATTCCTACTCTCGAGTCAACCACCAAAAAAAAAAATACAGACATTGGTAAAAAAAAAAAAAAAAAATACAGACATTGGCTATTTTAAATACTGAATGTCTCAATTTTAGAACATGGGCCAAAAGTAGAAAATTACACATTTGAAAATTGGGTTTTATGAAATTCAATGATTATAAATTAAAATTTTATGTAGATTTTAAATTTTATTTTTAATTTTTATATTGAGTATGTGCAAGATATGATTTAAAAATAAGATTTGAAATCATTTTTTTCCATTTAAAAATTCTTTCGATTTAGGAAAGACCTTACTCATAACTAATAGAATTATTAAAAAACTAATATTTAAACTTACCAATTCAATTAGAAATTTTAAAGATTAATATTTTATTGTTGTGATGAAAATAATTATCATGAACATAATTATAATCTTAATATTACAATTAAATTATAACATCAAGTGACTAATATTTGAACTCAACTATTACGATGATCACCAATATTGTATATTTTACGATGATCACTAACATCAAATGAGAAAATTATATATTTTCCATTAATAAATTCTATTAATTAGAAAAGAAAAATAGCTTCTAATATTTGACCTTAATATATATATAAATCTATTTCTTAAGCGAGTTAGACAAAATTTCTTATTAATATTTTAGAATATATTATCGCGGAATTATGCAATTAATTAAACGCTTAATTATTTAAGAAAAATGAAATGTAATAAAAATTTGGTGGAAAGTCTAAGGTAAATTTACCATTAAATCCTTAAAAATAACTATATTATAATAAAATAAATAAATAAATTTTATTACTAAAAGTAATTTAGTAATGAAAAAAAAAATATTTGAAGTCGTAGATAATTTATTTTTAAGTAAGTCGGCTCCAAACTGTGGTTGCAATTCGTAGGTTTAAAAAAAAAAAAAAAAAAAAAATAAAAAAAAAAATAAAAAAAAAGGACGTTTTCAAGCTTTACTCTAAACTTTGAATTCTACTTATTTCTTGATTCCCAACACTCTGAAACATTTTCCATGAGAGTCTCCAGCCAGTTGGAATTCTCTTGGCTCCAGAGGGATTTACTGGTGTTAAAAAAAAAAAAAAAAAAAAAGGACGTTTTCAAGCTTACTCTAAACTTTGAATTCTACTTTTTCTTGAGTTCCCAAACACTCTGAAAAGCATTTTCCATGAGAGTCTCCAGCCGTTGGATCTCTTGGCCAGAAGGATTACTGGTGTTGGAGATGGATGATTGTGGTTGATGAGGAGGATTTTCTTCTTGTTTGCCCTTTCTTGCTTCGAAACACCCTGATAATTTCAGACAAGAATTTTCCTGGCCTGGAAAAATAAACAAATATTGAGACAAATGATGTATGTGTTTTCAACGTATGATAGAAATTATTTTTTTTATTATTGCATATTCTTAGCTGTAAGTACATACTATGTTAAAATAATAATAAAAAACACCAAATGTGTTATGGCTACCTTCAGATTTGGAATTGTCAGTAGACATTGCTACTCCCCTTGACCCTATCCTCTGTCTATCTATAATTTATAATTTATCTATAAATTTAATTTAATTTTATTAGTTTCCTATTCAATTGGCTAAAAATAAAATAAAATAAGATAATTATTATAACAAAATTGGAAGTAGAGTGTGTAGCATGAAAGTTACTATAATTAAAAATTATTAAATAAAATATTATATATTAATATTATTATTATTAACATACAGATTTGGACAAACATAAATCATATAATAAATCAAATACAATTTAAATGATTAAATTATGTTTCATTAATATTAAATTATCTAACTGCGACTTTGTTCAGTGTGACTTAGAAATTAAAATCTTATTGTAGAAATTTTGACCTATCATATCATTATATGTTTATTTTATCTGGATGAAAACTCACCACAAAAATTTGTTTGGATTTCGTCAAACAATTTTTGAACATATACTAAAGACTTCTTGCCTTAGCATTACTAATCAAATTATTTATTTTTCTATTTAAAAAATAAATTTTAATATTTTTAAACTAATTTTTAATTTTTATAATAAATAAAATCTTAGATTTACTATTGCTTTACACTTTAAGAAAGGAAGAATGTCATTATTTAATAGATAATTTGCTATATTGAGACATAATATGTTGTTTATGGTAAATCCATTGACAGTTAATTAATATTGGTTATTCTTTAATTTGGAGTTGTCAAGTACACGTAGATTTTTCTATATTTGATTGCAATATTTATCCATTACTTTTAAAAAAAATTTATTACTCCTTAATCAACAAATTGATTTTTTTTATTTGGTTACGTTTTTTTTTATTATTTTTAGTAAAAAATTTTCTTCGATAAGATTACAAATTAAAGGAGGATGAGGATGAAGTTCAAACTCATACCTAAAGGATCATCGCCCTGGCTATAGGTCAGGACTTTATTAACTTATTAATTATGCTATAATTGCAATTAAGTAAAAAAAAAATGACTTTGACAATTTTAGAGATGAAATATCTCATTTTTAGTAGTAAAATTGAAAACAAGTAGAAAACAATACATCTAAACCTTGGATTTATGAAATTCAATACTTATAAATTAAAATTTTCATGTGGATTCTAATTTTTTTTTTTAAAAAAATTTATATCGGGCACATGCAAGATATTACTTGAACATAAAATTTAAAATTATTTTTTCTATTTAAATATTCTTTTCAAGAGAAAATTAAATAATTAACAAGAAAAATATTTATTTTACTTTTGAAAACTATGAATAAGTTGCTAAACTCATCAATAAATTCTTAATATCCCAAGATAATAACAAATATCAATAATATTACATTTTGTTCATGTTAATATTAAAATTTGCATTTCACATTTATTTTTAAACCAATAAACTCAATGATGTTATAGTTTTTTACGAAATATTATGTTTTGGTTTCGTAATATTAACTTGTATGGTTCTATTTTGTTTTTCACATTAATGTTAAACTCAAAACCTTTAATTTTAATATGCTTCTCACGTTAATACTAAACGAAATGATATTTTATTATTAATTTTTTATTTTATGTCAATTTTGTTTTTCACATTAATATTAAACTCTACAATACTATAATATTGGTTTGTTAATAATATATTGTCCTTTTTATGAAAATTTTGTTGCATATTTAATTTAATTAATTATATTGATTTTCTACCGTAGTAATCTGCAAATTTGATGTATGAATAAAAGATATTTGCTATCAGCTGAACTTTGCGTAGTCCGGCCGAAATTAACGTTAGAGCATCTTCAATACAACCATTGATTATAACTGATGTATTTTAATAAATAAAAGTTTTGAATAATGATGTGATGAATGTGTATTTTATAAATGTTAGATTTTAAAAATGATTCTTCAATGCACGAAAAAAGAAATTAATTTCAGTTCAAATAAAAGAGAAAAGTATAAAGAAAAATAAATAAATAGAAAAAAATGAACAAAAAAACTGAGTCACACTGTTCAACAGATCCTCTGAAAATATTGTGATAAACAATATCACTTTTTCTTTTTGACACACCAATTCACAGACTAAACAGAATAAGGTTGGAGGAGAAAATTTTTGTCCTTAACTTTCAATTTTTCGGACGTGGCTAATAAATTAACGCAACTATCAATGGCATTGAAGATGATGCTCTTAAGACAGCTAGATTTTTTGGCTGACTAGGCTTGCCACATTAGACGATATGCTGTCTAGGAGAAGCAGAGTACATGATATTAAATTTCTTTAAGTTGGACAGGCCGATTGTAAGCAATGAGAAAGGAGAGGAGAGTAGCTTCAGCGTTGGCATCTGACGCGGTGAGCCTAATCACCAAAAAAAATAACAATGAAAATGTGGGTCCAACTGCCTTCACGTAAATTCTAGTTGTTAGACAAAATTTAGAATCATGTTTAGTCACATTTACTGTTCAGACGTCAAAATAGAAAATTGTAGAAAAGCTAAGCAGCCACTGCCAATCTTTTGGTTATTTTTATATATATAGCCAATCTTATGAATAATAACATGAAAAAGCGATTCAAAAGGCTTAGTTTTCTCTCTCTCTTCTCTAGAAACAATGCCAGAAGAAGAAGACAGAAGACTTATCAGGAAGGAGAAATAAACATGGAAAACTAACTATAGCGGAGAATAGAAAGCCGTAACAACAGATGAAAAGCAGACCATATCCATTGAGTGAAAGACAGCCAAGAAAAGCAAGTTTGGTTCCTTTAAAATTACAAAGAAGAAGCCGTCATTTCTTCACATACCAAATAACATTCCACTAAATCCGATCAGTTTTTCAGTCTGAAAGTTCATCTTTCATACTCCCATATCTCGATTGTTTCAAAGTCAACCGTTTCAAGGAAAACATGTATTTATATATACGTAAAAAGTAAACAAATTCGCAACATTAGCCTCTATTCTTGCACAATTTTAGTGACAAACAAAATTATACAATTTCTCAAACATCCAAAGGAGCGAAATGGCCCCAACAAGAGAGGATGAGATGGAGAGAGATTTACAAAGAATATGAATAACAGGGAATAGCTTAACGGAACCAATCAAGGCAAAAAAGTAAGGATAATCAGTAAACCTCTTGTGTAAGTGCTAACGACTGTGGCAGGAGCTGATTAAGTTTGCCACCATCACCTGGAGGGAAGCTCTGATTGTTGACCACTCAGAGAAGGATTCGATGAATTAGAAGGGAGGGACCCATTATCTTGGGAGGATGGCCCACCCCACTTGAGCTCCACATCAGACGGCTCAACCACATGTACTGCACCATCACTCATGCCAAGTGCGATCTGATTAGGCTCAGATGGATGAGCTGCTACAACCAAAGGATACGCAGAATTGCTGCAAACACGCACCCTCATCAGTGAATATGGAAACCATACCGCTTCCAATATAAGATATTGTGAAATGAAATACTGGACCAGTATCTTGCAAGTTAGTTGAAGCTTACCCTGCCACAAAAGAAGGAATATAAGCAGAAGGGGCTATTCGGCACCTGATCCTCAAGCCATCTGCATCAAAAACTCCAACAGCACCATCACAAAAACCCGTATAAACCAGCAAACCATCACTTGAATATATTGCACTAGCAATGGGAGCAGCAAGCCTGTCCTTTGGGTACCACTGCAAGATCACAATTGACCGACGTAAATGAACAAATAGAAATAATTTCATTAACTAAGATCTAAGCCATTCCTTTATTAAAATAAAAAATTAAAAAAAAAAAATCAAGAAGAGCTACAGCATATTAATCAATTTTACTGCAATATTGCCTATGATATTTAGTGATGGTGGCCAATTATGTAGGCCAACATATTCGAGGTGCAACTTAAATGAATTTCCAACCAAAGGGCAGCAATTTCTACATAAACACCTAATGGGTCTCATGTCAGCTACCACATTACGAAGTCTAGACTTTGCTCAGCTGCAGGATTGTCAAAGTCAAGTTGATTTTCCTCTGTAAACTTAACATTGATAGTTATCCCATCTTTCCTTCTAAATCCTCCTGTTCGGTTCCTTCCTAAAAGTGTCTATATGAATACATCTGAACCTCCAATATTATCTCCCTCCCCCTCTTTGAATTAACATAAAATGGATACCAAAATGCAAATAAAGTAGGTCATACATATGTTTAGAATAGTATTACTTTTTTTTCAGGGCTTCTCTTAATGTTCACTTAAGCAATAGTCCTCTCAGTTTTAATCATTAGCTATATCATATAGTCATGGTCAAAGCACTAAGAAGGTTTTGAAAAAGTGAGACACACTTAACATATTAGATTTATAGTAGTTGCCACAGTCCAAAATAATGAAAAAAAAAAAATAGCAGTTGCAAATTGAATAATTTATCCAGCTCAATGCAAGAAACTTCAAAATCAAATTGATTTGCTAAATGCATGAATGCCAAGCACATATATATTATTACAAAGGAAAAAAAGGTGGAACACTGTAACATGTGTAGAGCAGCAGAACTTTGGATGGACATCCTGCAACATTTTAAGGAAAATTAGGTATTTTAATTTGTGCCATAGATCAAAGTGGCTTTCCTCATTTCTTTGTAAGTTTGACAATCATGGGGTTACAGGGCATAATCTTAACTCTGTAAATCTTTATTCTCTCCTTAAAAAAAAAATCTTTTCTTAAACTTAAAAAAATAAAATAAAACACAAATTTAGGTTACAGAACTTACCGATCGCAGACATTCAAGTTTGCTATCATAAATGGCAATTTGGCTTTCATGGACAACCAACAGATGTGTTTGATCATTGTGAAACTGCACTTTAGTTTCACCTGCCAATGGAGATTGCCGACCTGGAGGTGGCTGTATAAACCTCGATTTCCTTTTCTCCCATCCATCAATGCTCCACACACATAACTGCCGATTCATCAATGATCCCATTAATATCAATACGAGTAATTCTACAACAAAAGCAGATGCTTAAATCCAATAGTGGGTAACTGTGAACAGACACGTTCATATTGCAAAGCTCATGCCTTCTAAAAGCAGCAGTATCGCAAGAAGAAATTTATAAAAAAATACATATGGTCCACCAAATCAACATCAATAGCTGGTATCTCATACCAAATAAAAATTCAAGAGATTTAAAATAACTTGAAGTGGATCAATGACAGCATTAAGAACTATCCAGCAATATTTTTTGCTTATTACTCAAACACTAATAATATCGAATACAAAAAGTTGATTCCAATGCTGGAAGGGCAAATGCAGAGGGTAGAAAGCAGATCTAATGAGTGCATTCCCTGGGCAATAAATGATGTGAACTGATGGTAGTAGCGTTGCATAGGAGCATTTATTTCTTATTCACGACAAATTATGAATTCAGCAAGGTCAAGCCCAATAAACATCCAGCAGAAGTAACCGATAGCTAGGATTCTTGGCCTCCTAATCATTAAACTTTGAAAGGCTTGAAAGATACATCAGAAGAAGACCATTCAGATAGCATATTGAATGGCTGCTGGTATGCACAATTGGACAAACTCAGATCACAAGGCTTTCATGTGAGCACAAAGTCTTAGAAGTTTTCTTTGACTCAAAGCATTGCTTTAGCTCATATCAACACTGTCACTTCAACATATTTTGAGACCATTGTACTATCCTCACATCAATTTAAAAACTGCTCAACACCTTGAGACATCAATATGTAAGAACTACTGACAATAAACCTGAAGCTCATCCTAGATTTCAAAGAGTTCACATCAAAAATATTAATAAAGTAAGCTCTGAAAGCATATGCTTTCTTCACCACCTTGCAGCTTAATACTATAGAAGTTAGTACAATTGTACGAACAATCAGGATTTTTTAAGAGATAAAGTCCCTCTCTTTGTGGGGGATAGAGTACCTTAGTGGCATTTGAAAGAATAGCTCAGATCTTAAAGCAATTTGATAACATTTTAAAGAAGGAAATTGAAAGCAACATCTTTGGGCACAAGGGACAAAATAGAAACTTGAGCATTTACTGAACAGGAAATCTCAACAACTTTTGGAAGTTCCATTGTAATGGTGATGCTAAATCCAAATCAGTGCGAGAAAACAGACAATAAAAATGAAATCAAAGAAAAAAACAGGAAAAAGAATTATTAGTTTATAGTCAGAATTGGGCGGGCAAAATCAAATCAGTCACAGAATTAAATAAGATAATCATATCTACAGCCTTTCTCTTAAGGATAACATCAAATAAATCTAGCTATAAACAATTTAATGTTGATCATCGATTCTATCAATCACTAACCTGTGCATCAGCCCCAGAAGACACCAGGACATTTAAACTTTGGGAAAATGCAAGTCCTGTTATTCGACTTTGGTGGCCCTTAAGTTTGGTTTTAACCTGCCAAGTGCAAACAATATCCAAGGTAAGTTTTCTTCCATAAGACACCTCAAACAAAAACTTAAGGTCATTAGCCAATAGATGATGCAACAATTTCAACAGCCAACATCATATTCAAAACGTTTGTTTTTCAAAATGATCCAAATTTCATTCACTATTATTAATAAGTGACAAGAAAAATTCAATGTTATATATGTGTAAAGATAATGGTTGCAATAATCATGTTTCCAGCACGTGAATAAAAAAAAAAGTTTTTTTAAAAAACTAATTTTTAAATTTTTAACTATGCAAATGTAGAGTACCAAGAATCAAAATTGGCAACAATTTCAAGAAACGATTGCACTTTAAAATAAGAAGACTATTACTAGTATAAAAGGTCATGCATTATTTTTTAATAAAAATAAGCAGAATAGAAAAAAAGGATTCGTTTAGTCAAACCCAACTAGTTTGGGATAAAGCTTATTTGATGTTGTATTAGATAAAAGTAAGCATTTGCAGGGGGATAAAACCATACATGGAAAACGCACACAGAATATTAGAAAAATGCTTCACCTCATCAACTCTGACATTATAAATTTGCACAGAAGAATCCTCCATGCCAATGGCAATAATATTATTATCCTGAGGATGGAACGCTAAAAATGTGGCAGCAGGAGGAGGGGACATAAATGTCGTCATGACCTAAGAAGTTACCAACTTCAATAAGTAAAGTGCAAAGAATGCTAAAAATTATCGGCACAAACAATATTACACATTGAGATGAAGAATGAATTAAAATGGCAAAAACTCACCTTAAAGGTCATCATGTTGAACAAAGATACCTTCCCACCAGAAGCAGACATGACATATGAATCATTTTTGGATAAAGCAATGCATGCAGCAGATTCTTCAGGTGGTTTATTATCACTTATGTCATTAGTCATGGGAGTTCCACTAGGAGGCTGCCACAACTGCGGTGCAACATATGCGGTAGCCTACAAAAGTTTGATGTTTAGTATCAGAAACACATCCAAAATTTATAGAACAGATGCTTCGACATTGAAAGACTTTTTCTAGACCTTTCCTGATTGATTCCTTTCACTGCGTTGCCATTTCCAGAGTTTGTGAACAGCATTGGAAGCAAGTGCCAACAGAGCTAGGCCAGAATTGGTGTAAATCAGCCGCACAACCTACAATCATTATATCATCCTCAATTTTGGCAAGTTCACACCTTGAATCTCCATATAATTGCGCACACATGACATAAAGATTTGTTGAAAAATATATGGAAGGCTACAACAAAATATATGCATCAACTACAAGTGCTTGCATGCATGTGTAAGCAAAGAGAGAGAGAGAATCATGCTTGCTGAACATCCTAGAAGAAAAGGCAATATCTGCTATTGCTAGGGACTTAAAGTGGACCGCGTTACTAACTTACCAAAAGTAATCACAGAAATAATTAATAACTACCTCTATAGTTTGATATTCCCAAGAGTTGGAACTATAACTGGTTTTTAATCATGCCCAAACAAATCTCCTCACACTGAAGCAAGAAGACCTACATGCTTTGCATAGGAATTACGCAATTGGTAGAAACATATCAAATAGGTGGTGCTCCCTTACTTTAACCTTTCAGAATGGTTCTTACCATTAATCCATCACATTCAACATTGTAAATAGTCATGAAAAATCAATAAATTGCTAATACACAAACTTAAACACATGCACATGCACAAACAACGTTTGAAACCAACAGCTGTGAGATCCAAAGAACTAGATTCGACTCATCAAAATAATACGAGTTACATCCAAAATAATATCTCACATGAGAAGTATCATTCCAAAAGGATAAAGATAAAAATCCAAAGAACAAAAAGATTATCCACAGAAACCAAAAAATTCTTAAAGAGATAAAATACTGTCACAGGTGCAAAGGCTTTCTTTCCCATGCAACATGGAATTAGCAATAATTGTACTGTTGAACTGCCTACCTTGCCATTTGCAATAGTGTCGGGCAAACGCAGAGCTTTCAATTGAGATGAATCAACGATATCAGGAATTTTCCAGCTTTTAATCTTTTCTAATTCATCTGAAATCCGTGGTTTAACATCAACAAGCCTACTGCTGTCCATTGTACCCTGCAATTTTGCCCACCATAAGATTAAGACAACAAATAAACCAAAGCACACAAGTGGAGAAAGCAATATACAAGACTGCCAATGGACACAGCAGGGGGGATTCTATCTGAACGTTCCAGTGCAGGAGCAATGCCAGAAGAAACATTTGCCACAGGCCCTAGTGGATTAACGATCAGAGGCTGCAATGAAGGTTGCAAAGAACAGATCAGTTTTGAGAAACCACCAGAAAAGCATATGAGTAAAATTACAAAGAACTTATGGGGTATGATATTATAATACGAGGAAAAAGGAAACATGACACAGGCATGCATCAAAAGTAATAGATTATTCACTAAATTATCTTCATATATCCTAGAGACAATTATTTTTTAAAAAAATGGTGCAAGTCAAGTGATAAAAAGCTAGACAACCAGGAAGGCCTGTTGTATTTACCCAAGAATAAAAATATCTCGAGTCATGGACCCTCCACATGCAGCACACTATTGCCAATCCAGTTTCTACTCCCAAGTTCTAAGAAAACTATTCTTTTAAAATGAACTTCTGAAATTAATTCTTGAGATAAGCTCTCCAACTTAGCTGCCACCTGGAAAGGGAAAGAGCCCACTCTTCTGTAACTTATACAAACCCCTCAATTTCTTTTAAAATAGAACTTTTCATTTTCACCATCATCAGACTTCCACATTCTACTTCTTCAATCCTTGTGGTTCTCAGGTTTTCCATAAGCACCATGCACATCTTTCCCCAACCCACCTCTCTATGCATCTACTTGGCACCCATCAAAAGGTCCATCGAATCTCAGAGAGTAGGGGACCAGATCTCATAGCTAGCCTACCCTATTTCCAAGAGGCCAACACTCCCATGACTCCTTTGCAAGGTTGATAGGATAGGTTCTAGTTAAAACAACGGGATAACATAGGACGCTATCTTACCTTACTAAAGTTTAATACATTAGAAAAATGATCAAATAGCAGAATATTAGTGCAGTCCAGAAAATACATGTTGAAAGCTATTTGATCCTAACTCTCAATTAAGGATTCAGGATCTAATTCTCAATCCTTTTTTCAGTCATAGAGAACCCATAATTAGAAACAATATAAAGTTTCTTTTTTTTTTTTTTTTTTTTTTGCTATTTGACTAACTCCAATTAAGGATTCAGGATCTAATTCTCAATCCTTTTTTCAGTCATAGAGAACCATAATGAAACAATATAAAGTTTCTTTTTTTTTTTTTTTTTTTTTTTTTTTTTTTTGCACTTGGCTTTTTCAAGTGGATTCCATTGTTTAGCATGGAAAAAAATGTTTCACATAGGAAAAATATTTTTATCTATTTTTTTAGAAGAGTCATACACTACGGACGAAGTGAACTGAAGACTCATAGTTTTCTCCTATTTTTCATATATAAGAATATAATAGCTTTCTAGTTTAGGAGATAAGGAGACTTGTCATTATGAAATTATTGATTTCTCTTTCACTTTCCTCCACCATACAGAACGCATTGTTCAAACAGCAACCCGTTAAAACAATATCATTTTTCTTCTTTTTTTTATTTTTAGTCCAGCTCCCCAATCTCTTCTGAGCCTAATCCATTAAATGGTAAGGAATGCTGAATTGCAAAGACTCAAACAGTTCAGCATCTCAGGAAACCAACAAATCTGTTAGGGCTTAGGTACAAAACATAACAAGCATACCGAAATCCATATCAATTATGACTAGAAATCATGATTACTAAGGTTGCATTAGGGAGTGTTCAAATTTTACATTTTGGCTTCTTTACCAATAAGAGAGACAACAAAAAGGTCATGTTTATCATCAGAGCGACAGACCTGCAACAGGAATCGACAATTAATTGTGCTTTTCACAAATTCAAAGTTTTTAGCTGCAATATTCACACCTCTGTTTCTACTTCTTCACCCGTAGTGTTGCCAAAACCGAATGAGAACTGAATGCCACATTGATTGCCAACAGAAAGTAATTGACACATACTTACTTTACATATTCAAACCTCAACTTGAAAAGCTACAGAAAACATCAAATAAAACACATAGCATCAAGGAACTTTCTACTCCAAAACTCTCCAACTATCATTTCCTAAAAAGAAAGACAAGCCTATCATTCAGCAAATCCAATTTGTCAAATAGCAATAACATCAAAACCCAAATTGTAACACTTTTTCTTCAGGACTCTAATTCCATTTAAGATCCCAGCAATTCACAAGATAGGTTGAAACCATTTCCTCCCAATGTAATGATTAGCCAGTGTCATCCACAAAAGGACTTTGATTATGATATCCATAGTTATCTCCTCATATGGTTCTTTTTTTTTTTTTTTTTTTTTTTTTTTTTTTTTTTTTTTTGCTTGAATCCTGTTTTCCTTTTGATGAAGATTGAAATTTTCCCATTTTTTTTTTTTTTTTTTTTTTGCCTTGAATCCTGTTTTCCTTTTGATGAAGATTGAAATTTTCCATTGGAAATTGCTTTTCTAGATCTATTGAATGTGTCACAGGCATAAAGAACTAGAATTGATCCTTTGGACATTGAGATGTCACAGCAAAATATTGTTGAGAAAAATATTAACTTCAGGAATTCAGGAATCCATATAAAAACATGTCACACAATACATAGGTGGAAGACAACTAGTGAGTTTTATTGAAAGATAAGAATATATGAGCAACTGCAAAGGTTGATGGAGAGTTTAGTATACTCCATTAACCAATGTTCAGAAATGATACTTGCCTAGACCCGCTCGTTGAGTCCACCCATGGATCAAACCGATGCAAAAAGAGATTTTTTAAAAATTGTTCCCACTTTACCCGATGAATGGTCAGAAATATTCTTGTTTTCAAAAATATATACTGTTCATTAATTTGGTCCACGGGTGGAGCCATAAATCGAGTCTAGGCAAGTCATTCTCGTTCAGGAATACCCATACGAGAGAAAGAGAGAGAGAGAGAGAGAGAGAGAGAGAGAGAGAGAGAGATTCTCAAAAGCATAGCAAAATTGCTGGCAGTTTATTGGTTTTAGGAACACAGAGACAGATAAACAATGGTGACATCGATTGAGGCCCGAGATTAATGCCTTTGGCTTCTCAAGTTCCTTTTCCAGTCAAATGTCTTTAAGCAGGTTAGATTTTGTGTTAATGTAAAAGGAGTTCTATTAATTATTATTTCCTTCCCAGGCTCATGGCATTGATCAGAAAGACAAAATTAATGCATAGAAAATCTTAGCACTAAATTACCTTAGAGTTGATGGGTTCAGATGGGCTTCGGTTTTTATCAATAGCCCTGCTCTCCAACATCCTTATCATGCGCAATCCATCACTATTAGCTAAAACTTTGATACCATTATCACTAGTTGTGACTGCCAATAAGGAACCTTCCCTGTTGAATCTCAGTCTAGGACTTGCCTGCGGCAAATAATATACTTGAATGAAAACTGCAAAAGCTTATATTTAAACTTCAATGCTAGAAAAAGAGGAGGTAGAGCAACACTAACAGGCAAGCCTCCATCCGCATCAACTGCTGTCAACATGTTCGTATTATCCATATCCCAAAACTTAATCTGAAATTCATCACCAGCAGCTAGGAAGCGGCTCCTTGTTGTGTCAAACTGAACAACACCTGAAGAACGCTTCCTGAAGCCAGAATACGTCCTTTTGATGGTTCCTTCACTCTCATTCCACTCGACCAGATGAGATTCACCTTCTTTACTTGTTCCACATGAAAAAAGCCTACACAATAAAAACTTTTTCTTACCCTATGCATGTAATTATAAAATAAGTGGAATGAAATTAAAAGATAGGGCTTGATGCATTGTTTAATGCGCCAACATGTAAGCTTACAAGTACTCCACAAACCAGGATGCTATATCGGCATGCACCTAACGTACAAGTTGAAGTGAAGAACCTAAGATTGCCATACATAATGAGAAATCAAAAAAAAAAGTGCTAGTAGCTACCAGGGTGGAAGCAGAGTTCAGAGTTACACATTAATCAAGCTTTCATCATTAAGTCGACCTCAAGGAGGCTCTACCTTGATCTGTGAGATTTCTAATGCATGTTCATCCCATTGGAGCTTCCTCTTATAATAGCTTTCTAATTACCATAGTTCTCATTATCCCTGATTGACACCCTCACTTGACCAAAACGAACAGATACCCATATCCTGTCTATCAATGATGTTGCTAATAGCAACCACATTAGATGACCTCCACTTATTTTTAACTGCCAGATGATAGAACATCACCGAAGATTTGCCCAACCCAAATTAAAATCCTACAAGAAACTAGCAAAAGCCACAGACTATTCCAAAGGAAAAATGTGTTAAGAAAATTTAGAGCAGCAGAGTAGGAAAAAATGTAGCCTGTAAAATAAAATCATGATCATGATCAACATAAAAGTCCCCTGTGCAGCTATTGCCATGGGATATTCCAATAATAGTTAGCAACAAAATAATAAAAGGAAAGGGAAAAATGGAGACCACCTCCGTAACTGCTGAGTCTTACCTAGTACCATCCGCACTATATGCCATCATGGTGCACCAAAGTCCAGGAGCATCATAGTCCACTCTAGATCCCAAAGAATCATATAGCCAAGCTTTAATCTTCCCATCAATTGCTGTAGAAAAGATAAACTGCACATATAGATAAAATGAGTTCTAGTATGTGGCAATTCAGAATGACAGGAGCTTCCAGGTATTTCTTAAATTCATAAAGATGCAGAATTTTAAGCATAGTTCAGACAACAAAGAACCTAACAAATAGTAAAACCTTGATCACCAGCATCATAAAAGAACAAGTACCTGGATACTTTCTTTATAATGAGGGCAAACAGAATATACAGGAGCTTCATGACCTTCAAATGTATATTGTTTATGTCCAGCTACAGCTTCCCAAACCTGTTAAGTAGGAGAATATCATATGTAGACCCAATTTCCCTTCTCATGTAAGCCAACTAAGCATAAAGCCTATACCTTAATCGTCTTGTCATCGCCACATGTGACAATGCATAGTTGCTTGTTGGGATGAGCAAAGGCAATGTCATTAACACCGCCGGTATGGGCATCAATCTAAAAGATGAAGGAAGCAGTTAATTGCAAAGGAACTTACTTCTACAATGCATTATATAATATTCAAGGATGCCACACTTACCTCCAAATGCTGTCTTAGTTCTCCAGTTGGATTGTAAGTATAGATCTGCACAATATGTTTTGAAAATGCAACCCCTACAAGAAGCCATATACAGATACAAATGCAAAAGTTAAAAAACAAGATGAAATTCATATTGCAGAAAAAGTAACATTCACATACATACCAAGCATAAGTCCATCTGGCCCCCAGACACATCGATTCACTGATATTGCAGCATCATTCAATAAAGCTGTCTGCTAGCAATATAATAATTTATCATTTTGAGAATAATGATAAACTAGCATTTCAAATTCCCAACTCTATCTCAATCAATAACATCCTCACTCGCAAACTAATTAAGTCCTCTAGTGATTTCACCAAAAGGCCCAAGATTGAATTACAGTATAAGGAAGAGAGAGAATAGTTTTTTCCAGGGGGAGGGGTGGTGATGAGGGAATCTCTAGGTGTCAACTTCATAAAAAAATAGACAGTGTAAATATCAAGCCTAACTGATATAAATGATACCTGCAGTGGCATTGAAGCAGCTGAGAGGTCCCACACTTTGAAGGGTTTATGTGCCAACCTATCCCGGGAGCCAACTTCCCAAAGGCTAATGTCACCAACATTTGTCCCAACTGCAAAAAGAATAATTATAGAACTTGATAAACACAATTACCATTAAGAGAACATTTTTATATCTTCTTTTGAAGTGCTGTTAAGCAACATATCTTCAAGTATCAACCTAGCAAGATTGTTTGCTGCTGCGGATGGAAGTCCATGCTCATAACATTAGATCCTTGATTAAGGGATCGTACGACAGTTTTGGGAAGATCATCCTGTGAATAGACATTGGGAGTATGTGCTACACCAGAAAATGACACCTACAACAACAGACCACAGAACAAATATAGCAACCAGACTTCTAACAGTCACCACCAAGCAAAAGATACGAACTGGGTGCAGACCTCATCAGATTGACCAGTGCGCATACGCTTCATCAAGTGCTCTGAGTCAGCTGACTGATAATCAATCCCAGTCATGCCTGTGGGCGTTCTTGGATGTTTCAAGAAGGCAGCTGTGCAAATCCAAAAATGATTATGTAGGTTCACTAAGAATGTCAAACTACCAAAGAACCAATGGCACTACAAATGGCATAAGTATAACCAGCTCCACCTGCACTAGAAGGCTGCATGAGACCAGGAGGCCCTGCTGCCACAGCAGGGTGAGGCAAAGAAGGATTATTGCTCGACATCCATCCAGCAATAGCACCAGAAGAAGGGGAAACAACTGGCTGAAATGGCTGTACAGCAGGAGATATTGCAGATATTGTATGAGAAGCTCTCAAGTGTGACTAAGGGAAGAACAGATTAAGAATACATACACCGTGGGCACCAATGGGAGGAAATACACCAGCCTTGGGAATTGGTCCAACAATGGGACTATTTGTGGGAGGAGGAGGGCGAGCTCCATTAGCAGTAGTAGGAGTACAAGCATGATCTGTGAAGAGTGTTTTAATATCAGGATTTGGGCGAGGATTCTTGCAAAGCTGATGCTGCCAATTTAGACTGCAAAAATAAAAAATAAAAAAAATGAGCACTTAAAAAACAGGTTTCATGCTAGTTAAGATCAGCTTCCAGATTTTAATTGAAACAATAACTAATAATTACAAAGGCAAACCAATTTGAAAGTTATAAATTTGCAAAACCAATCTTATTCACAACAGGCTTATAGAAAAATAGGCAATAATAACCTCTGGTTTATTAAAGTTCGAAGTCGTGAGCTTTTGAAGGCGGGGAATGTAAGCTTGTCTCGAAACAATGGGTTTGCTTCAATAAGCTTCTTAAGTTCCACAAGCATGATGTTACGAGCTGATTTTGTGTCCCCATATTTTGAAAGCTGCTCATTTTGCCTGATCAAAGAGCACAATATGGAATTCTCAATCGAAACCAATTCATGTGTTTGATCATCGCAAATACTATAGGAAGGAGGAAACTACCTAAAATTGTCAAGAGTAAGCAACTGAGTTATCTCCTTGAATAGGTCTTCATTGAAGGAAGCAAAAACCTTAAGGTCCTTAACGAGAATCTCAACAGCCTTAGCCCGATCCTGTCTGATGAAAGAAACCAGAATAAGAACATAATTAAAACATGAATGAAGATCCAACATAATATTCCGGGCCGAATATGTCATAACAAACCAACACTTAAATGCTATACCACATGACACATCAGCATTTCTCCTTTTATATTCTCATAAACTACTACCATTGATTATACATCTATTTAGAAAATGAATCCCAAAATAAACAGACAGAAGGAAAGTATTTCAGTTCAAATACCAGAATTCTATCATTATGGTATTTAAATATCTAAGTTTTCAAACTCACTTGTCAAGAGCTTCCAAATATTTCTGCTTCCTAATTTCAAAGAAAATCTTCATAGAGTAGCGATTATCTTCAACCTTTGTGAACCCGCACAAATATCGCTCAACCTCGTCCCATTCGCCGGCCTGGACTTGATCCTCAAAATGTTTCATATTGAAGAAAAAACCAGACTCTTGCTCTAACCTTTAAATACAGTAAACAAAAATAAAAATAAGATAAAAACACAGAAAAGAAAAAACAGGGTATTAGTAATCTAACTTCAACTTCCTAGTGCTCCATTTGAAAGCGCTGAGAAAACTTGGTACATCGGACCAAAATTGCAGTACTGTTTACTGGATTGTTTATCTAGCTTTGAATAGCTAAAAATAATCCAAATTTAGTTTCAAAAAGAAGGAATTTTGCAGTAAAGTAAAATCGAAGCAACCAAACTCTATGCCAACCAAGCCTAATACAAAATTTGGCAAATTTCAACGAGTTCTGCACTCTCCTTGTAAATATCAGCTTCCCATATCCTCAGTTGAGCCAAGTTTTCTCAGCATCCAAATGGAACCACAAAGAGAATTGAAACAACAAAAGGCGAAGGAAACTTACTTGTGAACTGTTTCCTTGAACTTCTCCTCATCCAAGAACTGTAATATTAAAAACACCAACTCCCTACTCAACGAAGACATTGTCCCCGGTACCCCTAAACGCTCCAGTGCAACAGTCCAAAATTACAGCAGAGACACTCAATTCTCGGTAGCCAACACAAGTTTCCTTTGAAAGCTTTTTCAAGCCCCAAACACTCCACAATTCGATGAGCAATAAAGAACACAGAAACTGCCTTCTCTATAGACCAATTCTGCTAATAAAAGTTCCTTTTGATCGCACATCAAACACCAAGTACATATACGAATTTCACCTTAAGAAAATTAATTTCTTCACCAAAATAAAACAGACCCGGTTTACCAAAAAGCCAAACAAGTGGAGGAGACTCAAAAAAAGGGACAAAAAAGAAACGCCACAACCTCTATCTGAGCAACCCACTTCAAATAAAACCCCCAATTAAACCCTAATTCTTAGCTTCTGGTACCAAAAATTCCAGCAAAGTAAAAGAGCTCAAGCTATGCAACAAAACATCAATCACCAGAAAGCAGCTTATAAAGGGCTTGATTTCACAACAAATTACTACAAAAATGTGAACTTCACTTGCATTAGTTTCACTTGTGAAGATAAAGATGAAAAATACAAGCCTTACAGGTCATCACAGCACAGAGCAGCAAAATGAACCATTTCTTTAGGGTTAGGGTTTTTTCTTCGTTCTTTCTTGTTTTCTTTAAGCTACTTGCAGCTAACTCGGCAACAACCCTCTCTCTCTCTCTCTCTCTCTCTCTCTCTCTCTCTCTTAACTCTTGATATATACTTTGTTTTGTTTTCTTGTTTTTGCCTCTCTCCCTCAGTCCCTCTAATCTTTTATATGCATACTTTTTCTCTCTCTAGGACTTGGACAAAGCCACAAAGTTTGTACTGTTTGCATATAAATATGTTTATATAATTCATATGTGTATATATATCCTCTCTCTCTTCCCTAACTTTGAGCTTTCACTTTCTCCCTTTCTCTCTCTGTATGTATATGTAAAGTCTCTCTCTCTACCTGATTTTCTCACTTTACTTTTTATAGTCCATTAATTGTTGATGCCATTTTCAAATCAAACCTAGAGGACACGGGAATTAATTTTTTGTGAACATCTCCTTTCTTATCCGTGAACTCTTCCACTGTTCTTTTTTCTTAACAGTCAAATTCAAAGTTGTTTTTTAAAAGAAAAAAAGAAAATAGTATTATTTAAATAATATTAAGGATGGTTTGTATAGATAATTATTTAATTAAATATTTTTATTTTGATTTAAGTGTAAAATTTAAAATTTTAAAATATATTTTCAGGTTTATTATAAGGCATATAAATTAACTATCTTTTAATTTCAAAGATAATTTGTAACAGGTCCCTACAAGAGTGAAAAAATAAATCACATCAATGAATATAATTTCTCGGTTGATATTCCTTGCATGGTATATTATTTAAATTTATTCAATAATAATTTTTTTACTCAAATATAATATTCTTAAATTTTTTATTTTTTGTATAATTATTGTGAATTTACAACTTTTGTTCTCATTCACAAAAGCAATATTTTATATATATATATATCTAATAGTTTTGTAAATATATATGTATTCTCTTTTCATAGTAATACAAGTGACTTTCCTAAGATAATAAAACTAGTAATTTGTATATTTATAAATCTCAATGAATATTCTTATCTTGTTAAAGAATAAACCTAAAAGACAAATTGTTAAATAAATTAAAACCATTATGTTAACTGCAGGCATGAGTGTTTTTTTTTTTTTTCTTTCAGAATTGATAGTATTTTTTTAAATAATTATCTGCCAAAAATATTTTTTAGAGCCCGTTTGAAATAAATAAATTCCACAAAATTTTATGAAATTCATTTGGAAATCCATAATATTGTATTGGAATGAAAAAACATACATATTTGAATTCTATGGAATTAGGTATATCTAACAAATTCTACTAAAATTGATTGGATTTGTAAATGAATTTCACAAAATTAACGATTGAAATGTTTATTGATAAAATTACCCATCCACTATAAACTCAACTATTTTTACTTTTGTGTATATCTAACAATTTCTACTAAAATGATTGGATTTGTAAATGAATTTTCCCACAAAATTTAACGATTGAAATGTTATTGATAAAATTACCCATTCCACTATAACTCAACTATTTTACTTTTTTTTTTCCTTCTTGTTTATTTCCCATTTTTTGAAAAATTCAAATTATAACAACGTTAATTTTTTTTAAATCAATAATGATGGTTTAGTTTATATTTTTTTTCTTTTTTTATAAAATTTTTCAAACTAGTAAATAATGTTAGTTATATTTCAGAGAAATTTTATTAAAAACTGAATATCATCATATGCAGATTAAAAAATAATAATAACTTCCTAATATTTTTTAATACTCAAATTAATTACTTAATCAATAAAAATTTTTTAGCATAATTAAAATAATTCTTAGATGAATGTACTATTTATATAATTAATTTAAATTAGCAATGAAAATTAGTTGTACTTATTATATGATGAAATTTATTATTTATATTTTAATAAAAAATGACAAGTTATTATATTGTACACAATAAATATAATTGGTGTTTGTTATTTATTTTTGTTAAATTACTATGTCAAGGGTGTGATAAGAAATAAAGATAAATAAATTTCATTTAAAAATCTATTTCAAATATAATTTTGTGGAATTCAATTAAATTTTTTATTTTAAAGTTGTAGCATACCAAACATAACATATTCATTTGCAAATAAATTCTTTTTGAAATTCATTTACAAATGAATTCTATAACAATGATTCATTTATTCCAAACGAGCTGTTAATATAAAAGATATGAATCATGTGACTGTAGTGGTAGTTGAAATGTAAAATTTCTAAATTAAGGTTATTCATAAATTACCTCAAATTGCCTAAACTTATCTGAAATCATAGCTTTTCAAAAATTTGTAATTTGGTTTGATTTACAATATATGAAAACCAAAATGTTGGTTCAATTCAAATAATTTTAACTATGATGTTAAAATTATTTGAATTGAACCAAACCAAACATTATATATGTATTATCTTTTCGTGTATATTTGGGTTAGTTGAATTACTTTCCTTTTAATAATTCACGTATTATGTTAAATGACCTAATTTTTCACAATCAAAAATTTAAATATATCTCGTAGAGAGTTTATTAATGATAAGCCATTTTTTAATTATCTTTTATAAAAGTGACTACTTTATAATTTGATTTGATTTAAATTTTTATAAACTGCTATTGTTATTTGATTTATGCAAATCCTCAAAATCAAACTATATTTAACACTCCCATTCTTGATAATCAAGGTCTTTTGAGATTAATATTGTCTTATGCACTAAACAAATAATTTTGGCAAGAAATAATAAACTTGAGATTTATATTAATTGTTGCTTGTCCAATAACAAAATTCTATGCATGAAAATAAAAAAAAAATTATAATTTTTCATTTTCATTTTTATAAAATATATAGGAGAATAAAAATTAAATAAATAATCTCCTCATTATTGTTTAACTTGGAAAAAAAAATAGTGATTGAATGAATAGTTGAAAATAATTTAATCCCAACAATTTTTTTAGTACACCAAATATCATTTATTATGCAATCTACATATGTACAAGCATAAGAGTAGATAGATATGGTTTAACCATTATGTTCTTTTCTTTTTCTATGTTTACCTGTTTTTTTACCTTTTTGGTTTGTGGATCCCAACAAGAAAGGGACATGTGTGAGTGCTTTCACGTTGATGATTTTTACTGTTTGGCATTGATTAAATGCATGAATTTATTATATATTTTTCACGAAAAATTTTCAATTTATCTATTACATAAATTAATTTGTAAAATTAAATTACTTAAATATTTATTTTTTTATAAATAAAATAATTTAAATTTGAAATATTTCACTATTTATTTAATAATTTAAACATGTAAAAATTATTACTCTAAAATTGCATTATCTAAATATCAAACTGATATTCTAAATATAAAAATTAAAAATCTTAAAAATTATTATATTTAATGTAAATAATCGTGAAATATTTACTAAAAGGTGCATGATGTTATAAGATTGATGTTAAAATGTAGGATGCCACGAGAGATTTTTTTTTTTTTTTCATCAAAGTTGAAAGGTCATACGTGTGTGGTGCGTGGAGTCACCAAGTTAGCATGAGATAGGCCTCATAGAAGCAAATCTCAGAGAGAAGGGTTTGGCTTAAAACACCATTCCCTGTCAATTGCAGAGAGTGAGAGAGACTTTCATGGGAAAAAGAGCCCCATTAGGTCGGCAGTCAGTTCAGTACCTCTTCACAATTTCCATTTTGCCCCTCAAACCTTCAACATCCCGACAGCGAAGGCAAGATGTTTAAGCTTATTTTTCATAACTTTAGTCATGTTTAAGTTAGCTTTTAATTAAATGTTAAGAAAATAGTATTTCATAATCTTTTTCTCGAATTATAAATATTTCAAAATTAATAAAAAATTATATTTTAAATTTTTATCGAATAGAGTCAAATTATTTTTTTTATAAATTTATTCGGTTCAAAGTATAATAAATCCATCCAACGAATTCTGAATACGATAGTTTTAGCTATTTTTTTAAAATAATTTAAAATAATTGAAGAAGCAAAAAGAGTAATTTTTTTTTCTTGATTGGAGAGAGTACTTTTTCCCCCTTTGATATTTTTGTATATTGGCTTCTCTGTTTATATAGTTTTCCCATTTTGTAAATGCCATGCCAGCTAGCATTGTTTGCAGACACATTGCACATGGATAACCTTATTTAGTCAATAGTGCTTTATGCTTGTTTGCTTATCCAGCACATTACTTCAATAGTCTGAATAATTGAGGTTCATATGAATATTTATGTCATCAACATTTTAAATAAAAATGTGAATTTACATTTTATGTTTTAAATATCAACTTATTTATAAATATATTTATATAAAATTAATATTCAGACTAAGTTTGAAGATATGTTTTAAGACTCTTGTTAGCAGGAAATTTAAAAGTATTAGAATGAGTAGTTTTCACTCGAAATTCAAGTTTAAAATTAAAATCAAAACGGAAAAAATAAAATATTTCTAATAAAAACATATTGAAATGCAATAAAAATACCACATATTACATTATTTCCAATGTAAATATAATTAAAATCTTTCTAAATATGCAAATATAGTGGGAAAGAACACAAACACTAGCATCTTGTCTTCTTAGATTGGAAAATAAAGAATAAAGAATCATAAATTAATCTTCTTTTTTTTTTGTCACATTACAAATAAAAAAATAAATAATATCTAATTAAACTATTTATGGCACTATGAAAAGATTGAACAGAGAGTAATCCAAAACATTAGAATGAAATTAAAGTGTTTAGGACACACCATCCCTAATTAATTTTTTGTTGCCATTACTAAATTAGTGATTAGTGATGGACCATCATGATAGTTCCACTTACACTTCTAAAGTAAAACTACAACTTGCTTGGTGGGTAATTAGAAAATGACCTTTAATTAATTAATTATTAATCTTTTTTTCTAGTTTAGACTACAATCTAAGAATGATGTACTAAAATAATACTAGTTTAATAAATAATTATTCCAACTGATTGCATATTTAAATGGCAGCATTATTTGTTCTTCAAAGTAATTCTTTTGTGTGGTTATAAAATAAATAAATAAATAAATCTTTATTTTATTGTTTTTTTTTTTTTGTCTATTCTGTTATTATTATAATAATATATAAAGTAACTTGATTGAGAAACTTGTGGGAATTATTAAAAATTTAATTAAAATCACATGTTATAATAAGAGGTTTACACATACCGTCGTCTAAAAATCATCTATATATATATAGTAAGATCACATGCTCTTACACATATCCAGTTCCGAAGATAAAATTTATAAAAAAGGGGCAAACTATTATAAAAATTTATTAAAAGAATATTATGAAAAAAAAGGGGTAAAATGATTAAAAGTAATTTAAAATTTTCTTTAGGTCAAAGTTCAAATAACAGAGATGTGAAGGGAATTTAAAAAAAAAAAAAAAAATAGGAGGAAGAAATTGTCCCTCTCCTCCTGTAATATTCCGACTGTAGGACATATTAATAAATCGAATCATATATCGAAAATGGAGTTCATATATAGAAAAAGATGAAACTAATTAGCAGAGACGCCTTTTGGTGAAATGATTTAGAGAATTGGAAGAACTTCAAGGTTAAGCTTGTTCGCTTAGGGGAAATCCCTAAATGAGTGACCACCTGAGAAGTTTTTCATTTCACCTGTGGAATAAAATTGTGCGGATCCTCTCAATCCAGTATAGAATGGATTTGGCTTGATCCAAAGCTCGGCTTGATCCAAAATAGACAATTGCTCTGGTGATTAGAGTCTTGCATGGCACCTCCACATGTAGCTTCCTCCCAACACATACCCATTCATTTATAATATATTATTTGTATTAGAAATATATTTAATTATATTGTATATTATTCCATTAAAGCTTGCTAACCATAGCATTTGGCTATTTATAGATTAAATGATGAGGCATTTTAACTTAATTTAGGTTGTGTATTTAGAATGTGAGAAACAAATATTTCATGTTTGAATTATTGAATATACTTTTTGAATCCTCCATTTATTTTTATAATTAGAGTTTTTATCCATTTAGTTTAAGCAATGACAAAGAGAGGGTATCACTATCATTAACTTGTACTTCAAAATTATTCCATTAATTCTAATTTTATTGCATTTCAAAATAATTACCATTTGCTAGAAGAACAACAATTTTCCAAACCAAATGCATACTTCACAATTAAGTTTCGTATTTATCATGTTGGAATTCATATAAGATAAAATTAAGCACATAGATAAAAAAAAAATGTGAATAATGGAAAAATAAGAGTAAATAGATCTACACATCAAGTCATAGCATAATAGTATGATCCTGTATGATTTGATAACAGATCCAAGATCGAATGAATAGAATCCCTCTTCTCAGTATTAAAAAAAAATTATAACTTTGTAATTATTAATTTTGAAACAAGTTAAATTCGATAAAATCTCATAAAAATAAAATTTTCATATAAGTTTTGCTTATATTGATGTACGAGATCACATATATACTAAATTATTTAAAAAATATATTATTTTTTTATTTTTTCTTCTCAATAAATATTAAAATTATTCTGGAATTCCACTTACAATGATGTTAGCTCCTGTGTCTTGTGTCTTTGCAGATTAGGTGGAATTGGATAAAGATGGAAAGTCACTTTCATGTGATAAAGAGTTGCTTCTTCACAAGTCCCAACAAATATATCCATGAAAAATCCACCTTTTTTTTTTTTCATTTTTTAGCAACAATACACAAAATTATTTTTTTACACCAGGAATATATCAAAATACTATTTTAGTACATAAAAAAAATTTATTATACACAAAATAATGTGTTGCTTCTTATATAAAAATATGATTAAACTTGTACAAAATAATAACTTGCCAAAAAATATTATTAAGTCGATTATTAAAAACATGAAAATTATATTTCATAAAGATATATTTAATTCAACTGATTCATTTATCTAATATCTGAATTAGATGGCTTTTAAATATAAAATATGATTCGCATAATTTTTTTATATTTAATAATTTTTACTACTAAAAAAAGGGCACTTGGGCTATGTCATATTACTTACCTTGCTGTCTTTTCATGAAAGTAGTTTTTTGGAAAATATTTTATTTAGGTGGATGGATGTAATATTTGGTCAACTTTTTTATGGACAAAATTGCAGAAATTGAATAAGATTTATTCACACATGATACATAGACAATCCAATAAACAAAACTAATTTATAAAATTTTTTAAATAATATATTTTATATTTTCAATGAATGATGAAAAATATTTATTACATTAAAAATTTATTTTAATTGATTTGGTACAGAAACGATACAGATAAGTGTTAGCGTCTTCAATAATAGCAAATTGTTCAAGTTATTACTTAAAATTGAAATTTCGAGAGGTTTTTTGAAAACTATGGTGGGCTGCATCAAATGATAGAATTAGCTTGCTATGTCAAGTCTCATCTCGTCGCCTGCCAAACTAGCGGTCCATAATAAATCAACTCAACGTTCTATTATTTTATTTTTTTCCCTTACAGAAGTTTTGTTTTTAAGAAATGTTTTTGTATGAAATGTTTTTGTATATAATATATAATTATATATATAATATAAAAAAAAGGAGAGAATCAGTAGTTGACTTTCAAATGATAATCTGTTTGAAAAATGACTGGCTTATAGATGTTGACTTATTTCTAAATAAAATAATAATAAAAAAGCTAAATACATTGAACAACAAGGTTTGAGTTGATGAAAAAGTGGAAAATTTGGAATTTTTCCATGAACTTTGAAAGTGATTTATGGTCCTCCAACTTAATTTTTTTATGCTTAGTTATCAATTTGCAAGGTATTAAATTATTTAAAAAATGAAATTTAAGAGATCAAAAATCAGAAAGAAAAATTTTAGACACCGTAAAATATTTTTAAAATTCGAAAACCACAATATCTTTTTTCTTTTTTTTTTTTTTTGAAATTTAGATGTCAAATTACGTGCTGGGCCAAGTAATAGTGCACGTCGTGAATCAACATCTCGCATTATCATGCATGCCATTAATTACGTGATAACATTAGTAATAGGACAAATCAATGCGAAGGGTATTAATGTCATACCGGTTAAAAAGTTTGATTCCTCTTTAGCCACGTCATCCTTCCAGTATGCATGTGCTTCCCAATATAAATCAAAATAATTTTCTTAATAATAATGTTTTTATTTAATAAATCTAGCAATCAGGGCGTCCTTGTCTAATTGCGCAGTGCGCGGTAGCTGTCTCAGCACAGAGCGATAAGTAGAAGTGCTTATCTATCAGTTTCCGAATTGTGCCTCACCTTATCTGACATATATAAATTGGGAGATCCTTGCATGTGCTGCTCATATCTAACGTTTCGTTTTTACGTTCAAAAAAATAAAATAAAAAAAGACCATCAATTAAAGTTTAGATGGTAAACTTCAAATATTACTTTATTCTAAAAAATAAAGTAATACTTTGGATAAATAAATAGAGAAGATAAAATAATAATTATGGAACAAAGAGAATATTATGAAAGACATTATCATCCTTGGCAAGGGTTTTCTAGTAAAAATATTATGAAAGAAAAGTTATTATTTAATTTATATTAATTTTTATGATTTAAAATCATAAATTGAATAATACTGTATTCAAAAATAAAATAATTGTGTTAAGAATATAGTCTCAAGGTCAAAAAGTAAATAGTTATAATAATTAAATAAAAAATTTTAAAAATTCTGAGAATTTAACTATTCCATCATGTGTATTTTTACTGTATACTGTGTTACACTGTAATATGAAAATCCCATTTCTGACACAAGTACAAATTATTATAGTTTATAGGGTCATGCTCTATAAGCTACTGGCTAGTTTTGGTTGAGACGAGATCAGGACTGCGTTGGGTAACGAGCCAACAGGTAAAAGTAATTTTACGTCAAAAAATTGTAAACTACTACATTCTTTGAGTCGGGCCGCGTGTCAAGTTCTGGATCGCTCGGAGATTGGTTGACCGATCCGAACCCGTCGATTCTCGGAATGGCAAACCAAGTGTAAAGATTCGCTATGATCATCTGTTGACGACGTGTTACTTCAGCAAAACCCACCGCTCAAGGCCCTAAAAGGAATTTTTATTTTATAAAGACCATCAGTCCCCAAAATATAAATTATTATTGAATGATTATTTTATCTTAAAAATATATGATTATTTTATTTTAAAATACAAATTATTTTAAACAGTAATAAACATCATTTACAATATTACCTTTATTCGTGTTTACAATGATTATCTTTATAAATTATTTTTAATTTTGAAATAAAATATAATTTAATTAAAGTATTTTTAATTTTATTATAATTTAAGAGAATTAATTATTTTTAATCTATGTGTAAATATTACAATTTATATTTTAAAATAAAAGGAGTAAAACATTTGTCCTAAATTATAAGTTCTTTTTACTAAAAAGTAGTATTCGATTATATTCTAATTAATACCCTTCCTCTTATGCCCTCCTGATATTATTACAATTCTTTTTTTTTTTTTTAATTATTGACTATTAGGTCAGGAGTCAATAGTAAATTTAAAGTTTAAAATGCTAGTGATGTCATTATAATTTCTCAAAAGAGGACGAAAGTGTTCTATTGAAGAATAATTGATGGATCCAAATGTACTTTTTGTAAAAAAACAAAAAGGCTCAAGAAGTATTTTCACCTTTAATTTAAATACATTTAAATTTCAGACAAATTAAAAAAAGAAAATTAATGCATTTACATAATATGTATAAAACATGTTTACAGCATCTCACTATATGGCAAAAATTTTAATTTATATTCATTAGCTAATTCAATGCTGCTCAGTGGAAACTAAGCTAAAAAAGATCATACCTTTTGACTACCTCTAGCTTTGCTTCTTCAAGCCTCGGCAACTTTGCTAATTATAAACGAGGCGTGATTGGCAATTGTAGATTCTGGAGACTGTCGAAGCCTTCCGATCACCGGAAACAACTCTGATGAACGGAGAAACTGTCTGCAAGGGGCATGTGCACACATCTTTGCCAATGAAAAAAGAGCTATCCTTAATGGTGATTCATTTACCGCATCTCTCCTGCTTGGATTGAGGGCTAGAGCTGAACAATCAGATACCACCTTCAACAAAGCCTGAAACATTAAAAATTTCAACCACGTTTCATTTCATTATGGCAAACCATATAATACCCATCAACATGCAAATGTCATTTCTTTTGGATTGACAGGCAAGTAAGAGTTCCTTCAGTTCATTTTTATTTTTAGCTTTCCCAATTTTTAGTATTGTAATTTTGAAAGGCTTTATGTACTCCCTTCAAATGCAAGCTCATAAAAACCTCAATTTCTCAGAACGAAGCTAACTCATGAAACGTTAAAGGAACGTAAAAGAAAAAAACTGTAGTACAAAGCCAACTTCAATTAAGTTCCTAATATCTAACACGTTTTAGCTCAAGTTGTAACAGAGATAAGAATTCCAACATTAAGAGCATTTTTTTGAACCTTAGTTCCAATTGCCATATTTTATGGAGAGATTAGTGAAATTTTGAGGATAAAATTGGTTGCAATCGTAAACCTTTAATTTTTTAGTCCTTGCATAAAAATGTTTTACACGTTGTGATCTTGATTTTTAAATTGGCTAATATTGCAGGAATTTTTTGTTGAAAACTACATCAGTGAATTAACAAACCTGCATGGCTCCTTTAGAGACGATATCTTCACAAAGTTTGTTGGAATTGCGGACAAGATTACTTAATGCTCCAGCAGCATTTGCTTTAGTTTTGTCTTCTTCAGTTGAGAGTAACAAATTTGCTAATTGAGGTATAGATCTTCTGAGCTCCTCATACAACATGTCATTATGATACGCAGCATTTCCAATCTGAAGAGTAAGATAAATTAGATAGTATGCACTTTTTACAAAGTTTTGTTTCTCTTGAAATAAATTCAACCAATCGTACCACACTTTTTACAATCATTGCTATATAGCTGAAAAAAATAAAAACAAAAAGCAATGTTATTTAAAAAAACAGATCTTACAGCGAAACATGCAAATTTCCGTGTGCGTTTATCTGGATCAGCGCATCGATCAATGAGAAGACCAATTATATGATGTCTTACCTAGAAATCAAAATAAACTGTGAGAACAAGAACATTTTGTGTGAATCCCCAAGAAAGTGATTCTATTTCCAATAACTTTTAACTGTACACGAAATAAATTCATTTTTAGATGTCCGTAGAACTAAATGATCCACAAGGTTGAGCATACTGCCTAGCAATTTATTGTTCTGTACTTACTAGTGAACCATAGAAGTAGGAGCTATGCCGACACATATTGCCGAGAGCACTGCATGCCTTTGCACGTATATTGGGATCTTCATGCGCAAGAAACTCCTTCAAGAAGTCCAACATAGAGGCCCCATTAATGTGGTCATAAAAACCCTGAACACCAACAATATCCAAGATTATCAGACAGTACTATGGAAAACTTTTATATGTTTTTTTATATTGATTGGGCAAAGTTTTAGAATGGTTGAAATCAGTTGAAAGTCATCAACTTTCTATTGACGAAGTTACAAAAATTAGGCTAGCTAGCTCATAGTCTGGCCAAAATCTTCCAGGACTAGGGCCCAAGTTATTATGCCAATATGAGAAAAATCAGAAAATCTGACCTTGTCCATACGAGCTAGATCAGAAATGATCATTAGAACATCTAGCATGACCTCTCTTGGACTTGAATTGTCAAGCAATCTTCTCACTCTATTTGGATCCAAGAGACCTTTGCCTACAAGTTGAACTGCAAGAGGTCGGTGTGCTACCATTTTGGCAAGAAAAGCAACAGGCCTTCCCAAATCCTTTAGCTCCATATGTTCCAAGCATCGGAGGATGATGCCTGGCACTCCCACCTAAGAAGTTTGGCAGCAATAGAATAACAACACTCATAAGTTTCTCAATTACATATGGTTTCAGTGACCAGCATTTTATCCTGTTCTCATGATGAAAGCTACAAATGAAATAAAAGATTACGAAGATTTGCATATCATACACAAGTTCTAGGGCAGAATTATAATGCATATTAATAAAATTGAGAATCTCCATCTAAAAGGTTTAGAAGATTAGCTGGTCAAACAAAGCTGTACACGGAGTGTAGTTTTATCCAAAAACTATTGAAATATGTAGCAAAATAATCTTCCTTGCCCTGATCCAGAAAAAAGAAAAGAACACAAGAAAGCAAGAAAGTTGGCTAACCTCCAGAAGGATTTTAAGATACTTTCCCATGTCTTCCTCAATTGCTTTAACCATGTCTTTATCTTCCATGAATATTCTTCCACCAGGTGAACCCATGTTGAGAAGGAATCCACTGTTCACAGAAGCAGTAGCAGATGGCAAACTAGGAGCATTCTGTACAGCAACAAAAGGGAAGGCCAAGAGATCAATTACTGCATTTATTATGTCTCTGACACCATCCTTGCCTCCACCAGGCCCACCCCAGCCCTTCAAAAGCTTGAGATGTGTATCAGATATCAACTCAGATATGAGCTTGACATGTTGACTTCTGACTAAAATCTGGCGGAAAGTTGAGGCACCGCCTGGAAGGCAGTGGCATATTGATGAGATTGTCCAAACAGCCCCAAGAGGGGATAACCCGACTCGATCTTTTGTGCTATCCATTCCTTTAGGAGAAGCAGTCAGATGGTTTTTGGTTAATAACTCAATAAGAAGCAGAGGGATACCACTTGCACATAACTGTTGCACAGCTAATGGCCCTCCCCATTTCAACCTGGATTCTAGCAAGCCAACACATCCGTCCTTAAGGCCATGCCAATATGAGAGAATGCCATTTGCTTTATTAGGCCCCATTTCATCTTCATTGCCTATTGATATCTTGAGGTGTTCACAGATCGTGCCAGTGCGAGGAATCAAAGGAACTGCTATTTCAGAGATAGAAGACTCCACAGAAGCTCCACTTTCAAGAGCTAGAATGGATGCAACAGCCAGCATGGCTGATGCACAATGAGGTTGCAATGAATTCTTGGTTCTATCATCATGTGAAAAATGATGGGCAAGAACTGAAAGTCGGGATGACTGTTTCTTTGGAGAGGTTGTGAGCATAAATAATGCAGAATTCCGTCCAGTTGACTTCAAACACTGAGCAATAGTTGCAAGTATAAGGCATGAATGCAATATGAGAGCGGAAGGATTCAATAGTTTGCTCTTGAAGTTATTTGTTTCACCCACTTGAAGATCTTTGTTTGAAGACGAAACACATAAAGATAAAATAGAGAAGATCTCTGAAACAATGGTTCCATCCCCTCCACCACTAACAACAGTAGTAACAGGAAGAGAACTGGGCAAACCACACAGAACACCAGGAACAATTGCATTATGGAGGCAGCACCTTGTCAAAAGCTGAAACATTTTAAAAAAGAGTAAACTTACAAATCAATATAGAGACTGAAGCACAAATATTAAGAAAAATAATTAGAAAATGAATTAAAATAAAGTAGCTTCTTCAATCATTATAGTGTAATAACAATTTCAAAAACTAAGGATACAAGAAAAACACCTGAATACTGGCAGTCAGCACAGCCTCTAGACGTTGATGAAGGCAATAATATATAGCCACCTGCACCGCTTTTGATTTTAGGAATGCCCTTGTCACAGCATCAGTAATTCTGGCTGAATCTGTCCCAGTCAATGAACCTCTTTCTTGATCTCGAATGTCAAGTTGGATTAAAGAATGACTCCGCAAAGAATTTAATGGAAATAAATAAACATTTGCTTTCATAAAAAGAGTTTCCACCGCATCTATCAATGACCAGATAGCTCTACAAGCTTCACAAGCAGCACGCAACATGTTTGAAGAACCTGAAATAAGGCTTGAGCCTGTTGTTACCAAGCAAAGGCATAAATGTTCGACCAATCCACATGTCTTAGCATGATCCAAAATTCGCTTCATTGTTTCATTCATAACCGGAGTAGAAACTGCTTCAGAACATGAAGTTAATTTGAGACCCTTGGCTACTGTTGATAACACAACTGTAACGCAAGCAGTGGCCTCATACAGTACTCTTCCAGAGTTGTCCTCATTGCAACCAACAACCTATGCATTTGTCATCATCAGAAAACTGAGAATAAGGGCATTTATAGGTGGAAGAAATAACATTATGTATAAGGACATAATACCTGTGCAAAAATTTCAATCAAGGCAACCCAATGGGTGAAATATGAAGCTCCAATACCACCACCTCTTTTGTCTAATGATTGTTTCATAATAGCAAAACTCTGCGTAATTAAGAAATTAGAATTATGTCGGTCACTGCTAATCCTTAGACATGAAAAATCAACCATTCACAGTGCATGGCAATTGAAGACATCCAGCTTTTTCAATAATGATAATCATTTCCAAATTTATGCAGTCAAAATTTGGAAAAAATTAGTAGAAAACAATAGTAATTCCAAACCTGTGAGGAAAGGAGAAGAAATATCTAAGTGAAAGAAGGGAATGCAATACTGAAAAGAAGCCTGAACTTCAAAATTGTCTCTTACAGTATTTACAACTGGCATACAAAATATGAAAAATACTGAAGTACATAATGTAAAAGAACATAGATCATAACTTATAATCTAATTACAATCATGATAATTTTGTCAACCCAAAAGAAATATGCAATAATCCAACACTAATTATCATTGAAATATAGGCATGAGTATATTAAAAAGGGAAAAGACTTTGGGCTTCAAAATGAACTCCAGCTGTAAAATACCTTTGCAATTAAATCATTGAGTTCCACGGATTTCAAGCTGATTATAACAGCAGTGAAGTCAAGAAGTTCACATAGTATTTCATCAAGTAACCCGCTAGACTGGATTGCGCCAGCTGCAGCTAAGTTTGAAAGAATTTTCAGTGACTGGTTTGAAGTAGGAAGATCCTGATCCCTGAATGTGTTTGAAAAGCAATTTAATGTCTCAATTAATAGGCTACTTTTTAAATACAAGCCATCATACAAATAACTAAGACACTAAAACCAAGAATACACGTACAAGATTAGTGAGAGGTGGCAGAATATATGTAATGAAGTATCACAAAGGTCAAAACTACAATTTCCATTGTCCAGTGCCTGCTTTCTAATTCAGGTACTCATTGCTAGACTACTATCCCAATCTTTGCTTTGACTAATTTTTTGGACTTGTTATAAAATAATCTCCAACTTAGCACATGTATATGACTTTTCATAGGGTTAACTTGTAAACAAATGCTATTGCTTTATTTCATGCAGGTGCAAATGTAAGTGTTCTTGATGAGTTTCACCTAGGGTAAAGAATATGGCTTTCTGGTTGAGACTCAAGAAAGTTGTCTAAGTGTGCAACTGTACTGACGCAAGTTTTTAGATGTGGTAAATATGGCATCACCATAGAATTGCACATTTTTACTTGTCCAAGTAATACTCCACAGTTTCATTTAGAAACCATAGAGGCAGACCATTATTAAAAGACTTAAGCCATTATAACAACTGAGAATAAATTATCAAAACCATTCCATCTTGTGAATTTTTATAAATAAAAAAATCACTCTAGCTATTATTGTTTCACATTCTTCCAAAAATAAAATATAGAATGTTTGAGTGCAATCATGCCTATTACCCAATGGCATGTTTCCAAAAGCATGTAATGTTTCAAATGCTGTTGTGTATTTTTTTTTTCCCTTTAATTTAAAAGGCCTCATGTAGGAAGTAGGGCATGCACATGGTCCTTTTACTAACTTTTCTAGAAAGTAAGGCACAAATTAGAGCTTATTTTTTGCCTAGGCTAAAAAATAGAAAAGGCCAACAACTTTTAAATATAATCAAATGATGATGAGAAAGTAACACAATTTAACCTGCAAGAATGTTGGGATTCTTTTGACCATCTTTTTAATGGTAGCAAAACAAGTGCTAATGCTTCATTATCTTGACCAATCATTTGTGCACCTTTAACAGTGCGGGAGTTGTTTTCCAATCTGTCTAATGCTTGGCTACCTGAAGAGAAACAAGATGTAATTACACTTTCGATTTCCACATCAAAATGGTTTAATGCAACATCTGAATTAATGAAGGGAATAATTACCAGGTTTGATAATTAATAAAAATACACTGCACAAGTCATGCACAAAAGTGCACACACAACCATAATTCCCTAAATGCGAGAGGTTTACTCTTTTGATGTTAAAAATATCTATGTAGTGTCATCAAGCAAGGGAGAAACCACCAAAACATCATTAAAAAGATTACAAGCCCTTCTCCTCTTTTTGAATAGGATAACTTGATATAACTCTATGTAATTACATATATGACTATATACAAATTACCAGAAAGAGGGGTTTGCATTAATATAAGTCAAAACCAGGTCTAGTCTACTGTTTTATGAGCAACTACAAACTTAGCTAACATCAGATTCAACATCCAAACAACCAAAGGGATACATCGGCTATGATAAAGAACTGAACAAACCAAGAAACTGCAAAATTCAGATATTTATGACTTTTCAATTGGCTTGAAATTTATAGTTAAAATTGTCCATCTGGTATCAACTTATGATGTAGGAGATCAATGCAAGACTGGGTAGAAAAAGAGATCATACAGAGTTCTCTTACAAAAATAAAAAAGGCAAATTTCTTTTTCAAAAATTCAAATGAAAAAAATGAATGTAATTTATACTATTGCTAGAAATACTTCACCAACCCGACTGTTTAGCATCATTAGGACTTGCAAATCCAGGGAATTCTTCATGTGGTGCAGAATTGGTTGTGGCTACACTAGGACTATTCAGTTTAGAATCATTATGAGGCTTCGGAGCATTACAATTCTCAAGAGCAGCAGCAGAATTATTTCTACCTGCAAGAAGGTAATTGATGATATTTTAAGCCACTGAAATTTAGAACTACTAAGCATCTAGCGAAAGCCATACCCTCTGGACTGGAGACAGCCAAAACAGTTGATGCTTGGACTTCACCCTTCCATGCTGCATCACATCCCCTGGCTGCAGCAGTTGCAGCACGCATTTCCTGAAGATATTTCACCGAATACTATAATTCTATAATCTACAACAAAGCATTTTTGAAATGTATGTATATGTGTGTGTGTATATATATAATCAAACCATCCCCTGGGCTGCAGCAGTTCTGGCCAGGCAAAACGCAGTGTTCCTGAAGTGTTATATTTCACAACCGAATACCTATAATTCTATGAAATCTAGCAACAAAGCATGTGTTTGAATGTATGTATATTGTGTGTGTATAATATATATATATATATATATATATAATAAATGTAGATAGATTAGATATGACATATGCCAGCTCATGGTTTTAGATAGCTGAAAAAGAGAGTCATTTATTGTTGAGTGTGCTCCGAAATCATTGCTTGATAGTATATATATATATATATATGTAGATAGATAGATATGAAATATGCAAGCTCATGTTATAGATAGCTGAAAAAGAGTCATTTATTGTTGATTGTGCTCCGAAATCATTCTTGATAGGCGTGATGCTTTTACGAGTGAGATCCGTAAAATTATACTTTCTAACCTTTAAAAATCGAAGAAAAAGGTAGAATGAAAGTGTGAGTGAAACTAAGGTTTCCTACTTTTATGAGTGAGACTAGCAAGATTGTACTTTCTAAACTTACAAATTGAAGAAAAAGATGAATGAAAATGTGAAACTAAGAGCATGTATGGAATAACATTACCCTGGCTTCCATTTCATCCGAGGTTTCCTTAATAAATGGGTGTTCAAGAAGAGCAGGCCAAGTCAATCGATTTTGCGGTACCTGTGTTGCAAAAAAATAAATAAATAAATAAAATCTAGGACCAATTTTAATATCAAAATTCAAATTGATAGTAATCATCCACAAGGGGAGGTATAGAACAACCTTACTGAGCAATCCCTTCAAAAAGCTTTTGAAATTGGGACTCATATCATCGGGATATTTTACTGGATCCTGGGATATCACACATAACATTAGCTGCTACTTTCACACACCTGGTCATAAAGCTTAAGTTAACTCAAAAGAGTTCAAGCAAATGCACCTTAACAATGTGCCGGATGAGTGCATAAACTGAATTTGTATAAAATGGGGGCTGACCAACAAATAATTCATACCTGTTAAAACCATGACGCATTAGGTATGATTATGTATGTAAATCAAGGTACAAGAAAGATAAAAACCTAACTCAAATGATTGACTGTGCACATTTATATGGTCATTTGAAATGTATCTGAAAGTTGTTTATTCAAACCAAAATTTAACTAGGAACCTTTGCAAAACAAATGTAATTATGATGAAAATTTTTGTTTCACAATTAACTCGATCAAAGTCTAGATTAAATAGACTTCGCCAGTTCCCCATATATACAGGATAGAGAGAGAACATGCACATACAATATCACTCCAAGGGACCATAAATCAGCAGTGTGATTGTATGGTTGCTCCCTTACCAACTCCGGAGCCATGTACAATGGAGTTCCTGGAACCAAATATAAAAGCAAATTCAGCCGAGTAGTAACGTCTACAAAGTGGAATGTTCATCACAAAGATATCAGCCAAACCTTTTATGGACTGTAAAACCACAGTGTTTGTGGACATGGCACGTGCAAATCCAAAATCACAAAGCTGTGGCAGATAAAAAAGGGTATACACAAGATCACAACACTTGATGAAAACCTAGCCTTTAATTATAGAACGGGACAATAGGATATTTTACTAGAAACTGTAAAATGCTTGATGAATTCATTTAGAGATTAAAACATGAGAAATAATCTTCATAAATAAACAGAAAATGTCTGCATATATTATATAATCAAGAGGTTGTAGTAGCATTCACTACATGGGCAGCACACAATAATATGAGAGTACTCGAGCAAATAAACTGGGCCCCTTGAATACAGCAACTCGTCTAAGTTCCAACCTTAACAATTGACCCAGCACCAATGAGTATGTTCTGTGGTTTCATGTCCCGATGGATGATACGGTTAGAATGCAAATAATGCAGTGCTCTCACCTGTAAGATTGAACAGCAGAAAGTTGGAGTCCAGAATATTATAGCTAATAAACTCAAAAAAAAAAAAAAAAAAAAAAAAAATAAGGCTAATAAACTCAAAAAAAAAAAAAAAAAAAAAAAAAGCCAGCTAAGACCAAGATCAAAAAAAAAAAAAAAAAAAAAAAAAGCCAGCTAGACCAAATCAATAGGCGATAATTTTTTCTAATTGGAGGGAAAAATACCAACTGCTTTGCAATTGCTTGAACCTGTTCTTCGGGGAGGCACTTATCATCCTCTAGTATCTCAAATAGCTCACCCTGCGTATTGGGCAAATGCCATCAGCTAGTCCCAGAATACTATCTTTTTTCCCTTTTTTTTTCCTTTTGTGGTTGTAAGCCATTCCAAGATAGTCAAAAGAAAGGAGGTAATTACCTGCGCAAATTCTGTGACAACACAGAATTCCTGGGGGCTTTCAAAGGAATCAAGCATTTCAATAATATTTTCATGCTTCAGCTTTCTTAGAATCTACCACATTCGAGATATTAAGCATAAAGCAGCAATAAAAATTAATATAAAACTATTAAAGAAAATGTCAAGCAAAAAGAATAACTTCCCAAGAGAGAACGACCATTGGCCAAAGTTTATCAGTCTAGAATATGAGTACCTCAATTTCCTGTCTCAAATTATGAATATCCTTCTCACTTTTCCCATGCTTCATAATGAATTTCATCGCAACAGTCTATCAACAACAACAACAACGCCAAGATTAAAGAAAAAAAAATACAAATTAATAGAACATACCTTTTTAAAAAAAGTAAAATACAAAATTTACCTGGCCTGTGTACTTGCGCCTGCCTTTATACACTTTCCCAAACGAGCCCTCACCTACTAGCTCTATCACGTGGTAGTTTTCCACTCCCATTTTCTATTATCTACAAAAATTCTGTCTGTTCATCCACAAAAACAGGAAAAAGGAAAAACTCAACAATATCAGATTTAGCTGCAACAATTTTTAGAAACCAGCTTTGTTTACATTCACACCATAATTAAAGCAAATTGTTGCCGAAACTATAATTTCACCAAGAAAGCAATTCAATAAATGAGGTCTAAGATCTCGATCAAATTCAAGTTAAAACAAAAAATGTGTAAACAATTCTCGATTTACCAGCGGCGAAAGCAATGTGAACACTGTCCCTGGTGAAACCCTAAATATAGTTAATACCATTTTGCAGTTAATTTCTGATATTAAATGCTACTGAGCTTTAAAAAAATAAAGTAAAATCTAGTGAAAACAGAGCAAAAGAGCATTGAGAGGCAATATCGAGGAGAATACCTCAGTCGAGTTGCAAAGCGAAAAATAAATCTGGAGAAGCGGATTTACAGAGAGGAGGAGAGGTAGCGAAAAAGAGTTTAGAGAGAGACAGAATTTTGAAATGCGTACCGAGAGAGAGAGAAAATGAATTTTTCCCGCTCCTATTTATTTGAAAATGCTCGTTGTTTATTTCAGTACCGTTACGTCCTTGGTTTGCAATTTTTCCTCACACGATACAGTAGTTTCTTTCTTACCATAAAAAAGAATTAAACTATAGAACTGCTTTGTTTTAAATTGAATTAGTAGTATTATGATACTTTATTTCCTTAAAATGACTTATTTTCGGTTATTTAGTTGTAATATTGAAAATTAGTTAAAAATATTAAAAATTTTATCTTATGCAATCATAAAAAATATTAATAATAATATAAATTTGTAATATTGAAATTAGTTAAAAATAATTAATTATCATCTAAAATATTAATAAATAATATAAAAATTTTATATTTAAATTTTATATTTGGTTGCAGTGTTTTGAGTCTCCGGTGGTGGTGGTGGTTCGTGTGGTGATTGAGAATAGTGACTACGATGATTAAATAAATTCATCAAAAATAAATGAATTTATAAAGGTTTATCAATGATCTTAAAAATGCTTTACTCACTCGAAAATGAAAAAGTTATTGTTCTTAAAAAATGATTTAGTTTTTCCTTTGCACTAGAATAATATTTTCTGTTGACTTAATTTCTTGAATGCCAAACAACAAAAAATATGTAAAATATGCATCGTCGCAAATTATTTTAAAACAGAGTTTTAATATTAGCATTAGTATTTTAAAAATTTTATTATTAAATATGAGAATAATGCAAGAAAAAATGTAAATTATGAAAGTCATCGGTGAGTGGTGGTGGTAATCAGTAGTAAATGGTGATTGGAATAGTGACTACGATGATTAATAAATTACAAAAATATGAATTTATAAGGTTTATCAATATCTTAAAAATGCTTTACTCACTCGAAAATGAAAAGTTATTTTCTTAAAAAATGATTTAGTTTTCCTTTGACTAGAATAATATTTTCTGTTGACTTATTTTCTTGAATGCCCAAACAACAAAAAATTATGTAAAATATGCTCGTGCAAATTATTTTACAAAAGTAAACAGAGTTTTAATATTAGCATTAGTATTAGTATTTGAAATAAATATACATATAATTAATTTTAAAAAATAGACATATAATTCATCAATTTACGATTCAGTTTTATGTAAAAATTCATTTTTCATTTATTGTATTTAAGAATGATGTATTAGTTTGAAATTTATTTCAAATTTTTATGTGTATTTTTGTTATTAATTAGTAGTATTTAAAATATTAAAAATTTTGAAATGAAGAGTATATATTAGTTATACATAGAGTATTATTCTAGACAATTACTATTTATTAAAATTAAAAATTGAATTCTAAAACCAATAAGGTGTTAATTGAGGTAATCAACGCATTTTAGTGAAAAGAGCAAAAAAAACCATTAGGATTAAGCCTCATTTTGCTAGGAGAACAAAAAACTATCGGGGTTAAACTCTCGTTTATACCACCTATTGACTATATCAAATGCATTTTATTAGAAGAGCCAAAAATCGCCAGAATTAAACCTCTAGGTTATACCAAATGCACTTTGTTGGGAATCTAAAGACCACCGGGATTAAACCTCTCGCACTTTGCTACGAAAGCGAAAAACCACCAAAATTAAACCAAATGCACTTTACTGGAAGAGCAAAAAATTACCAGGATTAAACCTTCCAGTTATACTATCTCCTGGCCATATCAAATGCATTTTGCTGAAAGAGCCAAAAATCACATGAATTAAACTTTCCAATTATACCAAAATGCACTTTGCTAGGGCAGCCAAAAACCATTGGGTTAAACCTCTTAGTTATACTACTTCCCGGTTATACCAAATGTACTTTGCTAAGAGAGCCAAAAACCACAGGGATTAAACCTTTCGGTCATACCATTTCCAGCTATACCAAATGCACTTTGCTGATAAAGCCAAAAAACTATACCAAATGCACTTTGTTGATAGAGCCAAAAACCATCGAGATTAAACATCTCGATTATACCACGTCCCGGCTAGTACCAAATGCACTTTGTTGGGATAGCAAAAAACCACCGGAATTAAACCTCTCGGTCACACCACCTTCCAGCTATACCAAATTCACTTTGCTAATAAAGTCAAAAACCACTGAGATTAAACCTGTCGGTCATACCACCTCCCGACTATACCAAATGCACTTTGCTGATAGGCCAAAAACCACTGGAATTAAATTTCTCGATTATACCACCTCCCGGCTATACGAAATGCACTTTGCTGAGAAAGCCAAAAATCTCCGGAATTAAACTTTTCGATTATACTAAACGCATTCTGCTGGGAGGGCCAAAAACCTCTGGGATTAAACCTTCCAATTATACAAGAAAAAATAAATGAGTTCTATACCATTGTGTTAATATTCCACTTTAAATAATTTTGTACTTTACCATTTGCTAATATAGTCTTGTTTGGTATTCTACTAAAATTAAGTGTTATTAAATTAATCAAACTATAATTAAAAATATTTTTTTTAGAAAATTAAGGGTTGATATTTCAATTTTATTTATATAAAGATTTAATTAATGAAAATACTATTACATTTCTTAATAAAGAAATACATTAAATAAAAATAAAATAGTAAACTTTAAATATTGTTTATTTCTAATAAATATGACAATATTTTTTTACTGAAAAATATGACAATAATTCATAACATATGAAAAGAGAAAATAAGACCAAAATTATGATTCGAAGCAAGTACTTGTTACTAATCAAGTAATAGTCACTGCTTATTTGCTAACAACTATTAAAAATAATTATTATTACTGTGCACATATGGAGTGGATTTTTCAATGTTAATGTCCGAGATTAATATTTTGGATGGCGGCAAAACATGACCGGATGTAAAATAGAGGATAAATTATTTTGAGATTTTTAAATTACCTATTTGGTTTGGATAAAAATATAAAAGGAGGTATAAAATAATATATTTTATATTGTACAATTTTTCTACCAAAATGGAGTAAAAATAATAAATAATTTAGTGAAAGAGTTACTATTCATGAATAATAATAAAAATAAAATTATTTTACATCAATCTAAACAAAAATGCAGAAAAAAAGGTAAAATGAATAGTTTTATTTTATATACTTATTTTACTTCCACTCTCCTTCCCCAATGAATGTAAAATATATAGTTATCTGGTCATCCACAGTATTCAAAAAAAGGTTAGTTTCAAAAATAAAAAAAAGGTGAATTATATTTTATTTTAAATTCTTAGCCACTCAATTAGATTTGAAAGATGTCTAATGGAGCCCGTCAGCTATGCCAACAATTAATTAATCTCTTGACGCTTTAAAAAAACTTATTGAAATATAGTCAGATTATCATTTTTCGAAAATACCCTTCAAATGCGCTTTGCGAAAAGATCAGGTCATTAGGGTAAGAAGGCAGTGCCGGATGGGCCATCGGGTTTGTTAAAATATCTCTACTGTAATCCGTAGCAGGTGAAAAGCTTCGAATGGCGATGCCGTCAACTGAAAATTCCGACCAACCAGTCCCGCTACCCAACGATGCCGACCACCTTCAAGATAATACGGCCTCTAATTCCTTAAATCACGGGTAAGTGCTTCTTGCTTCATACCGTTCGGTTTTAGAAGTAGTAGGCGTTTAGGTTATTTTCTACGATCTTATTTCACTTCTTTAGCTAGAAATCAAACTGTTCCCCTTTATACCTACTCTTGCATCAATGTCGGGTGTTATTAATGGTAGGTTCAGTTGTCTCTAGTTTTGACCTTACTGTTAGGATGGGATTTTGGTTGAGCCTTTCTGTGGAATGCTTACTGTTCTTTTTACACTGACTAAGATGTAGATCAAAAAGATTTTTAGTAATGAAATTAGAACCAATCATGCAAGGGAAATGGGAAATTATAATGAGATGAAATTTTTATACAACCTTATCAGTTTGGAAAAAAACATCCTAAAAGATGGCTTCCTGTTTTAGTAGGACTTCAATTAAGATAAACGTGAAAGGTTTTGAGGAATGTTGTTGAAAACTTCTTGTTGGTTGTTGCTCTTACTGCTTCCCCACTCTCCTCTTTTTGTTAAATTTTTGTAAAATGAAGTAGTTTTTGTGAACGCATGGGGATTTTACAACTTTTAGTGTACTGAAGTCGTGTTTTGCTTGGAAATTTAGAGGTGCAGAACCCAAGCCAGGGATTGCCGAAGAAGAAATAAGAGGCATTCTTGAAGTAATTGCATCCACTGGAAAATTTTGGTATGCATTTGGCTTAATTTAGCCCTTATTGATTTGCATGATGAGGTTTGGCTTTTTTTTTTTTTCCCCTCTAGTTAAGACACAACACAAACAATTTGCGGATGAAGATTGGTACATTTTGATTTGCATCTACTTGCTTGCATGTGTCTATGTATGTGTTAAAAATGTCTCAAGTTTTTTCTGACATTGCCCTGATACAGCAGGACCGATGTTTTTCCAAAACTGTATTTTTTTTTTCCCCAGTACTCCTGCATGCATATACTAATTTTTATCTTTGCTCTGTCATTGTATTCTGCTGTATCGATTGGGTTTGATATTGAAACAGTAGTTGATTACTCTGATTCCATTCAGCATAGCCTGTCAATTGCCTAAAATGTGAATGTCGAAAGTATCAGCTTTAGCATATTCCCTCTCATGGCTAGATCAACTACTAATTCGAAGTTTAGACAAGTTCTGGGTATAATTTTAGACAAATATCATTATTCTTAGAAATCCTGTAATGATATGAGAAGATTCTATATGATTTTTTCAATACCTGATAGATGATTTTCTTTTTGTTATGCTCTTAGTATTTATGCAAACACATCAACTAATATAACTATCATTTGAATAATGAGAACCTTTACTTGCTTAATAATGTCCATTTTGTTCTTCGTTTTCTTATCTCCTGAAATTATAAGAGAACTCGTGGGATCAAGGATTTAAGATCAAGTTGCTTAGGTTCTCCGTTCTAGCAACTATACCCTTTCTTAGGGAAATATCTTCTCTGTCATTGCCAAACTCAATAGCTTCGCAATGTTTTCAACTTGTACAACGATCATCAAAATGCTGTTCGCTATTTTTCCTACCATATTTTCCCTATAGGTGGATGCAAGAAAATTTTTAGTTCATTCTTTAGTGTTTATTTAGTTTTTGAAAATAATATTTGCTTCTGGATGATGTTCCAACTGCCAATGCTTCTGAAGAGGTTCTTTTGAAGCTACAAAAAAAGGTCTTTTCTTGGATTCTTTATAAGATATTGATAGCCTTTTCGGCTATCTAACTTATGCTTTTAGTTTTAGGCATGTTATACTATGGTAGTTGCTCAGTTATTCTTGTTTTTTATTTTACAACCACAGATTTGAGGAAATTAGAGGTTAGGTACTGACCATTAAGATTTAGCTTGGACTGGTGCTTATTTATTTCATGATTTGTATGTTAGGCATGATTGGGAAAAATTGAAGAGCATGATATCCTTTTATCTGAAGCAGGTATGGGGAGGTATGCTAGCATGTAGTTCTCTTATTTCTTTACAGTGTGCATCATTATCTCCATTATTGGTTTGTTGATGACCATACTCACTTTTCATCTTTTTAATTCATGAAGGTTCTGTCAGAGTATCCTGAGGCGAAAATGACTAGTGAGGGGCAGAATGCCTCATTAGGAGAAACTTATCCAGAACTAGTGAAAAGGTTGGATGAAGGTAATTCTAATATACATTGCTTCTTGCTGTCTATAATCATGGACTTAGGCAACATGATGAAATTTGAAATTATGAATGTCAAGAAGTGGGATAACGTCATGATAATCCAAGTCTCAATTAGAGTGCTGAACTTGGCTTCGATGAATCTGCATGATCACATGGCCATGCAGCATGCTTGGGGCTTTATGCATCCAAGCATTATTAGTTTTTTCTTGAAAACGTTATTGCCCTTGGATAAAAACCTGAAGTAATTCTCTAGACAGCACATGAAACAGTGAGGTTTTATGGCTTGACCTTACTGTTGTGTTGTGGAACCATTTTCCTTTAGGACTGAGGTATGATCCTTCAGCCTTCATGGTGAAAATATGAGTGGTTGCTTCCATGCAATTCAGCCTTTGGGTAAAATTCCTTAATACCATAAATTTTCAGCAAGGGAAGACAAATAGAAAACTGGAGTAAGAATTGACATTTACAAGTTGAAGCAACCAGTAATTGATTAATCTGACCAAACAACAAAACCATAGTGCTATATATGATTTAACTAGTAGCCTTGCTGGCTCTCTGATTATTGCAATATCCTTGGGGCCATGGATCCATTTGGGGTTGTTCTCCCCAGCAAAAGTAGCTTTTGGCAAACTCCCTGTAGATGGTTTGGCCAGTTGATAAGTTATATAAAATTTGTAAATTATAGGTTATTTTTTTCTTTTGAAACTACTTTTAATATTTTTTTTTCCTCCTCTGCAGCTCTTCATAGTTTTGATGAAGGACCTCCATTTACCCTGCAGAGACTTTGTGAGGTGATTATTTTTATCTTATGTTCTCTCTCTCTCTCTCTCTCTCTAGGTTAACGATTTCTCTATATAGTGAGTTCTTATCCACATTGATTAATCATAAATCTTTTGCAACTTTTGAGTTGTGACTTTTGGTCATCATCTAAACTCGTGAAGATCTTCATTCTAGTTTCCACACTTGCAATGAGCAGGAGTATTGCAGTTTGATTGATTCTCATGATGCATGCAAAACCTATGATATATCAGTTTGGACAATGATATGGCAGCTTATACTTTGATTCCTGTACCTGGCTTTAGGGAGAAAACTGAAACTGTTTATCCTAAGAAAGTCCCTTTGTCTGAAAGTTAGAGAAATGTTTAGTACTAGGACACTGTCAGAATTATGAACTCTTTAAGAGTGTAAGGGTGATTATATGTTGCAGTGTGTAATTTGTCCTTACGTTCGTTGTCGTGTTCTTCTAGTTTAAGAATCGAAGGCTGTACTTTGCATGCTTGTTTCTATGGGGCTGTGGAATGCTTTGACTCCTAACATTAAATATATAAACTAAGCCCTTTTTCAAGAGTTAGAGCCTTAGGGGTTCACAAAAATATATGACTTTAAGTTTCTTGTCTATCATGAATTACCTGCTAACGCTATTTATTTGATTCCAACTACTAGTGCCTTTTCCCTTTATTTTTTTCTCTCCTTCAAGATATGTTGATAAGTAAGCAAATATTACAAGCATATAATACAGTAATTGTATTTGACAACTCTGCTTCTCTTTTAATTTTTTTGTATCCATTTTATCCTTTCACTTTTACTTTGTCGCTTAACGGGCATCAAATATCATTATATGATATCATATTCATTTTATATTTTACAGATCCTATTGGCTGCTAGAAGTATCTATCCCAACCTCTCAAAAGCTGCCCTGGCACTAGAAAAGGTGTGCTATCTTAAGTTCCCTTCAATAAATTATTTACCTTCTGTTGATTTGACATTATAGTCAGCGTCATGCATCAAGTACTCTGTTTCATGATAAATTATAGGAGTTTGTACTAACATTTTCACTGTCATCAGTAGAATCTCTGTTTTGATTGTCTTGAATATTTTTATTTATGGATTCTTTGTGCCATTATCCTTGTCTACACTTTGTTGAACATTGGGATTTGATTGGTTGAATCTCTCAAGTTTCTGAACAAGTTCTGCTCTAAATAAATTGTTTCTTATGCTACTTTTGCCTGTCCCATTGGTTAGATGAAATGTCATGTCCATTGTGCTAAATAGGATGTTCAGTATGTTGTATATCTTTGCATTTGTTTTTTCAATGGCTATTTTCTAGAGGAGGTATTCTTACTCTTACTTAACATGTCTATTCTGTTGTTGATGTGAGTGGGATTTGATTCCTGGTTTATTGAGACAATGCATTGTGATTTTACTAGCTAAACTTTTCGAACGATGCATGGTGATTATAAATGCATGGTGTCCATGCTTTATGAGGCTTAAAGCTAGCAACCTTTTATCTGATGCCCATTAGATGAAAATAGACCCGTTCAATGGCCTGTTCCAACTGCTTAAATATATAGAAAAAGGAAGTGTAATTTTGGCAAAATAGCCTTGGGTCATTTTTCAAGCCTGTTTTATTTGGAGATAGCCTTGATTGTGCTAGGGACAAAACCACCATTCCAAGCCCCTGTTTTTGAAGATTGAGCTGGGTGAGTCCCCAAGTGTGTGAATATTTATAGATGAAACTTGCAACTTGCAAGAGTAAAAAGTCTATCATGCTGAAAATTTGAAATTATTAGTATGTTAGCTCATTACTATAGTCTCTTTATCTAATGATTTCACTTCTAGTTTGATGGCTTCTAATATTTTGTGTTAGGCCCATTATCTAAAACTTTAGTATTAGTTAGTTATGGAAGTAGGATGACAAAAATTAAAATTTGTGAAGTCCTAACATTGACTAGTTTGCATGCGTGGTCTATAATAGCGCTAAGAAAAGCAAAAACAAAAAAAGTTTGCAATGTCAAAGAAGTTCAATAGTTTTTCAGAATTAGCATTTTCATTCGATGTCTGACTCAAATTTTTACCAACACTGAACCTATTTGCAGAATCTTTTGGTGACATCTACATTAACTGTTTGCACCGATCCTTATCCGCAAGCAATGCAAAAGCCAGATGAAGTAGATAAGGCATGTGATGAATCACAGCTACAACCCAGTTCAACACAAAATGGAGTTCAACCTATGGTCGGAGACGGGGATGAAATAATGGCTGAGGTACAGGAGGCGGACATTGATGATGATATGACCATTGACATGGAAGCCTTTGAAGAAATAGTTGGATCATCAGAGCCAAATCCTACGCCAACTGAAAATTCATAAATTTGGGTTATTGTTTTTGGCTTCAACTTCTTTTAATAGTTCATGGATCCATTAGCTGCTTTGCTGTGACCTGTGAGAGTGAGAGACTATAAGTTGGACGATGTGGTTGGCCTCATTATGTTCCTATCCTTAGGTTAGCAGCAGTGAGCCACAAGCTTAGATCTATGTGACATGGAATTAGAACATTCCGGTTAATGTATCTCACTTGAATGATGTATTTATACTTTTCTCCTTGTAATTGACACATGGCTCGTGTGGAAACATTTTTTGTTGCCATTGCTATGACCTGAACTATATGGAGCTGGAGATTATTTTTATTTATTTATTTATTTTATTTATATATAATAAGCAATTTAACCTAACAAATCTTTTTAGATAAAAATAAACCTAATACTTTGTTACTTTTTTTTTTTTTTTTTTTTTTTAAATTAAGAACATTCCGTTTAATGTTCTCCACTTGAATGATGTATTTATACTTTTCCTCCTTGTAATTGAACACCATGGCTCGTGGTGGAGAGACATTTTTTGGTTGCCAATGGCTATGACCTGAACTATATGGATGCTGGAGATAATTTTTATTTATTTAATTTATTTTAATTTTATATATAATTAAGCAAATTTAACCGTTAAACAATCTTTTAGATAAAAATAAAACCCTAATACTTTTTGTTTTTTTTTTTTTTTTTTTTTTTTGTAATAAATTGCTTTAATACCGGTAATCTTGATATTTTAGTAAGGCACATTTTGAAGGTTGCACGGACCATGGATAGAAGAAACAAGAATATTTCTCTCTTCAAAATTGAAGATTTAAGTAAGAAGCGTCCAAGAATTTGAGTCGGTTTGATGGAACTAGTTAATATTAATTCATGATTTGCAGTACTGCAGCGTGCTTGTAAACCTTTTTTTTTTTATACTATTTTTTTTTTATTTTGTTATTAATTGTTTTTCCAGAAGTAAACTTATACTTGACCACCTCCTTGTAGATTATTTTGCTATTAATTATTTGTATTTTTGTTATTGAATTACTAGATAATTGAAAACAAGTGATCCAATGATGGAAACTTTAAATGGATACCTTGTCAATTTTAAACCCGAGCTAATAAATTCATACAAATAAGTAATTTTACAATGAACTGAAATCAAGCTCCAACCATTTTTTTTTTTATTAAAATTATAGAATCAAGCTTCAACATTTTTAAGCCCTAAAACATCCATTAGATGATAATTAACACCTCGTACAAAATTAATCATGCATATAAATTTATTATGCAAGTAATTAATCTTATTCTTTTGATTCTCAAAAAGACAATTATGTAATAATATTAGCAGAGGAGCTTAACCCACTAGAGACTAACAAGCACTTCCAATGCTAAACTTCCTTCCATACATTATACATATACATAGAAACAACTAAATCTCCCTTAATTAAATCTCCTCAACAGACATCTGACCTGATTCTTGGAGATATGTGGGCTTTAAGTGGATTCTTCATAACAACGGTAAATTCTTGCTTCTCAGACAAATCAACATCATCTCCATCAACAGCCATCCACTTAAAATTCCAAACCAAATTAGCTACAAAATACTCCAAATGAAGCATCGCTAAACCATAACCAGGACAAATTCTTCTCCCTGCGCCAAAAGGCATCATCTTTATCTCTTTGCTTCCTGTTATATCAAACGCTTGGTCTCCATTATTCAAGAACCTTTCAGGCTTAAACGCCATAGGATCTTCCCACACCTTAGGATCCCGACCCATTTCTGCAACCATGAAATTCACTGTACCATTTTTAGGAACTACAAACCCATCTATAACTGTATCTTGAGTCACTGCATGTGGCAACACAAAATGTCCTGGAGGGTGACGCCTTAATCCTTCCAAAATCACTGCTTTTAGATATGACATTTTTTGTAAATAATCTTCTTTAACTACTTCTTCATCTCCAACAACCCCATTAATTTCCAGGAATAGCTTTTCTTGAATATGTGGGTATTTAACTAAATTAGCCATAATCCATTGGAGAGCTGTGGATGTAGTATCTGTACCTGCATCAAGAAACTCACTGCATAAACTAGCAATTTCACTTTCTATAAGCTTTCTATTCTCCTCTGGGAGATGCAAATCGAAAAGTGTATCAACATATGATAATATAAACTCTTCTTTTTCCACCTTCTTGTTATAATCCTCTTTATCTATACTACGAGTTTCAACCTTTGAATTTTTTCTTGCTCTAATTAAGGGAATCAGCACACTTTCTTGATCTTGTTTGACCTTCAATAACTCATTCCACCGCTTATAGAACAGAACCCTTGTTAGACTGGGCCAAAAATTCAGTATATTGAAACGATCAAAGCTTAGAAGCACACGACGTTGAACTCGTTCAACCTGTTTGATTTTGTCTTCTTCAAGCTTCTCACCAAAACACATAAGAACTAATAAACAGAACATAGAGTACTGAAAATGTTGCTTAACAAGAAAGGGTTCACCAGTTTTTGAACAAGGCTTAAGACGGCTAATTAGAATATCAAGAACCCATTTTCGAGCTTGTGAGTACGATTTTATCCGGGAGGGGTGGAGGATTTCGGAAGTGAGGTTACGGCGGAGAAGCCGCCAAGTTGGTCCGTAAAAGGAAGAGCTGACGTTATGCTGATTACAAGTTACGATTTTACTAACAGGAAGGGCTGGTGGACGGTCAGCAAAGACAACACCGTTTTGGATTAGAGTTTGGTGGGCGAGAGAATGAGTGGAGATGAAGATGGCAGGGCGAGAGCCGACGGAGAGTGTAATGATAGGGCCGTATTTGGGGCGTAAGTGGCGGAGAATGGATTCGAGTTCAGAAAAGGATTTGAGAAGCCAGAGAAGATTGCCGATGATAGGAATGGTAGTAGGTCCAGGAGGGAGTTTTTGAGCGGGTTTAAGAAGAGAGAAAAGGGAGTTGAAGAGAAAACAGAGAGAAAGAGAGACAACGATGATGAACCAGACTTCCATTTTCTCTCCTCTTGCCTTTTTTTCTGTGTGGTGGTGAAAGTTTATCAGTAGTATTTCTGGATAACCAAAGATTAAGATTTTTAAATCTCAAATATGAGCTAAAAACAAAATCTCTTTAGATGAAGAAAAAAGCAAAAAAAGAAAACTTCTTTGACCATTTGGATTTACAAGACATTTGTCCAGTAGAGATATTTCAGAGTAAGAAAATTAAGGGTGCGGATAAGAACAAATTAATGTTCTTCATATCCAAAAAGGTCAACTCTATATTTGAATGGCGGGAAAATATTAGAAGAAATAAAATGAATGAGAAAAATATTGAAAGAGAGTAATTTTGTCGTGTTTGGAAATAGAGAAAAAAAATATTGAAGGAAAAAAAATAGATAGAAAATTTCTCTTATACTCACAATATTCCCATCTTTCTAAATTAGAGAGGAAATACACTGCAAAAGCGCTATTTATTTACAATTATAAGTAATACTCGTTATAGATCACAAATGATACAAAGAATCCCGATCCTTAATCTTTTATCAATTCTAGTCAATTCTTTTAATTTTATCATCAATATTATAAATTTATTTTTTTTATCACATCTAATTTCCGTCAGCATTCCGTCAAATTGGTGCTCACGTTAAATTTGATTTGTAGGTCTACAAAATGTCTATTTAGTATTAAATCACTCGTTCATGTAAATAAAAAATTATTAATTTTATTTACTTAAAAATTTAAAATGAAAAATGACAAATTATTATTTTAAAAACCTTACAAATGTAAATTTGCCTTCTAATAAAAAATTTAATAACCTAACAATTTTGAAAAAAAAAAAAATTAAAATTCTAATTTTTTTTTTTTTTTACCATGAGAGTTTCAACGTTACATTTTTATTTTGATTCAATTTAATTTTTGCAATTTTGACCCAAAACCTTAAATCAACTTTTCGGTTTTTATGTTATATAAAATTTGTGTTTTTTAAATTTAAAAATTTAATTATAAATAATTAGTTTTATATATTTTAATTAAATTTGAGATTGTAAAATTAATAATCTATAAATAATTACTCCATATTCGATTTGAACTAAAACTAAAAATAATTAAAATATTTCATGTTTATTATTGGTTAAATTCATATAATAAATATATAAATGAACAAAACTAAAGAATTAATATAAATATTTCAGTTAGTGAATTGGTTAAATCAATAATAAATATAAAATTATTAATATTTTTTAAAAAATTAAATAATAATAATAATTTAAATTTTCATTTTTAAGGTATAGAAAATTGAATAATTTTTTAAATTAAATATTTTTAAAATATTTTTTGATATTAAATAAAAAATCAAATAATTTGTTATTTCATATGAAATGATGTTTTAACACTGACTTGACATCTCACAGGACTCACATATTATTTTTAATTGCCATATCAGTATCAATTTGACAGAATATAAATGGAAGTTAGATTTCACATGAAAAAAATATATTTAAAGTATTGATTAATAAAATTAAAAATTTTGGTTAAAATTGATAAAGATATTAAAGTTTAGACCTTTTGGTTTTCATTAGACCATCTAAAAATATACAAAAATAAAGTTAAAGATATAAAATTCAAAGCTCTGAAAATAAGAGAAAGTATTGATATTTTCTTTCCATCCAAAAAAGAAAAAAAATAATAAATGAAATAAATTCTTATTACTATTTCACATTTTTATTTTCTTTCCAAACAAAATGTAGTAATGTAAAATTTAATTGTGTGAAGGAAGCAAATAGAGAAAAATATCTTGTAAGGTGACAGGCAACAAAGAGTCAAGAGGCTGAGGGCCAAAAGATAATTTTTTATTTTTTTCTTTTTTGTGATGTTTATTTTGTACGCACGGCAACTTGTGCTCCACTAAATGTCTGAATTACGATTTAAGATATTCCATCTTATTCTTAAAATAAATTGTTTTAATCAATCAAAATAAATAATTCATATATATATATATATATGTTAATTCAAAATAAATAGATTCATATATATAATAATATATATATAATTTTTTTTTTTAAAAAAATTATAAAAGGTTTCCGTCCTCCCATGCCTGTGGATTCACAATTAACCTTAAAGATTGATCAATCCTTTCATTATCATGGGGGAAACTCTTTTTCGAAAGCAGTCTGAAAATCCTAAACTCCATTATATGATAAAAACCAAACAAAAGAGTAATATTTTAATTAATTAACCAACCATAAACTACTTGTTTCCCCACCACTAATGTTAGCAAAAACCTAAATCTGTTTTTCAGAAGAAAAAAAAAAAAAAAAAAAAAAAAAAAATCTAAAAACGCATATATAGAACGATTGTAGAAAAATCCAATTCAATATACAAACTTCTGGGCCACGTAAGGAGTAAACAAAAAACCGAGCTGAAACCTTGGTAACTCGTAGTCGGCTCGTTAAGGGAATATTTAAAAATGTTCAAAGCATTTTGAAAATTTCGAAAAAAAAAAAAAAAAAAAAAAAAATCTAAAACGACAATATATAGACGATTGTAGAAAATGCCAATTTCATCTACAAACTTCTGGGCCACCGTAGGATTGTAAACAAACCGAGCTGAACTTTGGTAAACTCGAGCTCGGCTCGTTAAGGATATATTCAAGTTCAAGTCATTTTGAGTTCGAAAATCTGAGCTTAAGCTGAGCCAAGCTCAAGTGCGGCTCTAGCTCGAAATTTATTAAACAAAAACATCATTTTTAACGTAGATTTTAATTAATTTTGACTTATTGAGCTAACTCGTGAGTTGAGCTCGGCTCAGTAAGACTAGTTCGAGAGTTCGGCTTGATAGAACTCGCTCGCGAACTAATGACTCGAGTTCGAGCTTGGCTCTATTAAATGAGCTCAATAGCTCGACTCGATAAGCTTATCAAATGAGTTCAAGCGAGCTTTTACCAAATCGAGTCTTGATTAGCTCACAAGCGGCTTGTCTCATTTATATCCTTACTTAGACGAATTACAACAAAGTCCTTAAAATTTAGCCCCGCTAAACTATTTAATCCTTTCTAAATCAAAAATATATATTTATATATGTATATTAATTCACAAATCTATATTGAATTTGGGGCTTCATTCATAACTGACCTCACAGGAATTTGGCTTAGATTCTCTCTTTAAATTTATTAATTCTTGTCTTGTTGCGTATGTGTTGCATAGATGCAAGTATATTTCTATTTGAATGAAAATGAAAAAAACAAAAGCAGCATAATTTGTTTTACAACAGAAACGCATTTGATCACATTAAATTATATTATATTACGTCTTGCTAAATGTACGCTAAATTGATTTGGCATTTGGAGTCAAAATCAGAAACAAATAGATAAATCACAAAATTTCCATCTAATTGCTATAAAATTTGCTAATATTTACATCAATGCAATGTTCAAAGAAAATTTACAACATCAAACTGAATGGAAGGCCTAAGTTCTTCAATTGGACTATGCATGTTAAAGACCCTTCTATCAGATGTGGTAATTAAAATGGCAATGAACTGTAAAGTACCTGTTATCTATGCTAATCGATTGCGCTTTGAGGAGTGTATTTACACTCTAACTTCGACCACATCACCGTCTTTGAGCTCGGTATTTGGTAATACAAGCTGACCATTCACCAAAACCAGCCTGCCGTCAAGTCCTACTCTTCTAGCAGCATCAGCAGCAGTGCTACCAGTCCTTAATCTCATTATTTCGCCACAAGGCCAACAAATGATTACCACTTCACCAAGAACAACAGAATCAGGGCTGCTATTAGATTTTCTATCATACTTTTGTTGTCCAAGATTCGCTTCAGAGAGTAGTTGTTCCTCCCACCTAAGCATTGTCCTTAATAGTCGGACCTAAAATATGAACTTAGAAATTAGTCATTAATACAACAAGCAAGTTCATATAGAACTATCCTATCCTGTGTGTACATGAATGCATGCAACTGCGGCCTGTGCATGTTGTGTCTGCATTGGTTAAGTGCACGGGAGTTTAACTTTCATCAGCTGTTACTAAAAGTGCAGAATATGATTAAGCTGTCTGAACCTGCATCTGGTTCAAAATGGAACTAGTAACAAATAGGTAGAAGCCTTGAGATTCCCAAATTAACAAGGAAAAGTGACCATTTTATGCTGGAATTATCACTACCAATGCTTTATGTTTTGGCATGATCAGGGGAGTGTAGAAGCCTCATACACAAATAGAAGTAGGCAACTGATGATACAAGTCGGAGTCGTGCAAAAAATAACCAATGAGTGTGCACAGTTACATACAAATTGGCCAACATATATCATGAGAAGGAAAAATGAATGTGGTAGACCTTGCTCAGGTTGCGATAACTAGTCAAAATCATTACACTAGAATGCTTCCTGGCAGGCAGGAAGCCAGTGTCAGGAAAACTTAGAAAATTGTTACAAGATTCTACCAGCTACCAATCAAGTGAATGAGTTCAAAACAACCAGATGATTGCACACTGACCTTATTGTTGATGCTAGCTTCAATAGAATTGGAAGCAACAGAATCTATGTTCGACCTGGATGTAACAGAATCAATAGATTTGCCCTCAAAAACAGCAGCTACAACAGCCCAATATTCAGATTCTTCTTGCTTCGTTAGGTCGATAACCTGAATGAAGGTTGGCAACAGGCGCTCAAATTGATCTTGCTGCAACATATACATTAATGAATTTCTTGAGGAAGTCCAGTATAAGTCTCTAAGAGCATTATTTCCTAAACAAATACAAAATGTGGAATTGATGTATAGTAGTATCACAGCAAGTCTTGAACTGTAAAATGCCAAAGAAGCAAAATTTGGCTCTGACCAAGAACAGTGTTATAGAGATAGAAGTGAAATTTTAACAACAATACCATCATGTATAAAGCAAACTTAAGTATTATGTTTATCAGTCTTATGCATGCTCGGTAATTCATAATTAATTATATTTGATATTTTTATGTGAGGTGAGTGGTCAATAATAAAATGAGAAAAGTGATGAGAATGCTAAAGACTGGCAAACGGAAACAAAAGTAATCACCGCACAAGATGAGTATCCTGTCATTCTGCAACCCCTCCAGAGGCTGCACATGACCACCCTTTTTTCCTATGAATTTCAAACCTGATAGTTCTAATAGGTATTACATTTAGATAAGCCCATCATCAGTTCGTAAAAATTAGAAACTGAGAAATGTATTCATGCTTGATACTGATAAATAAAGGATAATATTAGAACTCATCTCATATTATGTTCATAAAAAACAATTTTCCAGATTATTTTATAAACTTTTACAATAGAATACTAGCATAGTTTCAGAAGTTTTTTCTTATATACTGACAGCTGGTAGCCCATTGTCAATAATTTGAAGAACAAAATTGGAAATCTTTACATATTAACTAGCACAACTAGTGGGAGAATTGGAAACAAAACCTCTAATAAAGTCAGGAGAAAATAATTGAGAGGAGTCCACTATCTGTTGAGCTCTCCAGTAAAGCTATAATCAACTATAATTAAGCAATGAGGAATGCGCATCACCAATTGTGGTTTTTTTGAACTATTGCATCCATCAAGTTAAATGATTGTACAATGTTGCACCTAGCATCTATGTCCTATTCTTTCATTCTTTTCCCTTTACCAGAAAAGAAAATTCCATTGACTTGGTTTTTTACTTACATAAATATCCATATGTATTTTCTTCATCCAACATTGGAATTTATGGGAAGGTTTTACTTAGACACTGCCATATCCCCAGCTCATGATAACTTTTCATTATATATCCTTTGTAGCAAAACACAAGCACTGCATCTTTGAAGGGATGGAAATGCATAGTAAACATGATCACAAAGTTTAACTCCATCTTTACATCTTCTCATCATGTTTGCATCAGACATACCTTATGATACATTCCATCTCGACATAGCGTATACTTCTCAAGACAAGTACACCAATCCCCATGTCCCGGCTCAAACCACCATTCATCTGAAACCTGTAGGAAAACAAGGATATTACAACTTTTTTGATCCAATACATTTAATTATTAGTTATTAGGATTATATTAGTTTCGGATTTTGGAGTTCATTACATGAGCGTCATGATATTTTTGTCCCTGTAGACATTGTTGTTTCAATATAGTCCTATTTGGGTATTTGGTTCCTTTGACTTGAGTCTAGGTTTATTTTCAAAGAGTTTTATGTTTATTTTCTTTCCAATTAAGTTGCCTTTTGGTGTACTTAAAAGTAGTTTCCATCATGAATTTCCACCCTTTTAAGATGAAGCAGATGTTCACGAGTCCATATATATCCATGCATTCTGAGTATGCATATTTAGCATGATTTCCTTTTTATCTTCACCGTTTAACTCATGTCATTTATTTCCCACCAAACATTTTCTTTTTTACCATAAATGACAGCAAGTTGGACATCAAAGAATACAAAATCCTCACATCTGCTCAGATATTTAAAGCACACCCTTTGGAGTTTCAAAGAGTTTTAGGTTTGTTTTGTTTCCTATCCATGCATTCTGAGTATGCATATTTAGCATGATTTCCTTTTTATCTTCACCGTTTAACTCATGTCATTTATTTCCCACCAAACATTTTCTTTTTTACCATAAATGACAGCAAGTTGGACATCAAAGAATACAAAATCCTCACATCTGCTCAGATATTTAAAGCACACCCTTTGGAGTTTCAAAGAGTTTTAGGTTTGTTTTGTTTCCAATTAAGTTGTCTTTTGGCGTAACTAAAAGTAGTTTCCATGAATTTTATCCTTGTAAGATGTAACAGAGTTCAAGAGTCCATAAATATCCATGCATTCTGAGTATGCATATTTAGCATGATTTCCTTTTTATCTTCACCGTTTAACTCATGTCATTTATTTCCCACCAAACATTTTCTTTTTTACCATAAATGACAGCAAGTTGGACATCAAAGAATACAAAATCCTCACATCTGCTCAGATATTTAAAGCACACCCTTTGGAGTTTCAAAGAGTTTTAGGTTTGTTTTGTTTCCAATTAAGTTGTCTTTTGGCGTAACTAAAAGTAGTTTCCATGAATTTTATCCTTGTAAGATGTAACAGAGTTCAAGAGTCCATAAATATCCATGCATTCTGAGTATGCATATTTAGCATGATTTCCTTTTTATCTTCACCGTTTAACTCATGTCATTTATTTCCCACCAAACATTTTCTTTTTTACCATAAATGACAGCAAGTTGGACATCAAAGAATACAAAATCCTCACATCTGCTCAGATATTTAAAGCACACCCTTTGGAGTTTCAAAGAGTTTTAGGTTTGTTTTGTTTCCAATTAAGTTGTCTTTTGGCGTAACTAAAAGTAGTTTCCATGAATTTTATCCTTGTAAGATGTAACAGAGTTCAAGAGTCCATAAATATCCATGCATTCTGAGTATGCATATTTAGTGTGATTGCCTTTTTCTCTTCACTGTCTAACTCATTTCATTTATTTCCCATCAAACGTTTTCTTTTTCACCATAAATCACAGCAAGTTGATGTCAAGAAATACAAAATCTTCACATCTGCTCAGATATTTAAGCACACCCTTGAACTTTGCTTCAACTTACTAGACCAAATAATCCAAATGGAACAGAAAGAAACTTAACCTTTTTATACAATCTTGCATAAGCTTCCCACCGCTTTATTTGGAAAGGAGATCTTCTGTCAGCTACTGCTTCAGAAGCTGCCAATCCAAAGCTCACAGCCACTAACAATTCTCTTCCACCCTTGTCTACTCTGAAATCCAACTTTCATGCACAATCATGTGAATCCAAAGCTTATAGTGATTAGCATACACTATAAACAAGAAGTTATAGCATACCTGATTACAACAGCAGCAAGTAAGTGACTTCCTTCAACTCTAAGGACCGGATGTCCCACTTTCAGGTATCTGTATTTCTGAAATTGATCTCGTTCTAAGGAATTATGATCTTCAATGTCTTTGGAGAGACAGGAAGATGCTTCTGTTTCAGATTCATCCATGCTGTTTACAGGAGGCAACTCGTTTCCAGTTTCTTTATAAAGCCAGTGTGCAGCAAGTCCATGCTCAGCGTATTCATGCATTTTCTTGAAAGGTTGAAGTGACAATGTAGTTGTATGAGCTAATAAAAATCCATGCAACTAACTTTTGGATAAAACAAAAATAGAGAAGTTTGGCACCTGTGTTCTTATCTGGACTTCCAACGGCGCACTATCAGGACCTTGTACTGCTGTGTGCAGAGACTGCAATAGGCAAAAGGAAGCTTCGGTTGAAAATGTCACTCAACATAACACTAGGTATGTGAATTAGCAAAATTCTAAGAATATCAACATGCAAAATCAAATCCACAAAGTTGAAAAAAAGGAGAATGATTTCAGGTCAAAAGAAAATGTATGAAACTAATATTTGGAAACCTGACCATTTAGCACGTCTTAAAACAAAGGTTCAAGGAAGATCTGACAAATAAATTAATTTACTTCTAGCAGCCATGAGGCATCCAAACTATCCATAAGATAAGATACCACAACTACTAGGTTTCAGTATTTTCTCATTACATCTATCTATGTTCAGAAATACAATGAACCACTAGAACTCTACAACAGGCATCCTTCCCCTCTCCCCAAGTTAGCAGTTGAGGCTCTATCGTGAGAGATAGGTGACACTATCTTTTTATTCCTTCTCAAGATCTTATAGGATTCACAAAGATAAGAAACTCTATCATATCATATTACTTTTTGCAAGAACATAGCATGATTAAATGTTAATGGTGCACCACTTATCTGCCTAAGCATTTAAATGTAAATAAGTTGACTACATTGGACTTTCACTTAATAGAGAGACATTTAATTGATACATCACCTGATATCCACTGGGCTTTGGGTTAACAATGTAATCATCAAATTCACCATCAATGGGGGTCCACAGCCTGCACAGGAAGGTAATAGCATGACATGTTATCTGGAAATGACCAGTATGGTTGAGAAAGCACAGAAAACATCGTATAATATTGAAATAGGCACCATGATATTGTCAAGTATCTTCTAATGATGCATGGAACTAAAACAATAACACTCACAAAGCTAATGAAAGAAAATTTGCAAAAACCTATTTGGATCAAATGTCTGAAAATCATTAGCTATAATAGCTGCAGGGAAATGGTTTAAAAGAAAGTGGCAAAATGCAGCTGGTTATAGATCGGATATTATGACAACTAAGAGAATTAATCTAATCTAAATATTACAAGTAATTGAGTATACCTATGCACTATGTTGAGAAGACTGTAACAACACTGAATTGCAGGTCCATGTAAAGTACCATTCTTGTCTCCAACAACTACCCTCAATGCACGGGCATCATATACTTTATTGATATCCACATCTTTCCGTTTCATCTACAAAAATTAAAAAATAATAGCATTATTTTTAAACTGCAGATTAAAAATAACAAGGCCTCTAGGCACATTCCTATCAACAAATGAATTTATAAATAAAGTTTAATGCATGCTTTACAAATTAAATCAAATAAAAAACATTTGTGATACCTTGCTGTAGATACTATACAAGCTTTTAAGTCGACTAGATAAAGTCACTTCCATCCCTGGAACATAACTGCAAGCATGAGAGAGAGAGAGAGAGAGAACATCCATGAGACGGGCAAAATGGCGATAGTCATTCAATAGACAAGATGTGAGAATTGATGAATCATTGATAAATGGTATTATTTATATGTTTTCTTCCCAGAACTACAAGAAGTAAATATCAATGGTGAAAGGTAAAACTTACGAAGTAGATATAAATAGCTCCTTCTCAAGTGCTTCCTCACAAGCAATTAGAGAAGCTAGAGCGATTCCAGCATCTTGAACAACCTTTGATACTCTTTGAGTCTCTGATGTTTTACCAAGAATATTAATAAATATAGCCCCTTTTTTCCGATCTAACAAGACATCAAAAGGCACTACAGCTTCCAGGAGATCCTGTACATATAGAAAAGATCAACAACATGACTTAAAATATGGATGTTTTATTCAGCTCTCAAAAAACTCTAATTGTTTTTGGTGTGCACTCAAAATGAAAATGCAGCTAGAATAAATATCATTCTAGCAGGCCAAAAGACCATGGAATTAAGAGAGAAATTTGGAATCCATGAATTTGCTAGAAAACCTCTGGAACAAATTTATTGTGGTTAAATAAACAGTTCATTGCACCATTATTTTATAGATATATTTTTTCAACAACTTTTCTTAGCCTTGTCTTTCTTTCTTCTTTTGCTCCATGGTTTGTGGTGCATGTTTGTGTGTTCTTATTGGGGGGTTGGGGAGGGGGAATATGAAGAATACCTTCATTGTTGAGACGTCTTCATCAAAAGCTAAAGTATCTCCGCCATCAGGAGTCAAATTTTTCTCATCTAGAGGTATCAAGCCATATTTGTTAGACATTTTTCTTGGATATCCAGCTCTGTTGCTAGTGCTCCACATGGAAGCCAGATCAGCTCGCATCTTCCGAAACAATTGAGGCTGCATATCATTTATGATTAAGTACACTAAATAAAGAACGAAATGGATTAAATTTTCCTAAAAAGATCTGAATTAGCTGCTCCATTCTCTCTGACTACCGTTGTTCACAAATTTGCCATCCAAAAGGCCAACTGCTGCAACAATTTCAGAAGGCTCCAAATTGAACTCAATTCTTGCAAAACAATTGTTCTGGATTTGGACAGGTCGATACTAGCTAAGGACAAGTTATTCAATTCATTTCTGATGAACTTTTGATGAAACCTCGTATTTGTTTAATGCTATGCTACAACACATCCTTAAGAATTCAGGGTTGCAAGATCATGATACGAACCTTGGAAAACTACACCTCAAAAGCTAGCCGTTGAGCTTGGAGAGTCCAACTTTATATAAATCCCACTAAACATCTCATACTATCAATGTGGGATCTATGTCCCACACCTTGCAACTAGGATCATACAAAACATAGATGCTGGATTCCTTTACTTTGTTCATTCGCATTTTTCAAAATTTCATTAATGAGAATGCAAAAGGTCCAGTTCTGGAGTGTTCACACTATGTGAATTAGATTTATAGTCATCACTCTGTAAAACATATTATTTTCCATATTTACTTGGCTTAAAAAAAATTAACAGATTCAATGGAGAGAAAAATGCAAAATAGATGCAACAGCATAGTTTTACTTGGACTGATTAACTAACATGATCAATAAATTATGCCATGTTCTTAGAGAACTACCAATTTCTAACCAAATCAGTCTACAAATGCATTCAGCTTATTATAGATTAACATATTTTGCACAATCAAAATTATAAGTCACACCTGAAGTACTGCAAAGCATAAATCTTCTAATTCAGCCTTCAAAGCCCATAAACCCAATCTTGAAGCAAGTGAGCACCAAATAAGTAAGGTCTCCTGCGCAACAGCTTGAGCCTTCTGTGGTGGCAAAGCATAACTGCAACATTATAAATAACAAGTCATTATTCAAGACTGTAAACCACAATGTAATTCTTTAAACTAAAAGAAAATAAATCGTTATCCAGGATTGTGATCCAAAAAATTAAGTCTCTAAGCAAGAAACTCTGGCCTGCAAATAATTGCTATCTCAAGTAAACATCTGTGTTTGTGAATGAAAGCTTTTCAAACCTTTACAAAACATCGAAGCCATCATGTTGAAAAAACATAAAGAAAGGAAGAAAGATTCAGATAAAAGAAATCCTAAATAAGAAAAAAGTATTTCCAGAACATGGAACTAATTAAACAGAGAGACAACCCTCTCAAACAGGAGTAAAATGTTGGTGTAAATGGAGTTTGAAGTCAATACATGGTCCTCATGTTGTGAAGGCGGTCTGCAAGCTTGATCAGCACCACCCGTGGATCATCAACCATGCCCAAGAGCATAACTCGTAAATTATTTGCCTTGAAAGGTAGCAATAAAATTTACAAGAGTCAATAATCTAAAATGAGAGTTAATAAACTACTGAAGTTAACTATTGCTTCTATGCTAGTCTTTTAGAGCAGAAAAATCTAGCAGTTATGCATTTTGTAACACTTATGCTATAGTTAGTTGAACCATCTAACCCAAACTTTGGATGGTAATTAATTTCTGATCATCATTTATAAAGTAAAGAAATTTGAAAATGAAAGCTTTATACATTGACCAAATGCTTTGGAAAGCGCCACAGACCCGTTGGTAGAGATCAAATCAACCTCATTCAGTTTTCTGTCAAATATCAACTCTTCTTTTATGGGTACTATTATTATTAGCATAAACAGCTAGTTGTAGCAAATGATGAATAGAACAAAATACATATCCTGATTTCTATGGTAACAGTTTTACGCAATCATTAGGAGAAATTTTAAGTTCCGTCCTCTTCCTGACCAAGGGTTTTAGAGAAATTTTAATTTGCATACCTCTTCCTGACCAAGGGTGCTCTGGTTCACATTTATCCTTCGATGTCTCCGTAGCAACTGCAAAATTAAAATATTAAATTAAGAAAGAACAGCAGCAAAAAAGTATGGAATACCATAGGACCAGAGAAAGCATATCTATAAATTACAATCTCATGATGACCACAACAAAAGTGAAAAAAAGCAATAAACATATCTTAAAATGTGAATATGTAAGAGTTAAAGTGACTTCAATGACTTCTATGTTCCTTAAACTTTTCAAAAAAATTCATATCTTAAAATGTGAATGTGTAAGAGTTAAGACTACCACATACACCACTCTTTTTACTTTTCAAGTCAGACATCAACATTGGGTTAAACAACAGGGTATTTCCACTTTCCAAAACTCCACCCATTCCCTTCCCAAAAGATGTCTAACAAAACAAAAGTCACCATAATCCCTGATGAAAGAAATGCAATGTCAAAAGAGAAGAAAAGGGAAAGGAGGGAAAGTGACTGAGAGACACAGGCATAACAAGCTTATTACCTGATTTATATAACTCAATCTGGAAACACCAGCTACCAATTTCACAACATGTTCACCAAACTCCTTTTCTATACTCTGTAAATTTTCATGAGTATCGTCCACCACATCATGAAGAATCCCAGCCACAACTGTATCCACAGCCTACAATAGATTTTATATCATTTGAGGGTATAGTGAAAGCAAAATGCTTGAAAGATGTGTTTGCCAGTGTTACAAACACTAAAAGAAAACTAATATTAACTGAACATGCAAAACTAGATGCCATTATAGAATCTAGAAGGCCTAGGAAAACAAGCAAATGACATTAATTTGCTAGTTAGAAAAACGGCTCACGCTAGTTAGAAAACTGGAGCTAAACTAGTAACAGTGAAAGAATATAAAAAGATCAAATCATAACAATTGATAGTAAAACAGCATTACCCTTTTGCCAGTTGAGGGAACCAGCATTGCCAGGATTCTTCCAGTATGTATACAATGAGTCAAATAAGGCTCTCCTGTTTTCCTGAACTGCCCATGATGAGCCTTCTTAGCAAAAGCAATAGCCTTTTGCACCTGCCTTCACATCACAGATTAAAACTATTCAGTGGAAGCATGTGAATATTACGCAAAAAAATCAAAATACAAGTAGAGATGGTAAACCTCTGCATCACTAAATATACTACAACCAGTCACATCCACTCCGTCTACTATAAAAGAACCTGCGCGCCAAATTAACAAGCATAAATTTACTTAAAAAATAAATAGTTAGACTATTTGTTTTTTGCTTTTGAGGAGAAAATGTAACAGTCTGATTTTCTTTTCGGTAACAGTGATTTCCCTGTCCGTGAATAATACTATTTTTGGAGCATTGGTATTATTTTAGTCGGTTCGGGACTCGGTATTATTTTAAACTCGGTATTATTTTAGTCCGAAAAAATTATTATACCTATTTAATATTTTATTTACTATTTTTTGAGCATATTTAGGCGGTAGCCGTATTGGTCCGTGGGTGTTACAGAAAAAGTAATTACCTGGTTGTTCTTCCACTTTAGGCCACAAAAAATCAACCTTAGTGGAGAGGCAAGCACCGGAAGCAATAGCGACTGCGGTGACAGCAACTTGAGTAATAGCAGACGACACTGCGCCATGGACGGAGGTAGTACCAGAGGAAGCGGCGGTAGCAGCAGCGATGATGTTGCCGGTAGGGAAAACGGAAGCGAGGGAGGAGGAGACGACAAATTTGGGGGCAATTTCGTCGAGAAGGCAACGGAATTTGAAGGAATTGTGATTAGTATGGCGAAAGTAAAAGGGGTGAAATTGGAACTTCTGGAGAAAAGGAGATGTTTTTCTGGCAAACATTTCTGGAAGAGAAAAGGACGAGGAAGAGGAAGGCATTGAAATTTGGGAAATGATTTTTAGTTGTTTGGTTTGCAGTTGGTTGGATTTGGTTTTTTTATGAAGAAAAATAAAAAATAAAAATCTAGCAAATATTATTTTATTATGGAGAGAGATTGTGTGTATGGTTGGGATTTTTAATTTTGATTGGTGGGAGAGTTATTGAGGTTGGAAGGAGTGAGAGAGTGACAGTTAAAAATTTTGTGGTGACAGTTAGAAGCCGTTATGATTTTGCTTTGCTATATGCGTTGTTTTATATGAAAGTAAAAAATATCCCCGGTGGTCTGAAATTATTCAACTTTATGGGTCAATTATAGGCCTACATGTTAAATGCCAATAATGAAGAATTTGTGTAATTTGCATGCAACAAATTTACTAGCTGAAAGCATTTTCAATTTGCAAACCATTTCTGACCAAGAGACATCTAAAGACATGATTAAGTGATTAGCAATATTTTACCATATTATTCTCAAAACAGAAAAAAAAAAACATTAATTTACCATACATATAAAGGGACATCTAAGCATATATATGTATATTAATATATTCCCAGTTTCCAATTTAACTTTCAATTACAGGGTCTCATTAGAATTTCAATTTACATTGTTGGAAGTCAGATAGTACCCAGTGGGACAAAATGTAAGAACCCTCATAAACTCTGTTCACTTCAGACAACCCACAAAAATTTGATTACATTTTAGGACTTCCTTGATGCTTGTGGCTTAATCTGCACGAACCTCAAGTTTTCAAGTGAATCTGCAGAAACAAGTTCACAAAAACTAAGCAACAAAATCAAGTTTATTACTTTGAACTGGCAAAAAACAGGCAAAATCAAGTTACCTGGTGTATTAGAATGATGAGGTGCCCACAGAAGAGTATCCAGCAGCTCTCATTTCTTTCAGAGTTGAAGCTAACCAGTCTAAACCTTCATACAGACCATCTCCTCTGAGTGCACAAGTCCCTTGGATGTGCCATTTTCTGTTCTTAAGTTCAAAGAGACCTAATCCTTCACATACTTCCATTGGTGTCATTGCTCCTTTCTTAACAACAGAAACAGATTCAAGCTTAGAAATCCTACATCACATTAACCAAACATCTTTGGTCTATGCAGGCAGCAAAGACAAAGCTGTCGATCTCTCAAAGATAAGAAATAGTATTTGGGGTTTGTTTCTCCCAGCCATGTGGAGGCAATAGAAACAGGCACACAAATAGACACCGAAATATAAAAGCCACAGGTGTCCATCTAATCCTTCTAATCTCTGCTCCTACGTTAGTCTTCTTCCTTTTCTTTTGTAAGTTTTTTACATTATCTTTTTCATATGTTCTTCATTTCATCTATGCTTTATGTAATTTAGATATTGTTGATGTGGACCAGCTAGAAGCCTAAACACGTCAGCAGCCAAGCCCTCCAAATTTCATTTACAACTAATGATAATTATACACACTAGATAAATCTATGAAAGCGAAATTCAAGCAATTTTTGGATGCCTTCAGCATATTTCCGAATTTTAGTAACATCAATGATAACGATGCATGGAAGTTCTTGACATGCTCAAAACAATTTAGATTAATGGCCAAAAAGATAAAGAACAATACACAAAGTAAAACTTCCAAAGAATGACTCAAATCCAGGAGAGTTTCAACAGAGATACACAATACCCATGCCACTACCATTATCATCACTATTGCCACAGACTGGCACAGAATCACAAAGATCAATCAACCATCCAGACTACCATAATTCGGACCACCGCCACAACTATTTACACCAGACAATTACTTCTACTTCCACCACACACAGGAAAGTGTCCAGAACACCACCATTACAATCTCCAAGTCCTCCAATGCCTGTGTCTTTTTGGCTACATTACAGTACCCAGAAAAAGTGTCCTTATAAATTTATTAAGGTCAGATGCAAAAAATTATCAAGCTTTCCTCTCAAAAGAATTTATGAAATAACTTCCTATTTGCAGTAAGCTTTAACCTGGAAACAGAGAGAAAAGGGAGGGGAGTTGGAATCCATAAAACAGGCCCTAAGCATCAACTATTTCAGGCAGAAACATGGGTTTCCTTCTGAATACCCAGCCTATCCTTCATTTCTAAGTAACATCTGAAGGCCACACAAGATATGGCAAAATCTTGATCAAAGATGAAAAGGTTAGCAGGATCAATCAGCTCTTTTAGCCTCACAATCTTCTAGAACTTTAGAAAATTTAAATATGCTATTAGGATTAACCTCTAAAGTATAGCATTCCAACAAAAAGGACTCAATGTAAGGACATCAAGATCAAAGCCTAATAAGCAAGTTTGAGATGACATAATAATTCCATTTTTGCATTTATGTGGAATTTTTATGTATGTAAAAAAGAAAGCCAATCTGGCAGTTAAATAACTTAATGGACTGTTCAGGTCTTACTAAATAAATGGCAGATGTAGTTAGGCCACGCCACATGCAATGAAAAGAATAGGCTATAGCATGAAAGCATGCTAGAAAGACAGATATAAATGATTTGAGACAGTACTTAATTGTCATTTTGTAAGATACAGAGTTGGGCATGCTTGTCTCCGTCTTTGATGTTTTGCATTTATACAATTGGATAGGATTTCTACAATGTCCCTTGTCTTGGTTTCTCTATGTCAAAAAGGCGACAGTCTCATTCATTTTACTGATCCATTTCTGGAAGATCATTGGGTCAGACACATTGTTTCTGCACCAGGTACTTGTACAATAATGTGTACATTACTATCTCAAGTCAAGTATATAAACATCCTAGGTCTCATTATAGAAGCCTACTTAACTATATTTTATCATTCATATGCAAAAAGATTGATAACATACCATGTCCTGTTTGTTGGCAAACACCAAGATGACACTGTTGAGCATAAAAGGATCTTTGATGATGGCCTGAAAGGAAATACGCACTTAATTTAGAAACTGTGTTTAGGTAAATTGCAGTACGGTCAGCATACCTTTCTGACATACAACCTGAAACTCTGCTCTTGCTTTGCCAATTCTTTCACGGTCCAAGGAATCAACAACATAGATCTGTATGGACAACGGGAAGGAAAAAAAAAAAAATCCAAATTTACCTATCAGCTTTGACACAAAGTTCAAAAGCTAACATGTAGGATGCACGCAATAAAGCAAACAGAAAACCTTATTTTGGAAGAAAAAAACAAGTGTTGCAAGAGCTTAATTAGCAAAAGAAGACTAACAGAAAATAATTATTACCAATCCATCTGTATTATTAAAATAATGCCTCCAAAGTGGCCGTAATTTCTCTTGCCCACCAACATCCCAAACAGTGAACATCACATTCTTATACTGAACTTTCTCCACATTGAACCCTACAGCAGATAAGGAGAATTAATATATCTCCAACATCAATAGATAGGTTTATGAAGAGCTAGGACCCACCACCACAGCTGTGATAGTTGAAAGTTTTCACAGTTTAAACTCAAAATGATTATAAATGACTAATTTATTGATTATGGTCTCAAATGTCTTGAGGCAGAAGTGGAATATACTGTGGGTCTTCAGCTGTCACATCTGCAGCAACATTGGTGTGAGGTTTTGTATGGAGATTAGCACGTCACTTATATGCTTGGTAAGGAGCTGACAGTGGCTACTTACTTGGTGAAAACTACAAGAAGCCGATAAAATGGTAATTGAGAATAGCAGTGCCACCATGTGGGGTAGAAACATTGGACAATAGAACAGATTTAAGCTTCAGACAGAGAGAAGATTTCAGAATATATAATCATGAGAGGTCCATTCAGTAATTGCCATGACACTTACAGTCTTTAATCTAAATGACATGAGACTCATCATCACTGTTTTTTTTTTTTTTTTTTTTTTTTTTTTTTCACTGTTTTTTTTTTTTTTTTTTTTTTTTTTTCATTTTCTTTTTTTTACCAACAGGCCTTTATGTGTTTAGTTATCATTCAAAATATTTTTGGCAAACTATTCTCATTGGGAAATAACATGAAGAAAAAGATGTGAAAAGATTGACCATATATTTGTGTACTAGCCTTAACTTTATCCTTCATTTTTAATGGCACTGCACGTTCACTCTTCTCTTCTAGTGCTTTTTATGTCATATCAATTGAGGAAATCAAGTTTGCGTCCAAGGGAAATCAGTGGTTGCCAGTCAAGGAAAAACAGATTTTAGCAATTATTTTGATTTTTCATCTTTAATTATGTAATTGAGGGACTCAATTTCTTATGTGGATTTCTCCATACAGAAAAATTTTTGTAATTTCCTATACTTATCTAGAATTATAGGATCACTGCTGGATATCAGAAATGTTTTTTGTTAGACCTGTTTGAAAACTGGTTGCTTCCTATTTATATTTATTTGGATTTCCAGGAATTGGTTATATTCGTCTTTTGGATACACCTTTACAACATGTTATTTTCTTAGATTTTGCTGAATAATGAACACGTTCATTCTGAGTAGGAAGACCTGCACCCCTGGTTTTTTCTCCTTTAGTTCCTCTTATTTCCCTTCTTTCCCAATACTGCTACGGTACCTAGGGTACAGAGACAGGTTAGCAGTCACAGCTGCACAAAGTCACCAATTTCTTTTCTTTTTCTTCTTTCTTATCAACTATTTATTTTAGGCCTGAGTAGTTTATTAAATCTGGCTGCAAGGAACTAACTTTGTTGTTCAGTTCCTATTTCTTTTATTGTTACAGCTTCTAGGATTTCCCACGTGTTCTTATAACATAGTTTAATTTCTTTTAATTGTGGCTTAGCAATTTCCTTAGTGTGGTAGGGTAGTTACTGTGTGTTTGAAATTGTTTCTTTGATTTTACTTGCTTTATATTTAGAGAGAAGAGAATGCAAATGGAGGAGACAGTATTTTATTCGAAGGCTCAACTTCTTAACCCAAAGATGAAGGTTTCTCTTCTGTAACAACCTTCTTTATTTTCTTCCCATTAACAGATATAAAAGGCAGGAAAAACTCCAAACAGCATTATTTCTGTTGGCCCTTACCCTAGCACTTCCATTTTACAAGACCTGTACTTGATCCTATACAAAAGTTTTGTAAACAAGTTCCTACATGCATCTATTTCCACTATCTGCATGATGTTAGTTGATTTCAGATATAGATTAAATAGCAGATTGTTTCAGATTATAAAGCCTTTGCACAGTTCATAATTTAAAGTGAAGTAATCATGAAAAAAGGAAACCACCAATTTGTTTGGAACCAGTAGATTGAAGACTTCTCCCAATATGTAGCTTGTAAAGTCTATTGGCTTGTTTTACCGCTGCAGTCCAGCCCTAGCAATCACCACCTATGCCAGCAAAACATGGAAAGTAACAAAAATAAGAAAAAAGAATCAAAGGTATGGTTCGCATATAAGTTAAAAGCCGAATTCCAGATATCTAGAAAGATGGTCAAAAATTCAAATAATATCAATGCAGAACACTGCCACAATTAATTATTCCAGTTATAAACAAGCTGGAAGTAAAGTGTATTACCCTCCACATTATTTGCAATAGCTCAACCATACCTCTTATGTTTAAAGTTATAACGGTCTAATATTTTTCCCAATCGTATGGCTCTCCCTATTTTATTACAAGCTAAGTTGACCCATATTAATATTTATATCTATATATTATAAAATATTTAAATATCTATTCATAACTTTAATATTCAAAGCATAAGTTTAATCGCATTGAAGGGAGAGAAGAAACAGCCGTTTTCAGCAATAAAAGAGCAACCTTACATTACCACCAACACCAACGACATTAAATCCCCAATTATCCATATTTTGAATCAAATTGTCATAGAACATTCGTTTTTGCCATAGATAGATATCTTTAACTTCCCAACTGCACCGGATGAGCAAAGATTGCATCAGAATCTATAACCCATTTTCTTTTCGCCGTTCCTTCCATAATCACCATAATCCTTTAAAGGTCTAGAATATATGCAATTTTATTGGTTCACTAATTCATTACGGTACATGGAAAAAACAGCAGTCGAATTATACATGCCACCCAGGACAGAACTAAAATGGGTCCAACCTTTGACCAGGTATTCATTTTAAAGTAACAAATTTACTAATTCATTCCTTTTTTTCATTGATCTATTTTTAAGAATTTTCACATTACTCTACGCAAGTGTGCAGAAACTTCTAACTCTTTGATGGAAGAAAATCCTCATATACTCACACTGGAACTTCTTAAATATTAAGGTACCCATCAGCAGTATTGAAAACACAGACAGAATAGAAGTTAAACTTTAACAGATAGGTCAAAGATTACTTGAACAAATTGAAGTTTGAAATTTAGTTATTATTACACAATTGCAAAATCAAGTTGCGTGTCATCAATCTATCAAAACTAAACAGTGAAAGCCTAAAACTTGTTTTTCCATATTAATAAACTGTTGATTCATTAAAAAATTTGAAAAACGCAGAATATTACATGAAAAATGATTCATAACAAAAAAGAAGCTAGAAAATAGGATAAAATATTTATACCTTTTTCTAAATAAAATCCTGATTAAATCCTGGCAATTGGTTTCCTCCCTATTAATTCTCATTTAGATGCGGATATTATTCTGATGCACCTCAAATTAATAATCTTATACTCATGGATGTTAGCATTAGTAGAAAGCATTATGACCCATTAAATAAACAAACAAAATTCACTACTGTGCTGTCAATTAGTTCTAAAACCACAAGTCCATAACCAATCCGTCAAACACGCTAATCTCAAAACCCAATTAACTTTCCAAGGAAAATTAACAACCTAAAGCAACAGCAGCGCAGGCGATAGAGGAAAATTTTTTAGATAACCCCAGTGTTAACTCCTAACACACCCTTAGATGTAAGTATTATCGCGTAAAGGAAGCAAACCGCGGTTAAACATATATGTATTATTGCATACATTTTACTATTAAGAAAACAGAGAGAGTGTACCCGCCATCTCCAGTGTTGCAAAGAAGGTTATCGAAAGAGTCTGCGAAAAGGCTTGACCCATTGCGTAGCCGCCCCTTTGATGCTGAATAAGAAGGTTTTTTAATTTTACTTCTTTCAATTTGGGCTTGATCTCCTTCTACGCTATGCAATGATTTTCCGTGGAGTTTACATTTCAGAGATTTCAGAGCCGAAATCGATTTGACAGTGTTTTTTTCTTTTTTTTTTTTTTTAAATTTTTTTGAGTTTTTATATATTTTATATTCAGAGGGCATAAAACGAGTGGAGAAGAAAGAGGAAAATGCGTTTGCTTATTGTTCAGCGCAGTTCTTTACAGGCGTGGAAATATATTTTTCTTTTTTCTTATTTTATAAAATATTTTATTCTAAAACTCAGTTTGGACCCGACGTTTAACTGGGCCGAACTTTTGTTTCGACATAAGTTCGGCCGGCATGATTAGTCGCCATTTGCTGTAATATTTTCGTTTAAAAACGACTTTAAATAAGTAATAAAATAATAACAAAACATTATTCTTTTTTATTAATTGGATGGAATCATACTGTATTTATGTCTTCTGAATTTTTTTGTTTTTTGGGCTTATGGCAGTTACAGTAAGCACTTGATTGAGTGCAATAAACGATTGAAAACTTGTATGGGATTGACGTGCAGCTCTACCATCCATTCATTACACCAAACCAACCCCAACATCCTAAAAAATAAGTTCTTTTTATAATTATTTTATTCTAAATATAATTGTTTTAATTATTTTAAAAAATAATAAATTAATATTTTAATATCACTCTTATTTACATTAAATATAATATACCCTTCATAAAATTATTATTATTGAGGATTAAATGTAATTTAGTAAAATTTCCCTTTTGATTTTGTAATAAATTTAGTAAAATTAATTCCTCATTTAATATTTGTCCAAGACAGAGAAGCAATAAAAAATGACTTTTTTTTAATTATTTTTCTTCATTGACGAATATTTTACGACTATCTTCACTCGGGGAACAAAAAATACAAAACTAATTATCAAAATTTTAAAAAAAAAAACTTATTTTTCTTTTGACTTTCGATTTATATATATATTAACTTATAATATATACTATATATAACTATATAAAAGTTTAATTCACAAATTCATAACGAGTGTTCTCAAAGTAGTCAGTAACAGGAACATACTTACATCAATTAACAAACATTCTTTATTACGTTATCATATTTATGGAAAATATTTATCAGGAGGGCTTAACCTTTATTACCAAAATCGGGGAAAATGCTTAGAAAAAATGAAAATCCTGATTATTCACGGGGGTTTGCCATTCGGTCATTTGCTGGACCTAACCACCAGTTACGATGAAGCAGAGAGTTTTCACTCACGCATTAGCTAATTTCGATCTTAGGCTCCACTACATATTATATCAGATATATAAATATCTATCACATTATATTAAGATTAAAGACAGAAACCATTTGCTGTGATCATAAACTTAAGCTAACTTAACAGATTCTT